CATGAAAATTATGTTATTAGTATTTTTTAAACTTACCCTCGATAATAAGGAGTAAATGCATAGCTTATGAAACCATGAAGACTAATCAATTACTTTCATCAAACTACATGGACTAAGTTATAATTTAATCCAATAGATATATCACACAAATGGCAAATGATACCATCCCATCAGTAGGAGGGTCTTGTCCCTGCATAATTCATGTATTCTTATAATTGTTCTAACTAAGATTTTTCGTTCTATTCGTGTTGATTGAGTTTATCTATTCTTCATTATTTTTTGTTTTCTTCCTTTCCTTATAACATTATTAATTCATGAATTGATGTAAGACTTCCACTTCTAAATGTATGACGCATATCATACATAAGATTTTAATAAAAAAAATTCAATAAAAACAATTCAAAAATATATATAGACTCAATTAGCACAATTCAAAGAGTATAAGAACTATTTTTTTTTCATGTTATTGATTTTTTAAAACCTCATTCTAAATAGAAGAAATGTGTGATATGTGAGATCCAATCACACTAAAAATTTTAAGTGCTTTTGTCTTAAAAAAAATATTCTAATAAGTTAAAAATAATAATAATAAAACCTAACATGCAATTATTAAAATAAAAATATGGTAATATACAATATCGATTAGTTGTAGGATACTAATTCATGGGTCTAATCCTCTATAAAAAAAAAAAATCTGAATATTTGATAAATTCAAAGTGAAAATTAGGGTTGCTCCCTTAAATTAAAAAAAAAAAAAAAACCCACCTTAAACTTGGGACTGCACCACAATTTTTTTGATATAAATATTAGTTACTCCGAGCATTACTGTTTTTTTTAACGAACATATTTTTACTCGATTTTTTTTAATTGAATGTTAAGTTCCTTTGGTATGTATTTTATTATTCTTAAATTATTATAATATATATTTTTTAAAATACTCTTCATAATTTTATTGTGATAAAGTCCCATATTAAGATAAGGTTTTAAGAAAACAATAGTATGAAAATTAGAAAAATAATTTGGCCTATGTACTCTCCGAATTGTGTTGATTGAGTTATTGTAGTTTTTGAATTATGTTGATAGTCTTTATACTCTTAAAATTATTTTGATTAAATTTATTTATTAAGACTTCACATATCACACATGTCACGTATTCAAGAGTGGATGTGTCATATCAATTTAAGAACTTATGACGGTATAACGAAGAAACGAAAATAAAACAAAAGGAAGAATAAAAAGATTTAATCAATACAAACACACACATAAACAATTTAAAAAATACAAGTAATACATAATGGGCAAGCCCCATTAGTAGGATACTTAGTTTTCATTATATACAGATAGACAAATAGGTTATAGGTGCATTTACAGAAGTCAAAGTTGTTTAATTTCATTCTAAAAACGAATTTATTTTCTTAGCTTAAAATTGATGCAATAAAATTTCTAACTTATACGTGGCAAATAAAATACCAAAACTTTGTCTCCCTCAAATGCAAATGTACCAACCAATTCACAAGATTTTGTAATTACAGTTTCTCCATAGTGTTCCTCAAACAAAGAAGGAATCAAGCAAAACATCCTAAGAGTAATTAATTAATATTAATGCATGCATCGAGACAGCTATCGAAATTATCGATGGATGACCAAATTAATTGTTGTCATTACAAAACGATAAGATGATGATAATGCAGATAAATGGATAGGTAGATCATGGCCCTCCATTATCTCGATTCTCGAATCTCACCAAGGCAATGTCAACTTCAAGGACAAGAACCACCCGCGACCTAGGCCTATCCCCTGAATGCCTTCATTGGAAAGGCGTGTGCTTTTCTTCGAGCAATAAATGAACACTCGATGTGATCAAACACGAATAAAGGTCCTGTGGATGTTCAAAATAATAATAATGAAAAAAAAAAAACAAAACAAAAACAAGTGATGCTTTTTCATGATGGTTTATTCTTTATCACGGTTGACTTGTGCCCTTGATTAAGAAATTACGATAGCTCAGTGTGTGCATAAAAACATGCATGCGGGCTGACCTCTTTCTTGGCTTTTAGCTGGTCGTTTTGCTATGAAATTTGCTTTTGAATTTGAGTTAAGCCAATGAGAGAGGGTGCAAGTGTTTTTAGAAAGATAAAAATGCATATAAACAATGTGCTCATTTGGGTTCGGTCCAAGAAATTTCGAACCTAAATCATCCACTAAAATTATTATTTTTTTAATGTCAATATTAGAAGGGGTAAACTTTGATTTCATTAAGATAATTAATCGGTAATGAGAAGTCTGGTCAAATTCAAATGCAACTAGCTCGTGTTTTGGTGATAATTTTAAAGTAACAAAACCTACGTCAACCAAAAGCTCAGTCATGGATTTCCCACTTATCTGTTATATATATATATATATATATATTCAAGTAAACATCGCGAGCAAACCCTTCAAACACTCAAAATGATCACGTAAACAAATCTAACCCATAGGAAATGGCATAACTTGTAAACGCAGAGAAAGCAAAAGCAACGAAACGAGTATTTTGGCGGACAGTTAATGTAAATATACGGCCTTTGATCTTCAATATTAAAAGGAAAAGCAGTAAAAATTATGTTGGCAAACTAGTTCATATTGACTTTGATTTAACTTGAAGAGTAAGTCTAGGATCTTAGCATACGGACCCACTTGAAAAATTGTTTGGACTCTCTTCTTTCTATTGGATTTTGAATTTCTTGATTTTGCCTACGCACTTTAGGCTAAACCATACTCAATCAACATATCTTTCAGTTTGTTTTGCTAAGACTGTGGATTAAAAAATATATTTTTTGGTTTTTCGAGATGATTAAAAAAGTATAAAAGCATAAAAAAGTCGAAATGATTGTTTTTATTTTATTTTTATGTTATTTAGAATAAGACAAAAAGGATTTTGATTAAAAAAATAATTTTAAATTGTCCAATTAAGAGTTGGAATTAGAATGTGTCATACCCAAAAAAGATCAAAAAAAGAAAAGAAAATGATCTAATTTAAATATATAATCTCTACATCACCGAAAAAAAAAAAAAAAAAAAAAACATGTTCGTGTAACTTTACAAAAGGTTTGGTAAACTTGAAGGCCAAACCATTAAAAACAAGAAAATAATGATAGAGATTATAGTTAAAGAATTATGCTTTCTTTTTGGCTATTAGGTAGACCAATTATTATCAGAAAATCATCTTTTACCTACGAAATTACAGACAGAAGTAATTCTGTCACTAATTCCTGAGAGAATTATCTATGGAAATTCTTTTTTAAAATTTTTTTAAATTTTTTATGTTAGTAATTCCTACAAAATTACCAATGAAAATTCAATTTAATCTTGTGTTTGATGATAATAAAAAATGTTGGGTTTGTGAATTTGGTTCAATTTTTTGTTGATTATGAGCTTATATATATATATTGTATTGTATTGATAATATAAATTTGTTTAAATAATATTTTTCTTATTTTTTTGCATTGAATTTAATTTTAAGGAATACAAATTCAGTAATAACAATACTGAAAATAAATATATGTTTTTTTTAATTTGATTTATTCTTATTTTAAATACCTAGAGAATTACCAAGGAAATTTCACCCTTTTTTATTTTAAATTTTGAAGAAAATAATATCTACTGAAAATTCCGTAGGTAATTCTGTCAAAAAAAAAAAATCCTAGAAATCACTAATGGAATGACATTACTAACGCCAGATTTTTTGACAAAAAATTTTCCATAGGTGCTTCTGCCAGAATTTTTTTTTTTTTCCGGTGGAATCTATTGTTATTACCTATAGAAAATTTCGTAGGCGATTAGCTACTTTTTGGTTGAATCGCGGGGTTATTAAGGAAAAATATATATATATATATATATATGAAGAAAACTGTTTTTTGAGTGATTCAAAAGAGATCTGGAGGGTTATAATTTTTGAATTATTATTAAACCAAAAATAGAAAAAAAATCCCTTTAAGAAATCTCATTAACAAAAAAAAAAAAAAACACCCTTCGAAATGTGAAAGTAACACAATATGGCAATAAAATATGAAAAATCAAGGAAACGATACAGCTGGGATATTCATAAGAGATCGTTGAACTTATCACGTCTACTTTATCATCTATAAAAGCTCAAAACAAATTTCCTTCGCAGAATTTTAGTAATAACAAACCTTTAACACACTTAAAAATAAAAACAGCACAAAATGTTGAAACTTTAAAAAAAAAATAAAAAAAATTAAGTGATTCAAAGGAGATAATAAAACTTGCTTAGTTTATCATATGTAAAGATGAAAATCAAATTGATTTACAAATATCCTAATCGTAATATACACCTTCAACATGCTGAACAATACAAACAACACACAATAAATCCGTTTATAATCCAAAATAATTACTTAAACTTACCATGTTTAGTGTATCGTATGAAAATAGAAAAAAGGTATTTTCTTCATGAAAATCCCAATAGTAAAAAAAAAAAAGGGCGAAAGTTAATGATATTATGTATGTGTATGTGCATATATGGGATTAAGAAAATTATTTAGTGACGAATAAGGGTGATTATTCAGAGATATAGTTTAGTAATAAATAAATTATTTTGATTTGACTAAAATCAAAGTTTGATTTTTATTATTTATAAATAATTAACTATTATTATTTTTTAATGATATCAAATTTAGGCTAATTTATCTTAAAAAATAATCCAACAATTGATCAAAAGCTATACATATTTTGATGTTGGTTTAGTATAAAAAATAATAAATTTAGTCATAATTAATACTAAAATTGAGTCAAAAAATACTTAACTATTTATATATAAAAAAAATATTCAAGTGGACTAACTGGCTTTTAGGAAAATGTAATTAATCGAGATTAAGCTAATTATTAATGCCAACATAGTGAAGTCATGGCAGTGATAGGATCCAAACCATACCATTGGACAATTTTGGTCTTTAACGACTCTTATATTTTGCGAAATGTAACTAATCAAGATTAGGCTAATTATGGATGCTAAAGCAGTGAAGTAATCTCATTAATAGGATCCAAACCAAACTATTGGACAATTTTGGTCATTAATAACTCTTAGATTAGGATTCACAGCTCAAGTTTGGTTATAAGAATTAAATTCTTTATAAATCCTTTAGTTTGGGCACGAATAATTTACCTTAGACTTAGTCAATCATGATACGAAAGCTAGCCTAAAAGGAAACAAAAGATTTTCAATCAATGAAAAATAATGACCTGACAATATTATTCAAATTGAAAAAAAAAAAACCAAGAAAATGTTGAATGTTGATCCTCGTATGTCCTTATCACTTTAAGCTATATTGCTTGTCTTTGACGGATTTTTGTTTTTGATTGCATGTGTCTTCATTTATTAGGAAGGATTCTCAAGGTTGTGTTATGTCACAGAACAAATAGGGTAGTGTTTTACTCTTTTGGATCTTCCCCTCTAATGCCGGCCAGCTCAATAAGATTATCGGATTGATGACTCAAATTATTTTTATATAATTTTAATTCAATGAATTTTATTTTTGAATATTTTTAATCTATTATTATAGTAAGATTTTAAACCAAAAACATCAAAATTAATCATATAATTTATATATGTTTATTTTTAAAATATTTTTATAAGTTAGATAAATAAATACTTTTATATACAAATTATGTCACTAATTTTGATAGTTTAATATATATATTTTTTTAAAAAATAAGTTGAAAGCTCAGTATGTATTTTAAGATAAAATTGATTTAACTAATGAGCTTGTAGTTCAATAGTGGTGGTTTCTTGCAACAAGAAGTTATGAATTTAAATCCTAATAGATTAATTTTGTTACAAGCCTTGAGTGTATATATTAAAAAAAATAGTTATAAAAAAAAATTGATTTAATTATAAATATAAAAACAGATTGTAAAATTATTTTATTATATAAAAATATATTGAGTTATGAACCCAGAATGTATCCTAAACGTGCCAAACGTGGATCTAAAGCACAGCACACAAGCGTGTACTTCTTGGCCGAAAGCACAGCGTTTCTATTTTTGCCGTTGTCATTTGGCTTTTGGGGCTTTTCTTCTATGTCTCTCTCTTTCTGGTACTCGTTTGTTTGTGAATTGTGAAAGAAACGATCCGTCAAAATGAAGCAAAGTTAACTAAAGGATTTATTTGAATGAAATTGACTCTAATTATTTAAATAAATAGTTTGAAAGTTATGTATATAAAAGTTTTTTTTTTTGTTAATTATCTCGGTCTTATATATCCGATAAAATACTAAGAGATTAGTCTAAAACTTTAGATCTAGGATACTCTAAAGGATTAAAAAAAAATATATAGTTTAAAAAATTATTTTAAGGTTAGGATACCCTAAAGCAAAGGTAACCAAAGGGTTTTCTTGAATTAAATGAATTATAGTTGTTTAAATAAGTTATTTGAAATTCGAGTTTTTATGTATATGAAAAAATTTTTGAAAAACTATTTCGATTTTGTGTATCCAATAGAACAACATAGATTAGTCTGGATATTTAGAGTTAAAATACTCTAAAGGATTAAAAAAATAATAATAATAAAGCAAAGGTTTTTCTAAGTCAAGGATGGAGGTTCAGTAATGTAATTAGCTAGTCAAATCAGGAATTGGAAACAACTAAGGAATTTCTTTCTTTCTTTCTTTCTTTCTTTCGTCCCTTAAGCACTCCATATAACCGTGTGTGTATATATATATAGATATAAAGAACCTTTTTCTTTCCCTGCCCAAGCTAGTCTACAAAGACAAACCACGGCCACTACAAGTCTTCTTTGCGTTTTCTTTCATTTTGGTTCTCTCTCTCTCTCTCTCTCTCTCTCTCTCTCTATCTCTCCCACTTTATCTAGTTGCATGATTTAGTATATTGCAACAAGTTAGCTTAACCTTGTTGAGTTAATGATCTTCCAGGTCTTGTCTCAACTTGGTTAGGAAACATAATTTGGAGAGGCTGAGAGATATTCTGAGATATTTGGAAATGGATCAGAGGCCAAACTTTGTTGAGAATGGAGGACTCAAATTGCCTATTGGATATAGGTTTCATCCAACGGATGAAGAGCTTGTTGTTCATTACTTGAAACGAAAGGTCCTTAGTCTTCCATTGCCAGCTTCTGTCATTCCTGAGTTTGATGTATTCCAAACTGATCCTTGGAGCTTGCCAGGTTAGTCAAAAATCCATGTTCTTGAACTGAATTTTATGAGTCAGGATATTATTTAGTGCTTAGTTACAAGTTCTTCTATTCGTTTTTGCTTTGAGAAAAAATGGATTTCTTAACCAAGTAATTGGACCACACAGCGCATTATCTGCTTCAAGATTTTTGAAGGCTTTAGATTCATTTTAACCTCATTAAGAAAACCTTTTGAGTTTTGATCATTATTTGAGAGATCCTGAGCAGGTTTAAACCTGATAATCTGTTCTGGTTTTAGGTAATTCGAAGGAAAAGATGTACTTCTTTGGCCAAAAGAATTTGAATGACTTTGGAACAAAATGCAAGACAGCCGCTGGTTCTGGACCTTCTGGTTACTGGAAACCTATTGGCAAAGGCAAGCTAATTGTAGCTTCTGGTAGCAACCAAGCAGTTGGAATAAGGAAAACCCTGGTTTTCAGAGAAAGAAAGCATTCTAGCAATACTAGAACTCAATGGTTTATGCATGAATATTCCCTTTTAGGCATGGCAACAGACTCCAAAGCAACCCAGGTAAACACACGATCGATGTATTCTACTATCTATACGAACCATTTCCTGTGATATATTACATATGGTACGCAGCTGCAACATTTTTTTTCTCTATGGAATTAATGGGGTTTTGTTTATGACACTCTCATGTGCAGATGAAGGTGGGAGATTGGGTTGCTCATAGTATATTTCAGAGGAAGAGGAAACCTAAAAACCATGTGGTCATGATTTCCAACCCCTCAAACATTAACAAGACTCAAAATGTCGAGAACATCAGTCCTAGTTTTATGGATTTTACGATGGAACAAAGCTCTGATGGAGCTGCTCCTCCTTCCCCATGTTCAAGTGGAGTCACCGAGCTGGTCTCTTCTAATGATCAGTCGGAGGAGGAAGAAATCAGTTCCTTCATTAGCCTCTTTTCTTATCCTTGTAAGAGGAGGAGAACTTAGAATTTCCTCCTAAGGAAACTTAATTTGTATCAGATAGCTCAGATATCGTATGTACGTGCAACAAGCTATCAGAATGACTAAAAAAATGAAATTTACATATCAGTGTTTGTCTATCTAATTCATTTCATGTGATATTATTTCTTCCCTTAGCTGTTCTGTGCAAGCAATATATGAAATTTACGAAGCCTATCACATCGATGATTGAGATGAAATAGGTACAACATGCAGGACTATCATTACCATGTCTGTTAATCAATAAAGCAAGTCACTTAAAACTATCGAAAAGATCGTTTAATTTAAGCAATTTACTATACATCAAAAGGAGAACAAATTTTTCGAGAAGCACGATGCAAAGTAGGCATGAAAGAAAGACAGGTATCCAAAGAAAAAAGAGGAAAGAGGTTCTGCATTATATATGTAAATAATAACTTTGCAAAGAAAAGGAGATCCCTTATGGACAAGCACGCAGAGCCATTGATGCCAAAAGATTGTAGTGAAGAAAAGGCATCTCTATCTACACGTGGGGCTCGATTCTCGTGCATCTTGCTGCAATAAACTAAAGAGGGAACTCCTTCCCTCCTAAAATATGATTCTTCTAATGGTGGGTTCGTGACTTTTGCGTTGCTCACTTACAAGAATTATGTTCTCAATTTCCAGACCTGCATATGTAGATTAACAAAGAGATTCTCTCATTGATTATTTCTCGCTTTTGACTAGTAATTATACTCAAATCAATTAATCTCATATAAATAATAATGTCCTTCTCCCTCTCATAAAGAGTGGTATGGTTGTGTTGGGAAAGGGAACAAGACACAAATTTTCTTTACCAAATACTTCCAGGCTTGGATAACGCAACCTCTCATGGGGTGATGTGAACAAGATTCCTTGTGTCACCCAGAGAAAGCCAAAAGAAGAAAGACATTTGTGATTATTTTACCATTTCCAATCCCATACTCTAGAATAGAATCCTCTCCACCTTAGGCTAGCTTTTCCCGTATAAAATCAATACTTCTCCCACTCATGGTTAGAGAGAACAATAAAATGGTCAGTAGATGAGCACGATTAGTGCATACAAGAGGAGAGAATATGGATCAATGGGTTAGATAGAATGCCACAACTTTGATTAGATTATAAGAGGCGTGTGATCTTTAGGAAGGGATCTTTACAAAGGCCTGTAAGTTGGGTCGTAGACACTTCACATGTGACCACATGTAATGTGCACTCACAGGGATGCAACGAAACATTTTCAACAATTATGTGATTAATTATAATATTTTTATTTTATTCATTATTGCCTTATTGGAGTAACCAGAATTGTTAATCTTATGTATTGATGGAGGATTGGTTATCTTAAAAACAATTGTCGGCAAATTTCGGTGATGCATAAAGCTTCAATGAAGTGATGATGTACAAGAAATAAATATCATTTTGTCATAAATTGCATAGTACTTAATTATTGCCCGTTTTCAGTTCAAAGAAAAGGTCTAAACTAAACAATTTCTTACTGTAGATGTGTCACAATGAGTTAAGCTTGTCGTCTTCATTGTTTGAATTTTTGATAACCCATCGATGTGAAATATGAACATCACATTCATCTAAAAAAGCATAGGATGTTGCTCCATATGAAAAACAATTTTCAGCAACCAAATTCTTTAGCAAAACCAAAGAGTCAGCAAAATACATCCTGTGATATCTCCTTTCTCCTTGCCTCGATTAATGGGCAATTAGCTCAATAAATTTAGAGGTTTTCTCCTCAAAGGGAATTCAAGCGAGTAGATTTCGAGTTAAGAGTCGTAAATTGATGCATCGAAGAACAAACTGATCTAGACAAGATCTTTCCTTGGCTGGTCATGTAATTTTCACGTTAGGTATAGACTACCGACATCTAGACCATATAGCATCTTGTTCATCACATCACATCTATCAAGGTTCAGCTCAAAAGTGTGCAATATTATGTTACAAAGTTTCATGAAGTTGATCTTGTTTGAAAAGAACAGCGAAATTTATTATGATGTTGTCGGATAGAATGTCCGTCCTTACAACCAAAAGTCAATTTTCGGAAAGGAAAGGAGGTACTTGTGTTTTTGTGTGTGGTGGGAAGGGAGTTGGCGGAGGAAGAAAATTGCCTACCGACCGAGGTTGCTTGTAGAAGAGGTTTAAGAATCATTAATTCGTCAAAGCAATGAACATTCTGCACGTAACCTAATCAGAAACAGAGGTTAGAGGTTTTTTAAGCAGATGAGAATGGTCTGCAGTGTACATTGCTGACTTTGATGCCTCTTATCTTTTGTCAATCATGTGGGCCTGGTCGTGTTGGTAGGCCACAACCAATTCACAGCACTAATCATTTATACCTTTTTCCCTCTGAAGTCAATCATATCAAGAAATCCTGATGTTTTTTCAATAAATGAAAATGAAGACATCCTCTAGGACTATAGTAGTTTTCTTGGGAGACAAAGTAGATGTTTGTTGATGACAATAGTAGATGTTTGTTGATGATAATCTTAATTCCATATTCTAGAAGTAACAATGTGAGAGCCAACACAGCCTGCTCTGGGGCCTTCAAGGTTTTAAAGAGGACAAAGGAATAAATAAGATTGAGATTTTTGGCTTGTAGTTTTTTGTTCGTGTTAGATAATAACATAAATTATATCTTGAGACTTTATTTAACAACTTAAGCTTTTGAATGAAATAATCATTTGATATGATATCAAAATCTTAATGATCAAAAGGTCATGAGTTCGAATTCTAACATTCTCACTTTTTCTTCTAATTAATTAAGCACAAGTTAGGGCTTTCATTTAAGAAGATGTGTTAGAGAATAATATAAATCATATCTTAGGCCTCACCTAACAACTTAAGTTTTTGGATAAGATGGTATTTTAACAATTCGCAATCCCGACCAAAACCTCAACGAAAATGGAAGAGAGGGTAATTGCTTGCCTGGCCTAAAAGGTTTCGAGAACATGAGACTAACAGAAATACCAACCCAGCAGTTTTCGCCATCTCATTAACCCTAAAGCAAACCAAGAGAAAAGGTGCTAAAAAGGTCACCTGAAAGAACTTGCTGCACTCCTTACCCAGCCGGTGCAGTACTTTACCTCCTATATTTGTATTACCCAGAGTTCAATCAGAACCATTTCTTTTTAGATGGATGACAGGTTAAATGTCCTATAACCACTAGCAGATACAGGCATCTGAAGCAATTGATTCATGGTATACTGCTCGAACACTGAAACCATACCAGAAGTGCATGATACCATATGGGCTCCGAAAACAGAAATAAGTTCATCCTCTCTAAAGAAGTCTTGTTGTTCAGAGATAGCTGGTAAATGAAGTTTCCATTTCCTAGACATACAAGGATCTCCCCATTTCCCTTTTAAGATCCTCTTGACATATAAGAATATCTGGTTTTCCAACTACATTTGCAATGCAAAACCTTGAAAATAATCTGCTTCCACATTCAGATGGTGATACAAAAGATAAGGGATTCACAGGATCATAAGCCATCGGTATTTGGATCTCTATCATTCACAAAATTGGCTGAGAGAGTAAAGATGACACCTATTTTGTCGGGCACACAATGGTCCTAACTCCGAAGAGCTAACTAACAGCTATACCCAACAGGCAGTTTTCAGTTTTCACAAAATAAGAAAGGTGTTAAGAGAATCACCTGAAAAAACAGCTATACCACACTGGTGCTAACCATAGGTCCCTTATCGCTGTCTGGAAATGCCTAGAGTTAAACCACCACAAAATTCTTAGATGTGTAACAATCTCAAGGTCCTATAACACATTAATGACTAGCAGATAAGGCACTTGAACCATCATAATACAACTGAATGATCATGGACCAACCACGCTTTAAGTACAGTATGGAAAGCAGTTACAATATGATGCCAAAAGAAGGGATCAGGAAACTGCAATTAGATCATCTCCTCTAACGGGCAAAGCCGCTCTGCCCTTCTGTTATAGGTGGGTAACTCGAGTTCCAGTTTTCTATGATAAAATGGTCCACCATAGTTTCCTATTAAGATCAATTAGGCAGATAAGACACTGGTTTTCCAACACAAATTTCCCAACAAAAGCCTTGCAAAATATCTCCTACCATATTTTCAGTGGTATATTGCATCACTAGACCCAACACCTAAACAAGAAACATAAAAAATATGTTCATTCAAGGTCTTATAAATTCACAGAGTTCCCTGGTCTCCTGAGCAACCTTCTTGCTAAAGGTAAATAATATTGATAGACGATCTAAAAGAAAGGTAGCCACGAAACAACAAGTAATAAGTTGAGTACACCAGATCTTACATTCCATCAACATGCATAGCAAATACGAAAAGTGTCCAAGAGAAAAGGATCAATTGCATTTTATGTTAAAAAATCTTTACAAAGTGAAGAAACCATTTAGGTGGTTACATGGAAGTAATAGACGAACTCAAAACATTGCCTACGCATAAATAGACCTAGAGGGAGACCACATAAACCAAAAAAGGCTTCAAAAGACTTGCAATCACAAGAAACCTGAGAGTATTTTATGTTCTATCTCACTCATTTTTCCAAGTTAGCTTTCAGTGTTGAGGCCCTCTTTTTCTGCGACTCCTGAAGTGCCAGCTGCAGAAATTTTTGAAGGTGGTGATTCAGAACATGCCTTGAGGACAGCTTCATTCTGTAAAAGCATGCTTCAAGAGATGAGATATGAGTATTTACCAAATGGATTAGAAAGACTGAAAGACATTAAAATTTAAACAAGAAAGAAATAGTAGATAAGTGAAACTTCAGATTTTAGTTTGAAAGAAAACAACAGTAGCAAGTTCTGCTTAAAAACAAAATCCATCATTTGTGGAAGCAATTGCTAATGTCTCTACACTAATCCGAAAGCATCTGAAACAAAATAAGAGCATCAGCTTGTTGAATTCAAAAAACAAAACTTCAAGTAATGAGAACACAGACGAAATCATGCATACAAAATAGAGAACAGAATTCTGTTGAACACAGCCTAGTTTTAAGAATACAGAATATATATATATATATATATATATATATATATATATTGATGAAGTGACATGAACAAAGAAACTAAATTCAAGAGTTACATCACAGGGCTTTGGCAGAGAGTTGATGAAGTTTTATTCCAAGGAGATAAATTACGGAGGCTACCTTCCTCATAAAGACATTAGTAGGAGAATGTTTACACAGAGAAAAGAAAGCTCAATATGGTCTTTGTTGATAGAAAGGACTGGAATAAGGTTCTCAGAAAAACTTTACGGTATATCTTGGAAAAGAAACAAGTCTCCATATGATAAATAAAATCATACCCAATTACTTTTATTTGATAAAAGAAGAATTTGTTGATAGAAAGAAACAAACATACAGAGCTAAAGTGGAGAATAAGTCATCCTTCAAACAAGAAAGAGACAACACTATCCCAAATAAAAAAATAAAAGAAGATGCAAGTCCCTATGAATATAAGAAATTCCCCTAAAAGCACTAGCAGCATGACACCACAAACATGCAGGCAAAACTATCCTATCCCATAACATCTTGCAATCAAGTAAGTGCCCGTTTGGCAATTAATGGCTTTTGGGGCTTTTTTCCTAAAAGCCATTGCAAAGTGCTAGGTAAAATTCTAAATGCTGTTTTGAAAGTTATTTGGAAGCCAAATTGCAGAAGCTATAAAATTAAGCTTTTGGGCTTTTGAATCTTATTTGACATAAAAGCATTTAAACAGCACCTATTACCAAACCCTTTTTTACAATTATAACAGCAAAAGCCACAGCTTCCCCAAACGGACCCTAAATGGTAAAAAAAAAACTGTATTCCTTGCAATCCTTCTCCCCGCTGATGACCATATAATATAGTTGGTGGTTGCTAGTTTAAAGGACTGGTATGGATAAATTCCTTCATGTACTCTGTTTATAGAGGGGGATTTTACTTCAAGCAACCATTTGTTTTTTATGACTCAGTCATGGAAAAAATACATAGCAACAAACCAGAATTGGGGTAAACCAAAATTAGATTTGGGGATCTACAATAACAAGAAATGAGTAAAAATTTACGTATTTTAGCACTACCGAAGCTAGAGCATTGAGTGTTGTTAGATTGAATGAAGCATCAAGAATTATTGCTTTAAGAACCTACCTAGGTTCAGTTAAAATGGATTGTGAAAGCAAAAATGCAAACTCCTAATCATAAAATTCGGTGAAATAATCTATGTTAATGAGAGTTTAATAACAAATAAAATTAGTATTTGAAGCTATACTAGAGCAAAATTGAAAATTCAAGCACATATTAAAACCCTAGCAGTAAAAGTAAGGCTTTTGAACACTAAACTAAAACGCATGAAGCATTACAGACAATTGATTTAGAGAGAGAGACCTGCCAAACCCTAAGGAGGCGTTTCTTGGCGTTGGCTTTACGAGTGGTGGTGAGTTTAATTCGTTTCCATACAAGCCCACCTGAGTCATGCTTCTTCACTATCTCCATTACTCTTGTTCCCCAAAATGCCCCCGCCCCTACCATCTCTCTCTCTCTGCTTTCTCTTTCTATTTTAGCTAGCTATGGAATTTCTTTCTCTGTTTGTTTTGTGTGCTCGTCTGCTCTGCTGCGTTACACCGGAGGAACAAATGGGAAAGAGAAGAAACGGGGCGGAAAAAAACAACTACGAGGGGCCAGGTTAAAGACTTAAAGCGCCGTCGTTTCGTTTAAATGCGGTCATTTAATACCATTTTCCTGATTTTGGTTTTCTGATTTTAGAAAACCAAAAACTGTTTTATGTTTATTATTTAGTATATTCTAAAAATTGTTTTTATTTTTTTTAACAAAAATATGTAAAGAAAAAATTCTAATACATACTTAATTTAAAATTTTATTATGTAATTTAATTAAAATGATTAATTGGAGTATTATGGCTATAACTTGAATGATAATAATAATAGTGGTATTAACATTGTGATAATTGATATGATACTAAAAATAAGAATAAGAGTTATAGTATTATCAATTTATGGTGATTGTAGGGACAATTAATGTTCGAGTAACAAAAGAGAGGCATAAGAGAATAATGATCTCTCATTCGGTTAGAGAAATAAACACCACTCAAATGACACGAGCAGTAGTTCAAGTAGCAATCCCGATGACACAAGGAGAGAGGGCATGATCAAAAGTGCAAACAGACAAGTCCAATGAAAATAGTTGACCTAGAACCTTGAACCTATTCAAGCTAGATGACATATAAATGAAGAGAAAAAAAAAAAAAGAAAAGGAAGCCTATATCTTGGTAGTGATGACCTATACTTCTTTAAAGATTCCAAGTTGGCTACTTGTGTTTTGCTTAATGGACATGTTCTATCACCTTATTTCCACTTAAGTCATGGCCATGCTACATAATTTCGGTTAAGCTCGGTTGAATTACATGTATACTTTATTGAGTCTACTTGGTCCATTTTTTTGTAAATTTTTTTTTATTTACAAACTTACTATGCAAAGCCAAAGAAAAAAATTTTCAATGACTTTATGTTTTAAGCATTGTAAAGAGTAGGCAACTCGTTAACATCCTAATTTTTACTTGTCTATGTTTAAGTTTTTTAGTTAAAAGAAAAAAGAAAAAAAGAGTCATTTGGAAAATAATGATTTTTAGGTATAATTGAAGAAAATTAAATGAATATTTATTGATTAAATTCAATTAAGAGGTGTAATTGAAATGCAAGCAAATAAAATTATATCAAAATTTACAAATACAGAGAAGCCGGAGAATAAAACCGATATTTTCCAAACCCTAATTTTTCTCTATAATTACTCTAAACCAAACGACCTCTAAAAAAGAGAAGGATAATTAACCCATTTACCCGTTAGACCTATTTCGATTTTCTTCTCATAAATCAATCAATTTCTAACAAAATCAAACTCCCACAATAAATCGAATTATTCCCCACTCGAAAGCGACCAAAACCCTAAAAAATCCTAACAAAAAAAACCTTGAAATCGTTAGAAATCAAAGAGGAGAAGTCCGATCGACTTGTTTTCTTCTCTCTCGGATTTGGCCATTTTCTAGCCAAATTGAGAGTTGCCACCACCACCACATAAGACTTTCTCAAGCCTCCAACAAACATTCTCCTCTTGCTATTATTAAATAAAACTCCTAAATCGATGATGATTGACCGACTGCTTGATCTTGACTCCTTTAATAGAATCCGACCAAATCTTCCATCTCTAATTGAATTGGACCCCTTAAATATTGTAAAAATACTCCATATGGTCTTCTAAGTTGATTGATGTCCTCCTCTTACCTAGCCATCGCTAGAAACATGGTCGTGGAAGAAAGAGAAAATGATGATTGTCGATCAATGCCAATCCCCTAATCTAATTGTCATGAGCAACACTCGCTTTTACTAGATGATAGAGGAGACTCAATCGATCCTTTCTTGGCCAGTCATGAGCTTGAAGGTGGTCGGACGGCGGTCATGGCTAGTGCTGGTGGTAGTAGAAGTTGGGGTATTGAGGTTAGTTTGGTAATTTTGCCTTTTAAGGGCATTTTGGTCATTTTAACTTACCGGGGGGAATTTTGGTTATTTCATAATAGCCACTTTAAGACTTTAAATTTTTAAAAGGTAGCTGCTTTTTCTTCCTGGCTAATTGAATAATTATTTTTCATTAGGGTTGAAAAAATGGAATTGACCCCGAAGAGGACTTTGGACAATTTAGTACTTTTCAACGAGAAAAATAAAAAATGCATGTCGATTGTGCTTAAGATTTGAAGTATGGTCGGATACATTGTTTTGTATCGAACTTGAAAGAGTCGGAGACTTTGGATATTTTGAGGTGATATAAGATTAGTGATCAATTCTATATGATGGAGTAGGTTTGGAAGCCATTAAAAACTTCATCATGTAAGTGGAAAGCCACCGACAGCTTCATTTTAAATGAACAAAAAATAAGTAAATTGACTGGGTAACTACTAGTAGCTTCGTCCACACCTGGTGAGAAGCGATCGATAGCTTAATTTTAGACAAGCAAAAAATAAATGAAATGACTTCAAAACCACTAAGTGGCTTTGTCACATAAGTGGATAGCCATCGATAGCTTCATTTCAAGCAATCGAAATTAAATAAAAATGATTTAAGAGCCATTGGTCGTTTCATCCACATAAATGAGATGCCACCAATAGCTTCATTTCAATCGAATAGAAAAGTCAAATAGAAAGCGAGTAAATTGATTTGAAAGCCGGTGACGGCTTTGACCACACGGGTGGGAAGCCATCAATAACTTTATTCAAACAAACAGAAAGCATGTACATTGATTTTAGAAGCCATTAGCGACTTCTTCGATATGTGAGAAACCATTAACAACTTCATTTCAAAAAAATAGAAAATAGGTAAATTGATCTGGAAGCCATTGATGGCTTCGTCCACATAGGTGATAAGCCACCGACGAGTTTCAATTTAAACGAGTAGGTATCCAATAAATTGGTTTGGAAGTTGCATACAACTTCGATCGCATAGATGGAAAACCATCGAAACTTCATTTCGTTATATCGAAAGCAAGTAAACCGATTTGGAAGCCACGTACGGCTTCGATCATGTTAGTGAAAAGCTATCGACAGTTTTATTTCAATTAAACAAAAAGCAAGTAAACCGGTTTGGAAGCCACATACATCTTTGACCATAAAAGGTCGAAAGCTACCGACTAACAAAAAAAAAAAAAAGTTTGAAAGTCATAGACAGTTTCGACCACATAGTTAGAAAGCTATCGAAGCTTCATTTCAATTGAGTAGAAATCCAATAAACTGGTTTGGAAGCTATAGGCAATTTTAACCATATAAATGAGAAGTCACCGAGCAGCTTCACTTTAATCGAATGGAAAGTCGGGTAAAAATCTCAAATATAATCGGACAAAACATTTGATAGCTCAATCATTCACAACATTTTTGTTATTTTCATTTATTATTTTTAAACAACCCGGATAGGTTCAAAGATTACCCAAATGTCATAAGGCTATTAACGGTTCTTTTTTTGGATCGGTTTTACTTCCTTTAATCTCGATGAAGACCGATCATTTCGGTTAGCCAAGAAAGAGGAAGTAATTGCTCTTGAGCTTTTTTCGGTTTTATTCCGTCCGACTTAATATTCCATCCGATCCAATATTCTTGTTCTTTCATCGATAAACTAACCGTTTTTTCTAGTTTCTTGTTTCAATACCAACAAATAGAAACAATATAAAATTATAGTCTACAATATCATGTTATTCCTATCAAATACAACAAACAACCAAGAATAGTTTTTATGTATTTATTTTGTCAAAAAATCAGTTCAAGTTTCTCTATCACACATTTTGCACTTTTGTTCTTTTTGGTGTGATTTCATCTAATATTTAAGGATGAAATTTGTTGGGTACTTTAGCTGGTGTTTCAACTAAAAGAGGAAATAGGAAGTCATTGCAATCGAGAGGAAGGAAAGGGATGTTGTTGCCAAGAGGGAGAAAAAGTTTGTTAGTGGTCTCGACCAAGGAGATGAGAAAGGGTTATTGCGGTCGAGAGGAAGAAAAGACTTGATGAGGGCCTTGGCCAAAGAGAAGGGGAGAAGATGACTTCGAGTTATAGGAAAGACGAACTAGTTTAGCTTGTAAAAGGAGATGAAATTGAGGCTTGTGGTGGTTAAAGTTCACGGCTGAAATAAAGGCTTGGGATGGAAGAAGTTTTGGCTAAAATGGAGGCTTGGGCTGGAAGGGGTCATGGCCGGTGTGGTGGTGATTTGTGAGGATTTGGCTAATGAGGAAAATAGATAATAGGGTTATGGCTTTGTATAGTCGTGGCTTGTGGAGGATTCGACCAAAAGGAAAATAGAAGAGGAAGCTTGTGTGGGGGAGCGAAGTTTCGACTATAATGGTGGATGAATAATGGCTACCAAGTTTTAGAGAAGATGATGAATAGTAATTCTAGTGGATGATGGTGGTTTGTATGGTTGAAGAATGGTGGTATTTAGGAGAAGGGGTGTTCAATCAAGTGGAGGAGGGGAGAGGAATGATTCGGTTGCAAGATTTTAAGGAGAAGATGAATAGTAACTAGTATAAAAAAATGAGAAGGAGGTGAATATTTATAGATGAAAATCGGGACTTTTTGGGCAAAGATCAATTTTGATCTTTGATTCCTCCTAACTCATCAATTTAAATGCAATTTTGATTATTTGAACTTCAATGACAACCCTAAATTATAATTAAGCAGGACCTCTTCTTTTAGATTTCCTCCAATTGTACCCTTCCTTTCTTTTATTTAAGGGTTTGAGCTTTTTAATTGTATCCTCAATTGAATTTCTTGCGGTTTCTAAACTTTCTATTTCTTTTAACTAGACTTCCGAACTAATTTGAGCCGTTTATTTAAATTGATTTCTTTTCTCTTTTTTTTTTGTTTTTGTTTTTGTTTTTTTTTATGTTTGGTACTTGTTTTGTTTTTTGTATTTTTGCCTAAAATAAAAGGAAAATAATAGAGGTGAGAAATTGGTTACTAACAACCATAATAGTAATAAAAACAAATAAATTCAATTATCCATAAATCAATTATATATCTTGAATATATTTAACAAATAAGAAAGGATAACAATAATATTTTTCATTACCTATAAGCATACTTTTTAGGCTAATTAATTTTTTTTAGCTTTTAAAAATAAATTAATTAATCTTTTTGTTTAAAATATGGAAGAATTAATAATAAAAAAATATTTTTAAAATAAAATAATATTAAATTAAACATTGTCAACGCTAGTCTATGAACTAAATAATTAGTTTTTAAAATAAGAAATACTAATTAATGTATTCTTAAAAATAAATGAACTAATTTATAATTTACTCGGATATATTATCACATATATCCATGTTTTTTCTTTTGAAGATAAGGGATATTTTTATATTAATTTACACGCCAATTAAGTTAAGATAAATTTTTATAGCCACAGCACTGTATACGTTTTCAGCAACGATATATATTCACTTAATAAAGCCTTATCTGTCAATAACAATATCCAGATATAGAGGATAGGGAAACGGACAACGTCACAGCAAGAAACACCAATAAAAGAAGAATTGCATGGCTATCTAAGAGCTTCAACTAACGACATTACATGCATGCTACCGTAATTGAAAACTGAAACTCATGGACACATGTTATTACCAAAATTTTGGAAGTTACACTTCCTTAATGATAGGGTTGTTAAATCTTTAGTGGTAGATTTCTTACCCAAGCAAAGAATGAACAGATAAAGATAAATGTAGGTTTTGTAAGAGAATGGTGATAACTGAAAAAATCCATTTTTTTTTCTATTTTAATAAGAGGTTGTTTTTTACGTTGTAAAAATCTATTCCTAAAAATTTTAACAATCATTTCCTAAATTTGTTAGCGTACAAGGTAGAAAAACCCATATATTTATCGAAAATAAAAAAAAGTTCATCCAAACCAAACCCAACCCCCCGTAAGCCTTGTCAATTCCTCTGTTATTCTCTGTTTTTGTTGGAACCTGTATATACACATTACTTTTGGAACCATCAGAAAAAGAATTCAAGAACATATCTTGATCGAATCTATAGCTCAGCGAAAGAGACCATTGGTAATACCTTAACTTTCCTATGTTGTTCAAGTGGAAATTGTTTTGTTTCCGTCCATGCCGTGACATTTCAACGGCACAGCCAGAGGAGGCTGCAGGGCCAACATATGAAAATCTTGGATCCATTTATCAAAGAAATGGTGATAAAGGTGGCTGCAAAGATGAAGAGGAAACCGATTCTTCAGCTAGCCGTAGACGGAGAAGCTTTTCCAGCTTTGCAATTGAAAGAGGATTCTTGAAGTGGGTTCTTGGTTCTAACGATAAAGATAGAGGTTTGGAAAGGGAAAGAGAGCCTGTCCATAATGGACGAAAAATAGAAAAGAAACCAGAACCAGCTGGTATCGTTCAAGAAGCAAACCATGCGAAGACGGTCAATTCTAATGAGGTGATGGAGGAGGCTGTTAGCGAGGGAAATGAAGGTTTAAAGGAAAACAGCATATTTTCTTCTCAAGAACCTCCTAGTTTCAGGGTATACTGTGTTCATAATGTCTCAGTCCATGGTGACGGTAATGAAGGTGAGACTTCAATCAAAAGATAATTCATTAATAATTAGGATTATTCCGTTTTTGCTTTGTTTTTTCCGATCTGTTCTTTTCTCTCTGTTTCTAAGGGCGAAAAGCTCACCTGTAATTTTTTAGATACTCAATTAATAGAAGATCAAGGTAGCGTGAATCATTTTCTGAGAAATTTATCTACAAATCATTTTTTCTGCGAGTTGGGAATATTTATGGTTTTTTTTTTTTTTTTTTAACATGCAAAGCTCAAGTGCTGGATTTTTATGGCTAAAAATTATGCAAAAATGTTTTTTCTCAAAATTAAGCATTGCAAGAATAAATGTTAATGCAGTTTAATTCTTGAGGTTTTCCTTTTCAAACCAAACACAGGCAGGGCCAATTAATAATATCGTAAACATGCTAAAAAGGAAGTCACCTTCCTTTTCTGTTTAGTAGAAAAAGGTGACAGAGAAAAAAGAAAAAGAATCACTGAAGGAAACCCAGAAGGCATATAAATCTACGACTTACTGATAGTAGCCTTTCTACCTATCTATTTCAATAGAATTATGCACCTAATAGTTAGCAATATCACCCTTTATTACTACTGCTAATAAGTCAGCTGAAACCATTCTGATCTGTATATATAGCTTCAATTCAATACTTGAAATGATTCTTTTTCCTAATTAATGCAAGAATAATAGTTAAACCCAAAATACTTGGCATTTTACATGTCTGTGCTTACAGTACATATTCACATCCTTCAAGAATCATGCTGTTGATACCTGTTGATCTGTGCAGTATTTGATATGCTCTGTTTCTCTTCTTCGAGCAGGGATCAGAGAACCAGGCAGTGGCAAGAAGAAGAAAGGCAAAATTTAGGACTGCTTCTCTCGAGCAGTCGTCCATGCCCTCAACTCCTCCAGAGAGTGTCCATAAATCGGTTGGAGAAGTTGTACGCTAACTGTCTGCTATCTACCTAAGATACAAGGCAATCTTTCTCACTGCCTCTGATTGTTTTTTTATTTCGATTCTTGAGTTTCAAAGCTAAAATTCTTATTTGAGACTGCTCCATCTTCCCTGCTTAAGGTAACACCATTGATATTTTAGGCCGCAGTTTTGCTTCTGTTTAGAAAGGGATTTGATCAAGTCAGCAATAATGTCAATGTATATTCATTGTATAAACAATGCATCTATAGATAGTTTTGAGTCTTTTGACGCATGCACTTGAATTGTGCAAATATATGCAAGTAAACATTTCTGAAAATCATCTCTTCACCACTCCCATTTTAACCTCAAAACATGTAAAACTTGAACTCAGGACCTCTTATTGGGCTAACCGTTGTGGACAACAACCATATGGTGTTGAGACATGATAGAAATTAACGTGTGTAAATGTTAGGAACATGCATTTGACATTCTTGGAGATGCTGTTTTGTCTGAAAGAATACATACAAAACTGATAGAGAAAACTAAGCTAATTGGTTGGAATTATATATATAAATATATATATTTAAATAATCAAAGACTAGCGCTTGATTAGTTATTTTTATTTCTTAATATAATTAAATTCATAATTATTTTAATTAACTAAGTTTTTAATTTTCTATTACAGTTGGTTAGTTATTAATAGTTTTCAAACAAACATAACGAGTTGATCTTATGTCTACAAGAATTTTTCAAATAAGCATAACGAGTTGACCTTATGTTGTTAGAAGTTAGATTGTGATTGTTAGAATCCAACGAGTTATGACTATTAGATTATGACTGTTAGAATTAACAATTACGTATGTTATGACAAGGTATCAATAATCTATAAATAGTGAACTATTACACAAAACAAAATCAATTATATTCACTGCAATCCTCTTCTCCTATCAAAAGTATTTTCCTTCTAAAACTCTACAACTTTTTTAAAAGATATCTTTTGAAGGAATTTCAGGAGTGCTTGTCCGTAGTTTCTTGTGGCCATAAATTGTATCATAAAACTGAATTGCTAATAATCACCTTAAAGGATAGTGTGAGGTAATTTTTACACGAAATTAAGCACTACGTAATTATGTTCTTCTTCAAGTTCATTTTGACTTTTTTCAAACATTTTCCTCCAAAATGAGCCCCTAAATAAAGAAAGTAGCTATCTTGGCTTGGTCCTCAGAAAGGAAAACAATCTTTGAAGTGAACTTGATCATTCTTAAAAGTCAGAGAGAAGCAATATATAGAATGTCACGAAGAGCAGTAAAGATGAAGTAAAAGAGAAGTAAATTTCCTCATCATCCTATCAGAAATACGCAGGCCATATATGTTCTTGCTGGAATTGTCTTAGCAGAATAGAACCGCAGCCTTCACTTCAAATCAAAAGGCAACAGTGATTGAGAAAATGCCATCCTTTGGTCTCTCCCTTAGGCTTCAAGCAACAAACCTTTTTGACCGCTTAAAAAAATCAACATTCAAATGACCGTGCATCTTCTATCTGTTTCACTCCATGATTCTCCTACACATGGCCGGGACCTTACGTTTTCAAAACAATAACATCTCCTTTATAAGTCATAAAGTAGAAAAGAAAGACAGTGAAATGATGAACAAATTATATGTGCATATATTAAATTAATTGGAAGCCTTTATTACTTTTAAATACTAAGAGAGAATCAATAAATAAATAGCCCCTCTTTGCCTCCTTGATAATGCCATAAGAATTGTAATACATTCTCTAAAATACCCTTACCAAGAACCCTTTTATTCATGTCCTCGATAAATAAATAAGCTTTTTCTCCATCATTCTATAGAAATAATAAATTAAAAAAAAATTGATGCAGATACTTTTCAATAATCCCGGTCAGTCCATGGGAAGATTTGTTTAGCAGCATTTCTAAGGAATGCGTTGTTTGCTTTATAATGCTATTATATTCTCCTACTTCCCAAATTCTAATATATATATATATATTAAAAAATTAGTTTTGACCACTAAAATTTGAGATTTTTCTTTAAAGTTCAAGTCTTGGGAAATATTAATGGATATTTTGACCACTAAAATTTGAGATTTTTCTTTGACGTTCAAATCTTGGGATATATATATGTATATATATTAAAAAATTAATTTTGACCTCTAAAATTTGATTTTTTTTTTTAATGTTCAAATCTTGGGAAATATTAATTAATGGATAACTATATTATAATGATTATGTCAATAGAGTGAAGTTTTTCTAAAATGTGCGTCAGTTCATGATAATTGACTGATGCCAATATTTCTGTGCAACTACCCCACACTAAAAAAAAAAAAAAAGAGAATAAAATGATTTTTGAGTCTTTAAGTCAAATTTATCACGTGAAAGAAACGGAAGGAAACCTTACTCACGTCGTCGTATTACATCACCTAAATAATTAAAGAAAATAAAAATATTCTAGTCCGATATGTTAGTACAAGTAGTCGGCCCAACTTGTCAGGCTTGAAGAAGTGGATTTAACAATAGACTGTACAGTGAGTATCATGACTTTTTTAGAATCTTCCTTTTCTATTCTCAATCTAGTATTTTTTTTTTTTTTTAATTAAGTTCTAAATCTTCCCCTTCTACTTGTTAGAATGGTCTTTTATTTTATTCTCTTAAATTCAATTTAGAATGTTTTTGATTAAGGTTATAACCTAACCCTCCTTGCTTACATACATGTTATGTTTTTTTTTTTTTCCTTCATAAAGGCAATGTAATATAATTTCAGAGCTAAGATGAAATCTTTTTTATTCAACAATAAAAAAATATCTTTAGTATAGTTTATTGCCAGTCAATTAATATTAACAATGACTTTTTTTATTCAACAATAAAAGATGATATCTTTAGTCTAGTTTGTTGAATGTCAATTAATATTAAGTTTTTTTTTTAATTGTATTAAAGATGCATTTTCTCGTCGTATGATATATTTATAAAAAATTAATAAATTTTTTTGAATGCTGGCTATTTTAGAAAAAAAATCATACATTTTTTTTACCATTAGACTAATCTCTCAATACTAAGGCAAAAAAAAATTTGATTTGTTGATAAAATGAACTAAAATATTTATAAAAAAAAACTGGCTAACACCTCCTTTGCACATGTCCCTTTTTTTTTTTTTTCCTTAAAAGAGCACATGATTTAAAATTGAGGCGACTTCAATGAAAAATCTTCAAAATTATACACACCTTAGTCTTAGAAAATGAATTTTTATTTTTTGAATCAATAAATATGGAGGTGGTTTTCTCAATATAATTGCTAAAAGAAAATCTAAAATAAATTTATTGTTCTTCAATACCATGTGCTCTTATTATTACACTGATGGAAAAAAAATTCAACTATAACATAACAAATTCGATGATCATAGACCAAGTTTGGCTTTTTGTTATGTCAAATTTAAAAAAATTCAACCTAAAACTTGAAAAGGTTAGTAAAGTAATTAGCCTTTGTCCAACTCATAAAAATACCTCTAGTTGAAATTCATTAGTATAATAATTTCATAATTGCAACATAACACTACGGAATTTCGAGGAAAATTATTATTATTATTATTATTTAATTGACTTGAGAAAAAGAAGTCCAGTAGCCACCAAATCCTTCTATCAAGCAAAACGTCGTCTTTTCTCAAAGTAATTCAAACAAAATAGAGGGACAAAATGGTAAAAACATGAGAAACTGAAGATCTGACCAAACCCATTATCGGTCAAAGTAAAGATAGTTTTAAGTTTCTAGAACTCTTTGCTTCTCTTTCTATCCTTGTCAGCAATATCTGACTTTGACTAGCCTACTTCCTACATCCAAAACCATACACAACCCCATGAATCTCCCACGTGTCACATCTTCTAAACCCACTCTCGCCGCCCTTCTTCCACTTAAATTACCAAAATACCCAGACTATAGCACGTGCCGCTCAATGAACTGATTTTCTCAATGACTGGGAGAGGAGGCACTATAAAAGCCCGCACTTTCTCTTAAAGCAGTTTTATTTCCCTGAATTCATTTCTCTTTTTTCTAAATTTTGATCTGTTACAAGTCGTTTTTGACCAAAATAGCAATATTTATTTTTTCTTTTTTCTCCTCTTTCAATGTTGTTGAAACTATCGAATTGAAATCCTCCCCTCGCCCTACCTAATTCACAATCTCTTTCTAAATCCACTGAATTCGAATTCTCTCTGCTGCGGCTCTGTGATTCTTGCACTGTAATTAGGGTTTTGCGGAAAATGAAGTCCAAACTGAGAGGATTTAGACTGAGAAGGAGCGAAGCGAAGGACAAAATTGACTCCTTGCTTCCTGCTCAGTTAGATGAGCTTGCTCAAGCTGGTCAGGTACGCTCTTCCTCTCTTTTTTTATGCTTCTGGAGTTGATCTTTTTCTTTTACTTTAGCTCGATTAGTTAATACTATCTATTTAAGCTCTCTTAACTGTTGTTAATCTTGATTACGGATTTAAAATTTTTTTTTCCTGGCGAGAATAAATAACAGCGGAAGACGTAATTTCCTTTGTTTTATAAAATAGAACTCAATTAATTGAAATATCTGATTTTTTTAAAAAAAATTAGAAATTCAGATCGTTTAGTTGTTAAATGCTGTGGATTGAATTTTCCTACTCAATTAGTGAATTTTGACTTTTTTTTTATAGTTTTCTGTAATTCGGTAGAGGGTTTTGATTTTATTATTATTATATATATATATATATTTGCAGGATATGCAAGACATGAGAAATTGCTATGATAGTTTACTTTCCGCAGCTGCTGCAACAGCAAACAGTGCTTATGGTAATATTTCTAGTCTTTGTTTTAGGTCTTTGTAGCTTTTGTTATCCAGCCATTTCCGATTAGAATTTGGTTTGTTTTGGATGCAAATAGCGAGCTTCATTTTTTTACCTATTTGATTTATTTTGAGTCAGAAAGTTGTTGCTGGTTTGACTAATAATTAATATCATAATTTACTCTGTTGTACATGAGTTTTTGTATTTTTATAGTGACATCGGCTGCAATAGTTTTACTGTACTTTGTACTCTAGTATTGCATTTACTCTCAGTGGCTGTATTGACTTTTCCTTGTTGAAGCATTGCTTATGTAATCGTGTGGTCGTTTATAATTAACTGGTGTGGTTAAATTAAAATTTGATATTTGCATGTGATAGATTCCTTGTCAATTGTCATGTACAACTTGAATTATTGAATACACAGTTTGGCAAGTTTTTTTTATCTGTTTTTCTGTCATAGAATTCTCCAATTTGACTTCATCTGCACTTTCAGAATTCTCAGAGTCATTGCGGGAAATGGGTTCTTGTCTGTTGGAGAAAACAGCACTACATGATGATGAAGGAAGTGGTAAGTGAAAGAGTGAAATGAATTATTTAAGTTGCAGGTTGTCCTTGAAATTTTTTGAGATGGATTCCATGGCGTAGCATGCTTTCTAAACTGGAGCGTGGAATTTATAGCTAAAAATTTGGTAGCGAGGGTTTTCATGAATCTGAAAAAGCTATACTGTACTAATACACGCTCTTTCAAATTTACCTTGAACCCTTGTGAACATAGTAAAATAAAAATACTGACTTTTGGATTTCTCTCAAATACATGGCATTTTTTTGCAAATGAAGTTGCTGATTGCAAATGTGGGTTTTTTTTTTTTTTTTGGGCCGGGGGAGGGGTTGGATATTGTGGTTATCAAATAGTCTCCAAGTGATCTATAGTTGTTTTACTTCAAATTGAATGTATTTTTAGACACTTGACTATCAGTTTCCATAATAGTGGTCATGTTTGTGAGCTTGTGGGTGACTGTTCTTTTAGCTTGAGCTGATTAGTTATTAATTTGTCACGAGTGCATTTGGGACAAGCTAATAAAATCCTGTGCCATTTTTTCTCTCTCTTCTCTTTTCTTTTATCATCTTTCATCTTCTTCTATTCTTTTTGGCACTCAAAAGAGATTGGTTTACATAATCCTTGTGGTACTAACGAGTGAATTTAGTGTACCTATTTCATACAAGGCACCTAGAGTGGTGTATCCTTATTGGGTTTGCGAGTGACTTTCTTTGACATTAAGAAACTTATTTTCTCAGAATTAGTTAAGCAGCTAGCTAAACATCAAAATCTAAAGTGGAAGTGAAATTAATTTTAGTGGAGTAAGAGAGGGTGTAGATAATGGAAAATAGAAACCTACCAAAAGAGCTTACTTCAATTTTTATGTGAGTTGGATAATATTCAACCCTTAAGACTTGCACAAAATTTTTAATGCCCGCAAGTAAAACTTATTAGCTAAAAGCATCTTTCACTTTTCATTTTTGTAAATAAACATTCCAATTTTGTGGCTGTGAAGGTCAGTTTTGTTTGGATAGGCTGTTGTGATATTGACAAGTGCCACATCAAATTTGATTTTGTTGGTGGTGAAGTACCCATGCAGGCAATCCATCTGTGTTTGCTTGTTGACCTTATTTTTTTTTTCCTTTATTTTGGATGTGGAGATTGCTTTCTCTCAGTTTAATTCTAGAACTGAGCATGTTGTTGTGATTCTTATTGATGAAGTCAGCATACTGTCGCTGCTGTAATTAAGCCACATTTTTCTGCAGGTAGGGTTTTGCTACTATTGGGGAAAGTGCAGTTTGAACTTCAAAAACTTGTTGATAGTTATGTGAGTGGTTTTGTATATGTATATAGTAAACTATAGCAACTTTTTGATACTGTTATGAATAACACATTCCATTCATCCTGTTATTAATTTGCTGCAACATGTATTTCAGCGGTCTCATATATTCCTGACGATTACAAATCCATCGGAATCCCTGCTCAATGAACTTCGGACGGTTGAGGTTTGTTTCTTTCGATCTCTTAGTTGTTTGCTCTGTTAATAGAGGTTTCCTTATGACATTCCCTTACTTTACCGCTGTTTCTTTTTTACTTTCATGTTCATAATATCTTGCTATTAATTTTGAGGTTCATGATAATTCATTGACTCCCCTCTTCAAGCTTGTTATATTTTACAATCATTTTGTCTACTGGAGGAGCTTTTTTTTTTTTTTCCTCTTTTTTAAAATCATGCAGGTTTCTATTTATGGATGATTTTTTTTTGTTTGTTTGTTTTTTTTTTATATATAAAAAGAAGAAAAATTATAAAGGGGTGCTTCTTTTAACAGAAATACAGCTTGTTTGACCTCGTGGTTGCTATTGTTGTTGGCAACAGCAATCTTTTAGATTAGAAGCAGTCAAAAGCTTCTTTCCAATGTTTTATGGGACTAAAATGGTCAAAGCAGTTCAGAAGCACCACAAGCTTTTAACTAAAGTATATAAAGTGTGCTTTTGTCAAAAGCAGCTGGAACCATGACCCAGAAAGGCCCTTAGGTGATAGAAATTGCTAAAACAAGAAAAGGAGAGCAACTCATCTACAGAAGAAAAAAAATAAAGAAAATCACAACTCTAGACTGTACAGGTCTCAGTGAATCTTAGCTAAGTAGACACCTCTAGAGAACCTAGCAGTAGATTTCATGAAGAGTCTTAAATTACACACCAGTTTTCTTGAGAGAGAGCGATTATTAGGAAATAGAATATCTTGGATCCTGCTCCGCCCAAATGCTCCAAATGACTGCAAACATAGCCTATAACTTCCGGATCATAGACTTTTTCCTGCCACCAGATCATCTAGAAAGTTTATCTTTTTATAGTTGCTTGTGCAGCATAATGCACTTTAAGAAGGTGCATGCGTTTCTAACTTTGTGTGGGCCAATCAGATGATGATTTTCTCCTCAATTTGTTTGCATCCATGGAATTCAATTCAAAATGTAATAAAATGCTGTGGCTGCTGTTCAACTTTGACAGTGTTCCTACTCTTATCCCTGATTTTTGGAGGAAAATAAGAAATACGCGCAACCTTGTTCTTGCTTGGTTTATACAGTATGATATTTGTTTGTTTACTATAGGAGATTTTTGGTGTATGTTCACTGTTGTCCTTCATCCATGTAACAATCTTAGTTCTTAGTTTGTCCGTAATCAACTTTTGTGAATATCATGGACATTCAAGCTCTGTCAATCAATTACTTTGCGTGCATGATAAGCTGGTGATTTAGGTTTTGAATGGAAAGTTGGATTTGCAAGAACTGGAATATAGAGAGATTTAGGTAGAAGTTCTGATGGTGAAGGTTTAGACTTTAGCAATTTAATTATAGAAGAATTCTCTTTTCCTACTTTACTATCAAAGTTTTACCTTGCCAAAGAAGATCTTACACACCTTTTTATCTCTTAGGCTCATTGACTCACTGGCATGGAAGCATTATAATAAATTTTGCTCAGTGACCTTTCTTGCTTTGTGTTGCAGGATATGAAGCGACAATGTGATGAAAAAAGGTTTATCTATTTAATCTTACTTTGATTTCCTGAAAGTAAATGTCTTCTGAATTTGGTATGTAATGTTCAGAAATGTCTATGAATACATGGTGGCACAACAGAAGGACAGAGGAAGATCAAAAGGTGGGAAAGATGAAAGTATTACTTTGCAACAATTGCAAACAGCTCATGATGAATATGATGAGGAGGCAACCCTGTGTGTTTTTCGGTTGAAATCTCTGAAACAGGGACAGTCTCGAAGTCTTCTAACACAGGCAGCTCGTCATCACGCTGCTCAGGTCTTTTGTACATCCTTATAATTTTATATTTCAAATACATTTCATATCATTTTTCACCTAGGCAGCTCAGGCTGAATTTGCATTTCATTTTTCTTATATGGTGGATAATGATACGGTCTTCTTTATGTGTTCAATGCAGTTGAATTTCTTTCAGAAGGGACTTAAATCACTTGAGGCAGTTGAGCCACACGTAAGACTGGTTACAGAACATCAACACATTGATTACCATTTCACTGGACTTGAAGATGATGGTAGAGAAGATGGTGAGGATGATGGCGAGGATGGCGATGTTACAAATGAAGGCAGGGAACTGAGTTTTGATTACAGAGCAAATAATCAGGGGCCTGTTGTTGTTTCTGCAGCAAGGAATTCTATGGAGGTAAGGATATGATATTAATAGGAAAACTTTAGTTGGAGAAGAATAATATGCCACGTTGAGATGTCTACTGGATCAAGGGATAGCTGCCCTTTTCGGTTAAAGATGGAATCCCTTTGGGGTGCAAGATCTGTGCTCATTTCATGACATTTTCATGCCATCAAAGTGATTGAATATGCGACCTGGTCTTCACACTAAAATTTTCAATCCAGGGGTTCAGGGTGCATTCAAAACTGCTTATAGATGGATGAGGAAACCTAGTTTCCAGAACCATTTTACTCTATGTAGCGCAAGAAGCAGTGAAATTTTTGTAATGAGTGGGATCTTTCCATATTGGGTATAGAGGTCTTATATGAAGGGGTTGATATAGGGTTGTTGTAAGATGGAGTGGACTATCTTTTTCGGGCAATGCAATTCCTTTCATAATTGTTATGGATGCATTGTAGGATGGATGTAACTTCCTTTTCCTTTCGTGGGTAAGGATGGACCTTTTCTGTTTTTTACTTGGGGGATGGGGGGAGCTGTGGCCAAGGGTGTAGACTTGTTTCAAAGAGTAGTTCTTATAATATTTATGATGGTGTGGTAACAAAGGAAAATGTCTTATTTTCTTTTGGACTTGAGCCATTTTAATTTTAAAAGATTAGACTCTTCTGATGATGGATATACAGATATTGTGTGAAAGAGAGTTCATGTTTAATACAGTAAGTGCTTAGTGGATAAAATTGTACTAGAGAATCTACTCCTTTTATTTAAAGGATGAGACGCTTTCCCTAATTCACACTGAGACACTGTTAAATTATTATTATTATTTTTTTCCTTAAAAAACTTTTAAAAAAGCAATGTATTTCTGGTGATGACATGGCTACTTATTGTCCAGGTGGATGAAGAGGACCTTTCATTCCCCCAAGCTTCAGCAGCAGAAAATGTAGAGGTACAATTAACATTTCTTTTGGTTAGTAGGTTTGCTTCTGCTGATAGTAAATGTATTTAACCGAAAATAATAATCCATCACTTAATTCTAGGCGTAGACATATGCATGTAGTTTGATCTACTTAACTGATAAACTTGTTTGGATAAAGACTTAAGCTCCATATGCTTACTTTTAGCTTGGTGTAAAACCATCAGAATTACATGCATTTATTGCCAGCTGCTTTTATATGTTGGCTCTGATTATTCTATGAATTAAGTTCAGAGGTGCATGCTATTTGGCATTTAAAATTTGTATCTTTCTGCAGTTAAACCCAGACAGAAACCATGGTGGTTTCCATTTCCCAAGCAGAGAACCAAGAGGAGGCAGCCATTCAGCACCAATATTTCCAGAACGAAAACCTGATCCAGTTGAAAGAATAAGACAAATACAGCAAGCATCAAAGAAGTCCAACACATATGTGCTGCCCACACCTATTGATGCAAAGGGTGCAAACTCTTCGAGAACAAGTGGTTCAGTTCCCAACACAAGGCAAACAGACATCAGTGGACGCACGAACAATTTGTGGCACTCTTCTCCGTTGGAACAGAAGAAGAATGAGAGAGATTCTGGCGAAGGTCACCTGTCAGATTTTGCTCCTTTAAAAGCACGCTTAGCACATAAAGAGAGCAACAACCCTAATGCCCCCAGCCAATTTCCTCCCCCTTTAGTTGGTGGAATCTCATCTCCACAGCTTGATGTATGCAATGCTTCTGATAACAAAAAAATTAAACGGCAGTCTTTCTCTGGTCCAATAACCAGTAAGCCATGGTCAATGAAGCCTGCTTTATCATCCAGTGGTCCCATTTCCTCTGCTGAACTTTCACAACAAGTTTCTGGAATGCTTGCTCGTGTAGCAAATCCTCAGCCTTCATCCCCCAAAGTATCTCCAAGTACATCACCTCCTCTTGTTTCTTCACCCAGGATAAGTGAGCTTCATGAACTTCCAAGGCCACCAGGTAATTTAGCCACCAAAGCTGCAAAATCTTCTGTGCCGATTGGACACTCTGCTCCATTGGCCAGAAATTCAGAGCTTTCTGGAACTAGCAAGATTTCTGCTGGGGCAGCAAATTTGGCTTCACCTCTTCCCACACCACCCTTGATAGTCCCACGGAGTTTCTCAATACCCTCAGGTAGTCAGAGAGCAATGTCCATACATGTTTCTAAGCTTTTGGATTCTTCTCAAGTACCAGATAAACCTGGGGAGGTCGATTCCCCTCCATTGACGCCTATTTCCCTCGCAAATATGAGGCCAGCACCTGCCATTTCTGAACCGATACCGAATTCTGGTCAAATTAGAGGTAACAAGATATCATGCTCGTTAATTCTCTTATACTGAGAGTCAAGGCAAAACTTTTTGTGCAGATAAAAGTCATCCCATTTTAGTTTATTGTTTTTCTGATTTTTACGAGTAGTTCTTGTGTTTAAAATTTGTAATATATGTTAGGGAAAAAAAAAAACTGCTCTTATAAGTTTCTACTTTGAATTGAGAATATTTTCCAGCCTGCTCAATATGAACTGTGCTGCATGAACAGTTAATCCATTCAATCGTGTCTATAGAAAAGAACAAGAAATGGTCTCTTATTTTATCACTTGCAAGTACTGCTGACTGTGTTAGGACTGTTCCTCAATGTGTTGTTAAGTTTTATCTGTGATGCTTATCGTGTTGTGACTACAGACATGTAGTATTCAATGATTTATTTTTAAGTAGGACATCTTCTGTAAGTAAAGATTGATAAAGAGGGTCATGTTTCATGTGGAATGTTGTAGGATATGTTTTGACGAACATTAGATAAACACAACTCTCTGTAAATATGAATTTCCCCTGCTTGTGTTTCTTTATTATCTTCCATTTGTATTGAAGGTTCAGATTTTGGTTCTGATTGCAAACTTGCTGGATGCAGGTGGGATTTGATACGATGTTATTACGCAAACTAGTTGAAAACTTTGATTTTTTGGAGTTCTCCTGGCTATTTTTTGGATATCGTCATCTGCAAGCTGGGTACTGTAAATATAATACTCTGCCGTGTTTAGCTTCTCATCCCAATTTCTGTTCATTGTCTGGTTGATAATGATGAGAACTAAGCTCCTCTTAATTGTGCATCATTACACATCTTTGTATATTTTCTCAATTGAGCAATTTTGTTTTGGTTTTTGTCGCTTCTTTTACGATTCTTCCCCACCGAAGAAATCCCAAACAAAGGTGCATTTTGGTTTTCTTACACTGTTGCAAACTTGCAATCTGACCAATGATCTTGGGATTATTATTTTTGATATCTCCTCCTTGTTTATGTGTCGACCGTTCAGGGTATCAAGTAGTCTTAATCGGGCGTTATTCTATCTTTTTTATTTTTATCAATTTGAGAGTTCAATTTTCTGTTCTACCTATAATTAAAGGAAAAAAAAAAAAAAGTGGAAAAACAGCAAGAGAATCAATTACTCGTCTTATAAACTCATATTAAGATGGTAATATTGTGAGGTTTTTTTTTTTTTTTTTTTTTTTTTTTTTTTAAAAAAAACTTTCTTTTTTGGGTATTGTATTGCTCCATTATATTTTTTGAGAGGCTAATGCATGTAGATTTTCTGTAGTTTGAACTATGAACCTTGTTAGGTCCACTTTGCTTGTAGCCATATGGTGTGATGCTCTCGTGTACATTCAAATTAAACTCCTATAATACAAATGTAGTAAGGGAGAGTAGGGATTGATCCCACGAGAAATTCAATTGCGTTAGTCGTCACAAGTTCGGAAGAAACATGAAATTAAAAAAAAAAAAAAAGTTCTAGTTTGATTGAGATATAACCGAAACTAAACAAATTAAATTCGGAAAACGAGTTTAAAATAAATATTCAAGTAAACAAATTTTGGTTTGGGTCACATTCACTTTTGGAACTTGAGATTTATCCTTCGTGCAAGAAATATCGGATTCTCATTCAAATATTTGTTGTGATATTTATGATTAACCAGCTAGAAACATGTATTCTAATCAACCCTCATTATTTAACAACCCTAGATATGATCTAAGTTTAATCAAACAATGGTTTTATGTATTAGAAAAATCAACAAAGCAAGACAACACAACACATGTAGTTGCATTTAATCTAGTTCAACAATCCTCCTAAGAGTCATTAGTTTCGATGCAATAAACCATACACTCCTAGTTGCTATACAAATCAAAGGGATTGAACAATTACGAATTCAATATTCGATCTAGCTATAGATTATCTAAGTTAATAAACTAACCGTACACATTAGAAATTAACCTAAATAATCATGAAAATAAGCATAGAAGAAAGTTCAATACTTGAAATAAACAAACCGATTTGCATTAATGTTGAAGCACCTCAAAATTTTTGATTTCCAAAAGCTTCAATTACCTTCATCAAGGAAAAGGGTTCAGCTGCTCATGGCTAGCGTTCTCTCCTCTTTTAAGTCTCGCTCTAGTCTCGCTAGGTTCCTATTTATACGGAGTTGCTTATTTCCCAAAAAGCGTACACAATATTCTCTCCTTTTTTGATAGGCTAGCGTCTTTTTTTGGTAAATCGTAACAAATTTTGTTTCCTAGTCGAAGTTTGTTGTCCGTTTCGCGGATTTCGGTGTGCCCGTGTCAAGTTGCAACGTGCCCATGCCTTCATGTCCTTGTGCGTCTATGTCTGCTTGGATCTACGTGCCCATACTTCTTGTGCTTTCCGATGGTTAAATTGGTTTTGATCATAAATTTTCTTTATATGATTCTTTTAACGTCATTTTTTCAATCGGTTCCACATCCTAGCACATAGAATACAAAAATAGTTAAAGTTTGTCATTTGAACATCTCAAAATATTAAAATGCAGGAGAATTTAACAATTTAAACACATGTATTTTAAGCATTATCACCGTAGGATGGCAATGGATGAGTATTCGGTTCATTTATTTAATTTTTTACTAATTTTATTATATAAAAAAATTCTATTCATTATCCATTAAGAAATTACTATATAAATCTTTATCTTATTCATACCTTGTATTTATTAGTTTATCCGTCTATTTATTACTCGTTAAATACTTGTTAAAAATATTCATTTCAGTTCTTATAAATTTTAAGAAAATTTTTTTATCCTTAAAATTTATTTATTTATTTATTATTATTATTATTTGCATTTTGGTCATTTGTTTATAAGTTTTTTTGGTTGTCGAGTTTTTCATCTTTAATTTTTAAATTTTATGCAATTAGATCTCTATATGTTAATACAAAAATCTAAATAAATCGGTGAATATTAGTGGGTATGTATTTTTTTTATCATTATTCTCTTTAATACTCATTGAATATTTTTAATAAGTATTTATTAAGGGAGGTAAAGCATGTATTTATTTTATACTCAGATCTATTCCCATCCCTACTTGTAGGCTAGGCCTATAAATACATAATATCCATAATATAGGGATGGATTCATATATGAGATCCATTCGTTTTTATACTATGGGCTTATTTATTATATAGATAAGTTTACCAACATCTTCTCCTCTTATATATATATATTAGTCCTCATTTTGAAAAATAAATAAATAAATTTTTTATTTTAAAAAATAATTATTTAGTTTTTTTAAATGACTAATTTAATATTATTTTATTTTATTTTATAAAATATATTCTTCTCCCATCAATCTTTCCATATTTCTACTTATTTTGTATTCTTTTTCTATTTCTTAAAACAAAAAATAAAAATAAATTAAAAATAACAAAAAAAAAAAACTTAATAATTAGTTTTTGATACTAGAGGGACTAATTAATTCATTTCTTGAAACAAGATGGACTAATTTATAATTTACTCCACATAAAAACCCGTTAATAATTTCAAGAAAGTAAGGCTACACCTTGTTTTTTAGAGATGAAAAAATCCATTTTGTAATTGCAATGGATCTTAGTGAGGGCACAACATTGTGACACAATTAAAGACAATAGTTTTTTTTTTTTTTTTTTTCCTTTTTAGGGAATATATAAAGATACTGGTTAAAAATGAGTGCATGATTTTGTTTTCGCATTTTTTTACAAGGTATAGCTGACATTCTAAGTTATTGCTTTTCTCTCTTTTTTGATGTGTGGTATAACTATTTGACTATACATAGACTAGGAATTATCTTATTTTATAAAAAACCCCAATACATTTTATTATTATTTTCTTTTTGCATGTTAAACCCAAGAGAGAAAAGAAAAGGAATACGGTTGTAAAGGTATGGAACTTCTTGACCCGTAGAGAGGTATAAAGATTTTTATATTTAAGCTAAAATTTTAAATTACCTGAATGTTTATTTAAACTACTTTCTCCATTAGTTGGGTTAATAAAAGGTTGATGTTTTCGTTTCTTTATGTGGCAATGGCATTAATTTGGAGCATGCATGGCTGAAAAAACATTGCTGCCTCTTCTGTAAAAGGTATGCTTTAAATTTGTTTTTAACTTCTCTTCAATAATTATATTTCTTCTTTTGTTGGCATTAGACACTATTCTTTTTTCTCAAGATTGTTGGCATTAGATATACTATTTTAAAATTTGGAAGAGTGAGATCTGATAATGAGTTTAATATTAATTTGAAAAAAAAGGTACTATTTTGCGGCCAAGACGTGTGTGTATATATATATATATATATGTTTTTATCACTAGAAATTTTCTAGTCATTGATTTTTTAAATATTTTTATTAATTTAATTTTTATTTACCTAATCTAAATTTTTATTAATTGTGAGAGGTATGCATAATCCCAAATTCATTTGAAGCTAGCGATTTTCTTCTTCTAAAAATTATCTATGATGACAAGGTTTGTCACATACTGATCGTAAAAGATATGGTTTGAAATATAAAGGGGTTACTCAATTTTTTTTAAAGATAACATTGTTTTACAAAAAAACTAATACTAATATTAGCCTTAAGAACTTGGGCTAAAAGAATTGGTTACACAACTATGGAATACGACATTAACCTTAATGTACCCTGCAATGAAATTACCTCGTATTTCTAACCTTAAAAATTCATTTGTGCAAGTCTATTTTGTGTTTACTTTTCTATCATAAATTATGAGTTATTAGTCCTTTTCTAACAAATCTTAAATGAGATGATTTGGATATTAAAAAAACTTCAATATCTCACCTAAATTGTCATTAAAGACCCGTCCCCAATAAAATAAGATAAAATTAGTTTTAAACCATAGATTCAAGTTCACCTTCCAAACCAAAGAATAGAAAATATAAGTCAAAAACTTGCTAATAAAATAAAAAAAATCTAAAATAATAAAAACGTGTGCCTTAAGCCTAAATTAACATGCCACACTACTTAAAAATAATGAAACTGGATACAAGATCTAATATCAAATTTAAAGCTAAACTAATTTGTTGTTTGTGCTACATTATAGATTGGACGAAACAAAATCATTTCAATTCAATACCCAACACTATGTTGCGGGTCTACTAAAACATATCGAATCAAAAGGAAAATGAAAAAAAAAACAAATTTAGGAACTTTTTAATTAAAACCTTGTATTCAATTGATTTTTTCTTATGTTCTCCATAAATTTTCAACTTGTTCTTTCATATGCATTAATTCTTAAATAAAAACCTACAACAATCTAAATAGAAAATTAACAAATAAAAAAATAATTTTTTATTCTTATTGAATACTTATGAGAAGATTATTTCTTAAAAGCATGTACATTTAGAAGTCTCGTGTATATTCAATCACAAAATAATCAATAATATAGCATTAAAAATTGTATTTGAATTATTGGATGAATCTTTTAAAATATTATTTTAACTATTTTATTCAAATGCAATTATTTTTAAAATAATCAAAAGGAAAAAAAATAGTAAAGATTGATGCTATTCATGTAGATGTATAGTTAATTTTCAATAAAGCTGATGATTTATTTTTTTTCTTTTTTATACATCATGACTATATTCATTGGGTTGAGAGTATGCAACATAAAATTAAAATAAAAGCATGTACACACGCACACACACATTAAATGAATTTATTTTAATTTGAGATAAAATATTTGAAATACACTTCTAAACTTTGCATATATATATATATATATATATTATGTCTGCTATCATTTAAAAATATAAGAATTCATCATACAAATTATATAAATGTAGTTAAAAGAAATGAAAAAAAAATCATACTCTAAAATTTTGTTCAAATATCCATACATAGAGAAAAATAAATCATATTTTCTTAACAAATAAAATTATATAAAAATTAATTGAAAAAATAAAAAATCAAATAAATCATCTTAAAATATGGAAGCAAAAAGATAAAAAATGACAAATCGAAGAAATCATATTTCTCCACTCGCTAGACTATATAAAAAACCCAAATAACTAGCGATTATTTCTCCATAAATTTAGAACAAAATTCAATAATAAAAAACATTAAAAACAAATTGCTAGAAAAAAAAAAAAAGTCGGACAAGTGCCTTGGGCCTATAGAAGTAAGCTCGCGTGGCTCGACCAAAAAAACAAAAACAAATAGACAACTTGTCATCTACCTATAACTTTCAACAAACTTAAGTTTGTCAAAAAAACGAGCTTTTTAGTTTTTTGGCTACGAAACCCAATCCGTGTATTATTTTTGCTCTAAAACACTTTAAAAGCATTAAAATGAGGTCAAGAAACACATTTGAAATATTATAACTCATTCTAATGTACATTAAAAAAAAAAAAAGAAACAGTACGTTTTGTGGTTTTGATCTACCTTCTCCAATCATTTTATGTCTTGGAACCATCACAAACAAACTCTACCTTTGAAAATAAATATTTTAAAATGTTATTTTAATTATTTTATTTGAAAGAAATTATTTTTAAAATAATCATTGAAAAAAATAATAGTAAATGGTTGGTATTTTATGTGTAGATATATAGTTAATTTTTAATAAAACTAATGATCTAATTTGATTCAATAAATTTTGATTATAAATAACACATTTAAAATCTATTTTTAATTGATTATTTAAAAATAAATTTTTATTTTAGTTTGAGATAAAATATCCGAAATACACTTCTAACGCGCACGCGTGCGCACACACACACGCACGCATGTATATATACATAGACATACACATATCTCGTGTGTGTGTGTGTGTGTGTGTGTGTGTGTGTGTGTGTGTGTGTGTGTGTGTGTTATGTTATGTTATGTTATGTCATGTTGCTATCATTTAAAAAGTATAAGAATTCATTATATAAATTATATTAATATTTAAAAAAAATGAAAAATCAATCATATTCTAAAATTTTATTCAAATATCGATACATAGAAAAAAAATAAATCATATTTTCTTAATAAATAAAATTATATAAAAACTAATCGGGTGTTTCTATATATAAAAAAAAAAATCATCTTAAAATCTGGAAGCAAAAGGATAAAAAATTAAAAGTCAAAGAAATCATATTTTCCATCTCCAAACCGCATAAAAAAAAACCAAAATAAATAGCAATTATTTCTCCATAAATTTAGAACAAAAATCAATACTAAAAAAAAAAATTAAAATAAATTACTTGAAAAGAAAAAAAAAAAAACAAAGTTAGGCCTATGCCTATGGCCTCGTAGAAGTAGGCTTGCGTGAACGAAAAAAATAAGACGACGCGTCGTCTACTTATAATTTTTGATGAACTTGAGATTATTGAAAAATAAGATTGTTAGTTTTTTGGCCATAAAACCCAATTTGTGTATTAATTTTGCTCTAAAACACTTTAAAAATGCTAAAATGAGGTCAAGAAACACATTTGAAATCTTATAACTAACTCATTCTAATGTACATAAAAAAAAAATTAAATTAAAAAATTCATAATGTTTTGTGGTTTTGATCTACCTTTTCCAATAATTTTATACCTTGGAACCATCACAAGCAAACTCTACTCTTGAAAATAAACAAATTGAATAGAATGTCACCGAGTCCAATTATCGAAATAGGCTTGATTGATGCTTTCTATCTCCTCCCTTTCTCTCTTTGTTTTTCTCTCCTCTCTACATTTAAGGACCAAAGTGTGTTACAAATGAAGTTATCGATCAAAACAAAATATTTAAAAATATTAGGAGCCAAAGTGAAAATTTTGGTATAATTTACATATAATTGCTTGAAAATAGTGCAAAAATTACAAAAATGCTATTGGTTTGAGTCTACAATGCACATGATTATGGTGTTATAATAAACCACCCTAAATTTTTTAGTTTATTTATTTATTTATTGCGACATGGCAAAATGAGTGGCCTAATCAAATATATATATATAAAAGAACAAGCCTAGTTATTAGAAGTTGGTTTTAACTCCTAAATATATCTATATAGATCGATCTAAACTAATATCACATCTAATAATTAAAAAAAATTGTTATTCATAAGCATTAGAAAGATAAAGTGATATATAAGTGTCATAAGGGAGAAAACATCGGATGGATTTGAGGAGATAGGATTAGGATTTCCAATAACGGTAAGAGGGATGGAAATCGAGATTCTAAGAGGAAGTGAGGAAGAGGAAACCGAGATTGAAGAAACTAGGGTTGGGTTAGAAGTTTAATTTGACAACGGATCCATTGTTGAAGTTGTACGATTTAAAGCTCGTGATATTAAGTTATAACAAGAATAGAGATAGTGTCGACGTCCGCTTTGCGAGAGGTGAATAAGGAGTCGTCATCTAACTAATCGAAGAGAAATAAAAAATCCTAAACGTACTAGTCCGTATAGATATATGGGTAAGGGTCGATTACATATGAAGAAGATATAACATCAACATCATCCGATCCTACCTAAGTAGGTTGGATTGTTTACGTGTGAATATAAAAATTTAATTTTTTTTTATTGTGTTATGCTTCTATATCTATTTAAATGAATTTATTTTGTTAAAATATGAAAATAGGATAGTTCGGTGTTTGGGTGTAAACAAAGTAGTTCGGGCGTTCGGACTAGTCTAAGGCCAATACCCTTACTCAAAGGAGGAGGATGGGGGAAGTTGGAATTTTGACCAATCGTTAGTAAACACAACCTATTATCAACAAATATGTGAGTTTCTAAAGATAGATAGTTTTTCATTGGCATGAGTCTGCGAGTCACCGATGACTTTACTCATACAAGTAAAAAGTCACCGATGACTTTGAGTCATGAATTCGAAAAGCTATCGATAACTTCGTCACATAAGCGGGAAGTCACCGGCCATTTTATCTAACTCAAGCAAAGAGCAAATAACTAATTTAGAAGCTCTCGATAGTTTCGTCACATAAGTGGAAACTCACCGACGACTTCATTTTAGATAAGCAAACAACAAAATAAAATAATGTTGAAATTCAATAAAAACTGAAATCACTACAAGTCATGCAATAATGTTGTAGTAAAATAAACACTTGAAATTCAATAAAGAAAATTAAAAAAATAATAAAATGAAATAATTAATAGGGACACGAATATAAATAGAGAGAGCAACATATAACATTTTCCACCTTCGAGTGATACTGAACTAATTACCAGCTAGCCTAAAAGCTAAATATATTATAGCATTTATAAACTGAGCAAAATGAGTGCACAGCCATCAACAACAATAGTTAATAGGGACACTTGAAAAAATGTTGAAATTCAATAAAAACTGAAATCACTGCAAGTCATACAATAATGTTACAGTAAAATAAACACTTGAAATTCAATAAAGAAAATTAAAAAAATAATAATAAAATGAAATAATTAACAGGGACACGAATATAAACAGAGAGAGCAACATATAATATCGTCCCACCTTTGAGTGATGCTGAACTAATTGCCAGCTAGCCTAAAATCTAAATATATTATTGCATTTATAAACTGAGCAAAATGATTCCACAGCCATCAACAACAATAGCAGAATCGAAGCGAACACTGAGAGATACCGCCATGAACAAAACACAGACCGCTTCGTGAATTTTCGTATCTTAACCATCCGTTGGCTGTTGTAGTACTTGTTAACATCTTCAATCACCTTGTCTAAGCACGGAGCTTTTGTCAGTCTAATGGACTTACACTTGCTCATCCCATTCCATAGGTTTGCCACGTCTTGATCACTCTTCAAATGGTTGAATATAATGCCTCTTTCTCTAAGCAATCTTACATCCTCCTCGGTGTCGATAATCCCATTCATAAATTCTATGTATCTAGTAAAAATCATGGGTCCTGATGCATGTGATATTTCATATGCCACTAAATTTCTAAAGATAAACTCACTGTTCGCATCTAAACTAATTATGGGGAGGTAAAATTCAGCTTTCTCCGTGTCGAAATTGATGGTGGAGATGTTACCCTTGGTGGGTAAAAAACGGACACCAGAATTCGTTAGTTGAGTGACTGAAGGAATTGCGATCTCTTCGACCAATGGTGGCAGGTGCTGGTTATTTCCTGTTCTCTCATTTTCTGAGTCAATGATATTACCATTTTTCGAGGCTGATCGCTGCACGAGTTTAGATAGGATTTTCCAAGAAAATTTCAATTTGCTTGTGACAGATCGTGAAACCTTGTTGAGTGAACGTGCTGGACCTATGTTTAGTTCTGAAAGCGTCCTCCAAATCTCACCCAAGAGATCTCTCGCAGAATTCAAATCAATGCCTTCATTTTCTTGCTCAGTTTCCATACGATCTTCAACATCTTCGATTGTTATCTCAATCGTCAGTTCTTCCAATTTGGGCACCATAATGTCATACAAAGAGTCTAGCAAGTGGGAATGCTCCAAGACTTTACTCTTTTCCAACTCCACCATCTTGAAAGGAGAGAGCTCCTTACATAGCCCCATTAACATGGAAATCAGCATATCATCAGCTGATTCTGCTGATAAGAGTTGAAACTTAAGCACCTTTCTCAATATAAATAGTGGAATTTGATTCTCGAGCATCACTATATCCCTGAGAATCACATGATGTGCCGATTTCCTCTTCGTATAATCAAGCAAATGAATCATTCTGGAAGAAACCCTCGATACCAATTGAGTTTCGTTGACGGAATATATTTGAAGAAACTCGAGCAAGAACGAAGCATCCAAAGCCATCATCCATGCCAGGGTCTCAGCACTGAAACTTAAGTACCTGTGGTAGCATGCTCGAATCTGGGGTTCAAGCTCTATCAATTTCTCGACAAGATTCAGAAAGCTGGAGCTTTGAAGTTGATTTTGCAGCTTTCTCGCTGCAGAAAGCTTGTACCTCTCCATCTCACTGAGATCCGGACTCAAATAATGGTAAGGACCAAGTGGAAGTTGCTGTGGAATATAAAAGTCAGGATGGCAAGACATTAGGGGTTTGGGAACAGTAAATATGCACACAGGAATTTCATCAGCATCATCTTCACGCTCCTTTGCGAGTGTTTGACGGATGTTTGTAACCCATCGAAACTCATCGAATTTCAAACTCGAAGAACATGACATGGTGGGTTGGTGGGAAGACACTGTTGTTTCTTTAAGGTATACACTTTTTTGTACAGACAGGTTTTGTTCTTTGGAAGAAGGAGAAGGAAAAAAAAGACTGCAGACTTTGTGAAATTTTGTGGTGGGAATGGGGAAAGGAGGTTGAGGCGCTTGTGGTGTATATATATGTGTGTGTGAGAGAGAGAGAAACAGTTATATAAGCATCGCTTTCATTGATGGATGTTCTGCTATTATGATGATACCGTAGACGTCATTCTACTATTCATACTTGATAAGTACTAGATTAAGTGTCAAAAGCAAATTCTTATATTCAAAATTTGTGTACGATCCTTAAAATAAAATTTCTTTTGCACAGAAACTTGAAAGTTAAGTGCTTTTTCCTGGCCTGGATTGGATAGCTATAGCCAAAGATAAAAGGTCGCACGCAATGTATTTCCCTCGTTTCTATTCTTGCTTTGTGTGCTGAATAAGGCAAATGACTATTAGCTACATGAGAGACCAAATGGGCAAAGAAAACCCCAGATAATTAAATCGTCTCAGGAAATTTGAAGGCAACTTCGTGGAGTTTGGGAAATGTGAGAAACCCTACACTTGAGGCAATTATAACTCCAACAAGTAAATGACTGGGCAGTGCCGGAGTTTAGATTTCTTCGACTTTATTAACTCTTTTCTTGCTTTCATTTTCGTTAGTTATTTTTGTGGTCAAGATTAATTTCTTGGACTAGTTTTTTTTTTTTTCCTAAGATGATGCTTCCTTGATTTTTTACCTAGGGAAGAATTTAGATTTAATAGTATAATTTATCTCCAAACTATTAGGATTATAGTAAAATAAGGCTTACAATATCAATTTAAGTTATTTAGATTTCAAATTATTAATTTTTGAGAAAATCTTATATTTTTTCTATTATGTTTGGTGATCAAAGTATTTTTTGTTAATTGAAATGCTTAAAATAATGTTGTAACAAAACAAAACTTAAATTATAATTTTTTTAAAAAAATTAAATTAATACTAATTAGTTTTAAAAAAATAGATAATCTTGTTGCTTATTGATCTGATTTTTGTTGTTTGATTGTTGGTGAATGATGGGCAATAGATCCATCTAGAAAAAAAAAAAAAAAGCTACTAAATTATTAATTTTTTTAAAAAAATTAATTTTAATTCTTAATAAAGAACTAATTTTTTTAAAATAATATCGTTTTAATCATTTCAATTCACATTCAATACTTTAGACATTGGATATAATAAAAATAGATAAAATTTATTCAAAAATTAATAATTTAAGATTTAAATAATCTAAATTAACAAAATAGATCTTAATTTACTACAATTTTAATAATTTAAGTATAAATTATATGATTAAACCCAAGGATCCACGACTAATAAGTACTATTCACCTAGAGGATAAGATATCTTTGACTTGTAGCATGCAGTTCTCATAGAGCAGCACTCTTTCAACTTTACCGTACAAAATAATCGATGCTATCTGTCTGTATTTGTAACAAAAAATCAAACCAAAAACGATAGTTAGTTGGGAAAGGTAGTTTGTTAGCAGGTCAACCCATCGTGATTTTGAAGATCATCTCATCTATCTCATAGTAAAAGCAAGTTAAAGCACGTTGAATAGCATGCACGCTTGAGCTAGATTTCATAAAGTCATCATTGCATGTTAGTATTTCTTGCCCCCAAATAGGGTACTTGCAGCTTTTCTTCTTTTGTTGAGAAATTCATCTATCTGATGTGATCAGATTAATTGATGAATTTGATGACCGAAGGACGTGCATCGGAGGTGGCTAACGTCTACCGGGCCGATCGGAATTTTTCTAGGATAATAGGTTTTATATTTATAATCTCATATCTAGTATAACCTAAATTTGAAATGATAAAGAACTTTTAGGTTGAACTCGTGGGTTTGTCATTATATTAAACTTTTAGTTTACAAAAACTCAAAATTTACTTACATAACAAATAAAAAAAATCTCATTTTAAGTCTTTTAATGTTTTCTTCACTTTCCAATTATTACTAGTAAAATAGAAAAACATAAACGATTAAATTTATTATTATTATTATTATTTACGTACTGATAACTTGTATTCTCCTGAGTTATTTTTTATATATATTTATTATCGTATTTTGTATATTTGAGTGATTTGTTTGAAAATAGATAATTTATCTAATATAATTATTTTTTTAACTTAAAATAAAAAAAATGATATTATCACTTTATGCATTATTAATATTACTTTTAGATTATCAAAAAAAAAAAAAAATTATGTCAAATTCTCATCTTGATCTCTTCTTATAAGATAATTTTCATATAAAAAAAACTTAATGAGTTTGATTGCTACAACTTGCAGCCCACAACCTTTTCCCTCAGGTTAACAATTTCAGCTGCAACTTGTAGCCATTGAAGCATGCCTTGGATAACTCACCTGCCCACCGTTCTAGCAACCCTATAGCCCATCTTACAGAAGCTTGCAGCCTTCATTCTGCTGCAAGTTGTCTTGCACAACCTCCCTCAAGTCAGCCTTCACCTCCCTCTATCCAATCCTACTGACACAATAAACTTATCCAAAATATATATATATATATATATATATATATATATATATATATGCGCTCAGTTTCATAGATAGTTCTGAACATTTTTATAATATAGGGAAAAAAATTCATTTGATAAGTTTATGGCAGTAAAGTGTGGTACGTTTCAATTTTTAATTATTTAATGATTAAAAAATTAATCTTATGTTTTAAAATGTTTTCAATCAAAATATTTAACTTATAAAATGAGATTTTAAAAATAATTTTACATTGATTTTCTAGCATCCTCGTCAAGGATGTCGTGGTTCCCCATCTTTTCGGCTCCTTAGATTTAATTACGTCAAATCTCATGAAAAGTAATCTTATTTTGAACTTATCTGCTGAAAACTTCGAGACAAAACACACTCGGACGCTAAGCCGGGAACCGAAGAAAAAGGTTACGTTTTGTGGGCCACTGAAATGTCCCGTCACTTATCATGGAATTGCCGGCCGAAGAACTTCTAAGGTAAAAGGTGTGAATCCAATTGCCGTGGCTGTGTTACGAAATCAATTGCATTTGGATCCATAGTTGGTTGAAATCAAGTCAGTCTTCCTTTCTTATTAGTTATTTCATCGTATAATTGTGATTATATCATTAAATATAATAATAATCGCATTCCATAAATTTTCCTATTACAAATATCCCACGTCAAGCAGTAAGAATTTAAAAATTTTATAATACTTAAAAAATAATTAATGATATATACAGATTGTTATTTTATAGATTCATTTTGAGGAGAGAGATACAAAAAATAAGAGAAACTTATATGTAGATCCATCAAAAGTGATAAGAAAACTTCTACATGAGTTTAATTTTTTTTAATTTTTTTTCTTTTGTTACTATTGTACATATCACTAGCTATTTCATAAACTATTATACATACCACTAATTATTTTTTTAATATTATAGTATTATAAAATTTTTCCAAAGAATTTGGAGAAATTTATTCCCCCAGCATTACTCTAAATCAAATATCTAATGCCCAATGATTTAAGAGTTGGTAGAGGTGTGAAAAAATTAAAACCTTACTAACAGTATAATGTTTAAGACCCATTTTAGAAAAATGTGTAAGAAAACGACCCATGTTTTAGACCCACACCAAACTTCCAAACGATGAATACTCAAATTCAGAGTCATCGCCTTTAATGCTGTAAAATAATAGTATAAAATTTTACTAGTAAAACAGAAAAAAATTGTGTCTTTTGAATCATAGTTAGTTTTTCTCAAACAAAAAAGCAAAAAAAATAAAATATCATATATAAACTCAATCTATTGAGATAGTATTGATTTCCCAAACTATTTTTATATTAATTTTACTTTTAAATTATTTTAATTTCAATTAACATTTCTGTCAAAAATATGTTATTTCTTTATAAAAAAAACAATAATTTAGATGGAAATATAGATGAATCGACTCTTTAATTGAGAATTTTCTGAAAGTTTAAAAGTAAAATTGATATAAAATACTGTTTGGAGATGAAATTAAAACTATCCATATGGTTAGGCAGGGGATATTCTTGAGATTTGCCTTCACCTCCAATTATTACTAGTAAAATAAAAAAACATAGCTTATTAAATTTTTATTATTATTATTTATGTACTTTCAACTTGAATTCTCATGTGTTATTTTTTTAATATATTTATTATCGTATTCCGTATATTTGGGTGATTTGTCCGAGAGTAGATAATTTATCTAATACAGTTGTTCTTTAACTTAAAATAAATAAATAAAATGATATTATTACTTTGTGTCTTATTAATATTACTTTTAGATTATATATAAAAAAAAATTATGCCAAATCCTCATCTCGATCTCTTCTTAATTTTCATATAAAATACTCAATGAGTTTAATTAATTGCTACATGTGAGAAAGTATGATTAAGCTTATTGTGTTTTCAGTCTTTGTTTTTGTATTTTTTTGAGAATCGTGTTACTTTTTTTTAACAAAAAAATTATTTGAAAATAATTTGTTTCAATAAAAGGGTTAAATATACTCTGTGTTCATGTAATATCTAATAATATTCAATAAAAGGTTGAACGCAATTTGTTTCCCTCGTTTCTATTCTTGTTACGTGTGCTGGACAAGGCAAATGACAATTAGCTACAAGAGAGACCAAATGGGCAAAGAAAACCCCAGCTAAATCGTCTAAGGAAAATTTGAAGGCAACATCGTAGAGTTTGGGAATTGAAAAAAACCCTAAACTTGAGGAGGCAAATATAACTCCAACAAGTAAATGACTGCGCAGTGCCGCCGTATAGATTTCTTCGACTTTATTGACTCTTTTCTTTCGTTAGTTATTTTGTGGCCAATATTGATTTCTTGGACTAGGTTTTTTTTTTTTTCCTCCTTCTTCCTAAGATGAGATTTCCTTGACTTTTGACCGGGGGAGAATTTCTATTTAATAGCACAATTTATTTACAGACTATTAAGATTGCCGTTGAATAAAGTTTATAATATCAATTTAAACTATTTAAATCCTGAATTATTAATTTTTAGAAAAAAATTATTCTTTTTTATTATATTTAATGATCAAAATATTGATTGTTAATTGAAATATTTAAAATAATGTCATAAAAACAAAAACAAAAACAAAAACTAAGTTATTAATTTTTTTAGAATTAAAATTAATAATCATTAACTTTAAAGAAGGCTATATGATTTTGTTGTTTATTGATCTGATTTTTATTGCTTGATTGGTAATGAATGATGGGCCATATATCCAAAAAAAAAAAAAAAAAAAAACTAAATTATTAATTTTAAAAAATTTTAATTTTAATTCTTAATAAAAAATTAAATTTTTTAAAATGATGTTGTTTAAATATTCTTCGAGTAGAATTGCGAGCCACTTTTTTGCTTGGATGATCCCCAAGCTACGAGGTTTGGCCCAAGATAAACGGTATACCACTAGTGGACTTTCCGTCATCTATGGATCCAGATCTCAATCGAGTTAGAGAAGCTCGTGAGGAGGTGTGTAGATGAGTATCCGATGTGAAGCCCAAGGCCTACGATTTGCTTAAGGTTGCGCATAATACATTTTACCACTATCCAATGTTCCGTAGCAAGACTCGCATAAATTGATAAACCTTATTCACGATATAAGCAATGTCGAGCCTTGTCAAGGTCACATAATGTAGGGCCCCCACCACTCGATAGTACAAGATTGGATCCCAAAAGCCGAGCTTTCATTCTTCTATAATTTAGATGTAGTGGGCATGAGTGCCACTACTTACTCGGTAATGTGCAACCCATGTTTATTCAAAACCTCATTAATACATCTCTCGTTGTGATACCAAAATTTCTTGTTTTGTTCGACAACTTCTACACCTAAAAAGTAATTGAATTCCCCAAGGTCTCATTGGAAAACTTAGAGTTTAGGGAAAAGATAACAGATTGCACAAAGGAAGGATTATTACAAGTGATTAGGATGTCGTCTACGTATACTAACATAAAAACTATATGTTATCTCGCCATATTTTATATAAAGAGTGAAGAGTTAGTTTTTGAAGCCTCAAACCCAAAAGTTAGTAGAGCAGTTAGAGATAAGAGAGCCACATCCATGGTAATTACTTCGATCCATATGCGGATTTATGGATTCCGCATACATAATCAAAGAACCGAGTGTCCACAAAGCCCACGGGTTGGGTCATAACATCTGCTTCTATCAAACTACAATTCAAAAAACAACATTATACACATCTAGCCATCCGATATTCCAACCATAAGAAATTGCTAAAATGAGAACAACCCAAATAGTTATTGGTTTAACCACCGGATCGAATGTCTCACCATAGTCGATCCCTTCTTACTAGTGATAGCCTTTGACCACTAACCCGGCTTTAAAATGTTCAATGGTGCCATCGGCATCACCCACTATGTTCATATCCCGTGTAGGAGAGACTAGCGACCATGTCCGAGCTTTGAGAAGGGCATAGGTCGGCAGGTTTTGCATGGTGGGGACCGATTTGCTCGTTGCAAACTCAAGTTATATTTGTTAGGATAAGTACCACTTATCCATACTCATCCTAATCTTGTATCTAATAGTTAGCTAATACTTGTGTTATACTTAGCTAAAACTCTTGTTAATAGTTATCTTCTGTTAAGGTTACTAGTATAAATATAGCCACTCGTGAGCTATTGGAATATATATACAAAACAAGCCTTTGTAACCAAAAGCTCACGTGAACGAGTAGCATGCATTTCTTTATATTCAACATGGTATCGTAGCTATAAATTCTCCTCTCTCTTTCACGTATTTTTTTTCCTTTCTTTTTCAAACACGCAACTCCGGTAATTCTTCTTCTCCTCATTATCGGCTATGACTACCGATCCAGCGACCCACAAATCGGATGGTCTCCGCCCTTCCTATTTCTTCTCCCTCGTCCACTACCCATCATTCCTTTTACGTTAAGCTCACCACCGGTAACTATCTAGCACGGAAAGCTCGGTTTCTTCCTCTCTTGAACTACCAAAATCTCACGAGCTTCATTGATGGTACACGACCAGCTCCTCCTCCAACACTCATATCCTCCACTCGATCCACGAGATCACCACTCCCAACCCAAGATATCCGACTTGGTTTCAAAAAGACCAGATGCTACTCTCCCGGATTCTCTCCTCTTTAACCGAGACCATGTTCTCCTATGTCATCGGTCTCCATATCGCTTTTGAGGCATGGCAAGCTCTAGCTTTTGCTTTTGGTTCGGTTTCTCGAACCGTCAACTTCAACTCAATATTGAGTTACGGGAACTCAAGAAGAACAATCTCTCTCGTCACAAAGTATTTACATAAGGCAAAATCCTTAGTCGATGAACTTGCCACTCGCCGGACGAACTATGACTATCGCTAAATTTAATGCAATTATATATCGCAACATTGGTCCCGAATATCACGAGTATTATTACTACCCTTAACCTACAAGCAAGATCCCGTTCCTTTCCATGAACTTCGTGGCCGACTTGCTCGCCCATGAATCCCTCTTGCAAAGCTCCCGTGCACCACCAATGGCACACCTCGCAATCCGTAACCAACCATTACTACCCACACCGTCTTACTCTCCAAGACCACCAAAATTGCCGGTTCATGGCTTTCGTAGGCCACGCAGCCCTTGTCGATTTGTCACCTCCGTAATCATACTTGCGGATAAATGTCATCGTCGTTATACACAACGCCCAACCTCATCTCCTCGAGCTCATATGGCTTATGTTCCTCGGACAATGATGACTTCTCCTTTCTCCGCTCCAGTGGTTACAATGCCACACATTCCGCATATGGCCCAACATCTTCATCTGCTACACCTACTCGTGTATTCCCAACTATGGCACCTTGACACAGGAGCTTCTCACCACATCACTCCGGATCTATCCACACTCGGCATAGCAAATGAATACAGGGGCGAGTGACCGAGTGAGTGTTGCTAATGGCCAAGGTTTGGTAATCTCCCACTTAGGTGTATCTCATCTCCACACACCATCTAAAAACTTCATGTTAAATAATGTTTTACATGTTCCTCAAATTTCGAAACCACTCCTTTCCATCCATAAATTCAATTCGATAATAATTGTTTTCTTGAATTTTGGCTCCATTATTTTCTTATCAAGGATCGGGTATCCAAGGAAATCCTCTTCCGCGGCCCGAGTGAGCATGGTTTTTATCCTATGCATGGTGCGACTGTGGAGCCAAAATTTGCTTGTCATGGTGATGTTCTTCCTTTGGAACAATGGCATGCACGTCTAGGCCACCATCATCATCGCACTATTCATAAAATAGTCACCGAAAATAAATTATCTTCTCGCTTCTTCATCCCGTCTTCCTTGTTCATCTTGTCGTCCGGGAAAAATGGCACGCATGCCTCTTGCTTCGATTGAACACAAAAGTACTAGGCCATTTGAAATCATCTACTCGATGTCCGGGGTCCCGCTCCAGCTTCGTCCACCTTAAGTCATAGGTATTGCCTTCTATTTGTTGATGAATACACCCGTTACACTTGGGTGTACCTTCCGAAAAATAAAAGTGATGTTTTTTTATCTTTTAAACATTTTAATGCATATGTTCAACGACAATTTAACTCCACCATTTTAGCCTTTCACTCGATTGGGGGGTGAGTATCAAAAATTGAATAAACATTTCAAAGACATTGGCATAATTCACCGTGTTGCATGCCCATATACTCATGAGCAAAATGGTATTTCGAACGTAAAATCGGACATCTTGTTGACACCGGTCTTACACTATTAGCGCATGCCTCCATTCCTTTACATTACTCGGAATTATGCTTTTGATACTGCTATATCCCTCATAAATTTCCTTCCCAATGCGATTCTAAACAATGACTCCCCTACTTTAGGCTATTTAATAAACCTCCCGATTTTACAAAACTTAAAACTTTCGGTTGTGCCATATACCCTCTCTTAATACCGTATAATAATCATAAATTTTCTTTTCGGATGATTGAATATGTTAATATGGGACTCTCTCCCTCTCACTATGGATTTCGATGTCTTGACATCAAAACGAGTCGTGTATATATTGCTAGACATGTCAAGGCTAATGAAAATCTCTTCTCTTTTCACCATGTGCATGAACTGCCAACACCTCAACCGCACCATGACAACCAAGCGTGGCTCACGGTCTCCACTGCCGCACATGCTCCCTCCGGCCATACTCGTCCCGAGTACCAATGTTTTTCCATTTTCATATAACTCAACTACTGCTACAACTCCGAATTCCACTTCATCTCCAACTCCTTCTCTACCTCCACCACCTCATCCCCACGGCAGTCCTTCTCCTAAGACACTCCCACGGATAGATTTCTCTCCTCTAGTAATTACCAACTCACCCAACTCGATCCCATCTACACCTCACTCCCCGGTCTCCAACTTGTAGTGGACCTCACTTCATATCCAACCACTCGGGGTCCATCCCAACTCGTTCAACGACCCAATATCCGCACCCACTCCATGACACTTCGTCCAAAAACACATCTCTCCCACCAAGCTCATACTCGTAACTCTTACCACCAAATCATGTGACTACTTACATACTGAACCTACCTCATATTCCTAAGCCCGGACTTGTGTGGAATGGAGAAAAGCCATAAGTGATGAACTTACCGCCTTGCTCAATAACAACACCTGGTCTTTGGTTCCACGTCCCCTCAATAAAAACATAGTGGGGAATAAATGGGTTTTTCGTATTAAACAACACCCTAATGGTGAGATTTCCCGTTACAAGGCAAGGCTTGTTGCCAAAGGATATAATCAGCGATGCGGTGTTGATTACACTCGAGACATTCAGCCTTGTTGTGAAGGCAACCACCATCGGGAATATCATTTCTCTTGCTACTATAAATGATTGGTCCTTGCGACAGTTGGACATCTCCAATGCATTTCTCCATGGCATCCTTGATGAGGAAGTCTTCATGGATCAGCCACAGGGACATATTGACAAGGATCATCCCGATTATGTGTGTCGGCTAAATAAGTCCCTTTATGGCTTGAAACAAGCTCCACGAGCCCGGTTCGGTCGCCTTAGTTCCTTTCTCTTAAGCAATGGCTTTCATGCATCAAAGGCCGATACATCTCTATTCACGTTCATTGAAGGGACTAACGGTGTCTTTGTCCTTGTTTATGTTGATGATTTGATTGTCACAGGTTCAAGCTCCACTCGGTTGAAGAGTTCATTAACAAACTCCAGCTTGAGTTTCCTATTAGAGACCCAGGACACCTTCACTACTTCGGGAGTCGAGGTACTCCCCTTGTCCAATGGCATACTTCTATCACGGCGAAGTACATTGCGGACTCGCTTCTGCAAATCTGGAATGGATGCTTCAAAAGGATGTCCGACGCCTATGGCTACAACTCCACCTCTATCTAAACTTCGTGTACCTGTCATCGTCAAATGGGGAAGCATATAGGCAACTTGTTGGTGGACTCCAATACCCGACGATGACCGGACCGGATCTCTCCTATGCCGTCAACAAACTTTGCCGGTTCATGCACTCTCCCACCGATGCTCATTGGACGACCTTAAAACGTGTTCTTCGTTACTTACGAAGCTACTCCAACGTATGGTCTTTTCATTGCAAAAGATTGACCCATGCATTTACATTGTTATTCGGACGAGTGATTGGGCCGATTGCCCCGATGATCGTCGATCTACAAATGGCTATTCAATCTATCTTGGGAAGAATCTCGTATCGTGGACGACTAAGAAACAACTCTACCATAGCAAGGTCTTCCACTCGAAAGTGAGTATAAAGCACTAGCCAACACCGTTGCGAGAGATAGTTTGGATTCGTTCCCTCTTAGCTGAACTTGGCATCCTATCTTCCCAACCAACAAAATTATGGTGTGACAATATTGGAGCCATATATCTTTCAGCCAATCCAATTTTCCATGCCCGCACCAAGCACATTGAGCTAGACTACCATTTTGTGCGTGAACTAGTTGCCTCGGAGTCATCCAAATTGGTTTCATTTCCAGTGATGATCAAATAGCCGACATCATGACTAAGCCGCTTGCTATTCGTCGATTTCGGTTTCTCGGGGACAAGCTACGCCTACTCGTCTCCCACGCAACGGCTTGAGGGGGGTGTTAGGATAAGTACCACTTATTCATACTCATCCTAATCTTGTATCTAATAGTTAGCTAATACTTGTGTTATACTTAGCTAAAACTCTTGTTAATAGTTATCTTCTCGTTAAGGTTACTAGTATAAATATAGCCACCGTGAGCTATTGGAATATATATACAAAACAAGCCTTTGTAACCAAAAGCTCACGTGAACAAGTAGCATGCATTTCTTTATATTCAACAATATTCACTCAAATCCAAAACTAAATTGAGGCTAGGGGTAGGATTTGTTTGTGTGGGCCTAGTGTTGGGATTTTTATGAAGTATGGGTAAGGGAGAGTCAGTTGGGTCTTTGAGTTTGTAGTGTGTTAGTTGAAGTAGTTGTATTTGGGGTTTTGGTGGGAGTAGCAGGCATGGTGTTGGAGAGCTTGATTGGCTATCGGTTGCCATGGAAAAAAATGGCCGGATGAGCCCACTCGATGGACTTGAGTGATGCCGACTTGGAAAAAAAATTTGGTTAGTAGAAAATAGGGCCCGAATTAGAATACTAGCCGACGTAGTTATGGGATCCGATTTTGGAAATTGAGTGATTTTATTGGTAGACTCAGCAAAAGGAAAAATGGATTCAATAAAACAAACATGACAAACAATGTAAAAGTAGTATTTTGTGGGTCAAAACATTGATAACCCAATTGTGATGGTCTATACCCAAGAAAGATGCAAGGAGTGGATCTAAAGTCCATTTTGTGTTTATTGTAAAGAAGCAATAAAGGAAAGCAAAGACAACAAAAAAATTTTTAAAAAGAAACAATCAAGTTTTCTATAAAAAAAATTTCAAATGGTGAGGTATTATTAATAATAGAAGGTGACATCTTATTTGTCGCTACTCGACGTCGGACGGAACTTCAAAAATAAAGCTCGGTTTATCACTAGCTTCGCATTTTTATTTTATTTATAAAACTATTTGCAAAGTTTGGAGTCGCCACCTAGTATTGAAGGAACTAGGAACTAATATTGAGGATTGGTGGAGTGGGAATTAATAATCTACTTTGTATGTGAACTTCTAAATTCTCCACCCTAGTCGGTTTGATTTTGTTTTATCTTACAAGTAAATTGTCTTTCTATCATTTTTTAGAATTCAAGAAAAGTATTGAAAATATCATACTTTGTATGCAATGGATAATACCAAATGTACTTAAAATAATGAACAATAAACATAATATAATACTTAAACCCATCAATTAAAGTAGAGGGCGAATGGCCCCAAACATCACTAAAAATCAAATGTAAAACACCATTAGAGAAAAAACCAGCAGAGTGAGATTCCTAAAAAAAATTATTATCACATGGAAGCATTTGAACAAAAAGTAGCGTCCGGTTATTTAGGAAACATAGAGGACTTTATTTAGATTTAGTTTTCGATTAGATGTGTAAATATAACTTTTACCAACATGATGAATTGGTAAATACTCATCATTGCCAATATATAATTGATCATGACCGTGATATGCTTCAAATTTGCCGAAACTAGATAGATCTAGTGTCACATGGTGAGAAGCTCGGTGTCTAGACATCATCCGTGAGAGCAAGCTACTGGAGAGGTTACTATCGAGTCACTAGCAATAGGTTGCATGGTCCGAAATTACCGTTGGAGGCGGTGATGGTCGTTTGATTCCAAGAGTAATAAATTTGGCATTTCGCCTCGTTCGATGGGAGAGCCAAAGGATGTGTCATAACGATTTGAGAAACGACCATGGGCTCTCTAATGAAAGGCTCTACCCTTCCATGGTGATGACCACCAAATCGGTCATTAGGGTAGCCAATTGGCTTGTAAATAAGGTTGGCAGTGGGTGGTGTTGGTAATAGAACAAGTACTTACAGGACAAGCATTAAAATCAGATTTGCACTAATGATTTAGAAACTCATGACTAAGAAGAAAGCTATGTAGGTCAATAAAATTTGTCCATTCGGCTCTTGTAGCTCAAAGAATGTGAATCAACCAATCCCCTTACACAAGGGCGGATGCACTCGTATTTCTACAAGGGTTCGAGCGCCCTTCCAACTTTTTTTTTCTCCTATACTAAAGTAACTTACGATCCCCCTCTATTTTTTTTTTTAATATTTTTTTTCCTATACTAGAGTTACCGAGTAACAAACCCAACCAGCTAGCCCTCTAACTTTTGATTTAATGTACAGATCCCTAATCCCTATCCAGCTATCCCTACCTTCCTACGTCGCATGAGTCATGTATAGAAAAGAATTACACTTCAAAACAAAAGGACACCAAACAACGACTTCGCCACTCGAGACAAAACGCATGACTTCAATTCTTTTTTTCCTATGCTAGAGTAAGACAAACCCAACACTTTTTAATTTTTTTAACCTTCGTCTTTGGTTTCCCCACAAGGCATAACTAAAACCTTTAATATTTGTTTAATTTGATCTCAATTGTCTTCCACCACTATTAAATTCATCCCTTTTTTCCTTTCTCTTAAGTCTTAACTCTAACTCTATTCAAAACACCAAAAAGAAAACCTTTTCTCCGATATGGATTTTTCTTATTCGACAACACATAAGGTATTTTCTCTAATTTGGATTAATATACTAGATTCTCAATTGTTTATTTATTTATAATAATTTTTTTTGTTTATATTTTATAGGTTCTATATTAATAAAGTGACTATTTTGAAATATATTCAACTTATTAATGGAGCAATGATGCTACTATAATCCTTAATATTTTTAGGTATGTATACCAATGAGCCTAGGGGTGGCTCACAATAGACTCGGGTGGTGGTCTATTTATGTATTTTGTTTGAAAATTTGAATGTCTTATTTGTATTCTAAGTGAATTTGTAATTTGATGCATTGTCGCACTTTAGAAATTATTGTATATTCATATTTGTAATTTATTTTTATTGTAGATGAAAAATTCACATACCATTGATGCATTCTTTAAAAGAAAGAATGTTGTCATTTCAAACTCTAATGATGAGTCAAATTCTTCTATTGATTATGATCCTTTGAATTCTAAAAATCCTTCTACAAAATCTCGGAGAGTTGAAATAAAAAAAAAAAGATTTGATATCAATTCATTGGAACATGATTCGGGATTATGACCACAAATATGGGAGTATCCTACTAACAAACGTGATAAAATTCGAAGAGCCTATATTAATGCTAGTTCATATGCTTTTCAAATTATCCAAAATCTAGAGAAAAGCATCCTCGTAGTTTCCAAGCATCATGGTTTAAATTATTTCCATCATGGTTAGAATATTCTCCAACCAAAGATGCTGCATTTTGTCTATCATGCTATTTATTTTACAAACCAAATGTATTTTTTGGATCAAATGAATTTATTGTTAATGGATTTCGATCATAGAAAAAAGTTAGGGATGGTAAAAATTGTGCATTCTTAGCGCATTATGGAAAAGATCCCACTTCTCCTCACGAAATGCCGAGAAAACATGTTAGGATCTCATGAATCAACCTTTGCATATTGAGAAAAAGTTTATGAAATTTACTTCTCAGCAAATTATAGATAATCGACTTCGATTGAAAGCTTCAATTGAGGTAACTCGTTGACTTCGTTTTAAGGATAAGCATTTAGAGCTCATGATGAGACCAAAACATCAATGAATCATGGAAATTTTCTTAAACTATTGAGTTTTGTGACATCTTACAATGACAGGGTAGCGAAGCATTGAGTAAAGCTCCACAAATGCCTCATACACATCACCAAGAGTGCAAAAGGAAATTTTACAAGTCTTGACAATTAAAATCAAGAATGCTATCCGTGAAGAAATTAGTGATGCAAAATTTTGTATAATTGTTAATGAAGCTCGAGATGAGTCTCAAAAGGAGCAAATGCCTATTGTATTGAGATTTGTTGACAAAAATGGGTATGTGCGACGAGTGTATTTTTGAGCTTGTTCATGTAAAAGACACTGGTGCATTAACATTGAAAGAAGGAATATTTTCTATTCTCTCTCATTATAGTTTTGATGTTCGGAATATCGGAGGAAAAGGTTATGATGGTGCAAGCAATATGCGAGGGGAATGAAATGGGTTACAAGGTCCGATTTCAAATGAATGCTCTTTTGCATACTATATCCATTGTTTGGCTCATCGTTCGGTTGGCATTAGTTCGTTGCATCAAAGGAAGTTATCCTTATCCATCGGCTTTTCACCAAATTGAACTTCATCATTAATTTTGTGAAGTAGTCAACATACTTGTAGCAGACTCGAGTGCTTATGATATTACAAGAAAAGAAAGGGCGTGTCATCAATAATATGTAATTATGGTTGAGCATCATTACAAAGTTGATATATTAAATGTCGTGATAGATTCTCAATTGCAAAAATTAAATAATAGATTTAATGATCACATGATAGAGCTACTCATTCTTAGTTTGGCTTTAGATCTTAGAGAGATGCACATAACATTTAGGATTGATGACATTTGTAAGTTGGTGTAGAAATTTTATCCTCAAGACTTTGTCGATTATGAAATGCTGCAATTAAGGATGCAATTTGAGCATTTTGATCATATGTGAAATTTTTCTGATTTTGAAATATTATCAACTATATTTGATTTATGTCAATAGTCGATGAAGATAAGAAAATTTAATAGTTATCCATTTATGCATAGAGTGATAACACTTATTTTTACTCTTCCAGTTACAATAACTACCACGGAGCGGTCATTTTCAGCTATGAACATAATCAAGACTAAGCTTCGTAACAAGATAGAAGATGACTTTCTTTTCTATCATTTGTTAGTGTATATTGAAAAAGAAATTGTTGAAAATTTTAGTATGGATTCGCTTATAAATTATTTTCATGACTTGAAAGAACGAAGATCTTTATTTAAGTGATTGTATTTTGAGACTATTTTAAAATATATGTTGGCATGTTATTTATAATATATATAAGTTTGTGTAAAGCATGATAAATTTATAAAAATTTATTTTGGCCCTCGTGAACATTTGGTCTAGCGTCCGCCACTACCTTTACAACTCTCTGGCCTTCACCATACTATTCTCATGGGAGATGAACGGCAATTGTAGCAACTGTTATTAACAAGGTTTTGATTTGCCTTCATGGTTCTAATCCTCTTTATGTTTTGATATCATGAAAACCGTTTACTTTCTCATATCATAACATATTTAAAATGCACCACTATTAGATTTCTGAGGAGGCTGGTTTTGGTGGCAGTTTGTTTGAGAGGCTTGTAAAGTTGGGATGCAAGAGCCACCTTCTCAACATTCAATACCGAATGCATCCATCAATAAGCTTATTCCCGAATACAGAGTTCTATGGCAGACAAATTTTTGATGCACCAAATGTTAAAGAAACAGGCTTTAGGAGACGGTTCCTCAAAGGAAACATGTTTGGATCCTGCTCTTTCATAAATATAGCCTACGGAAAAGAGGAATTTGGTGAGCAACAGAGTTTCAACAATACAGTTGAGGCTGCTGTTGTTGCTGATATTGTTGGGAGCCTTTTCAAAGGTACTAGGTAGAAATATCAGATGTTTCTGGTGTAACTATTGATGTACAGAATTATTCTGACTTCATTTTTATGGTACAGAAATCAATGGCACTAGGACGAAGACTAGCATAGGTATCATATCACCATACCAGGCTCAAGTTCATGCAATTCAAGAGAAGATTGGGAAGTTCATTTCAGATTCTGACAGTGCCCTTTCTGCAAGTGTTGGCACGGTTGATGGTTTTCAGGGTGGCGAGGAGGATTTGATAATTATCTCTACTGTTCGAAGTGACGAAAGAGGATTGGTGGGCTTTTTTTCGAATCTTCAACGAGCAAATGTGGCGCTGACTCGTGCAAGGTATTAAATAAGTAAGAAAACATCAGAAGCTCCAAAGCTTCTTTTCCCTTTCTTTTTCTCCAATATTCCTATTTGAACATGTAAATTTTCGGGTGTAAAGGTATTGCCTTTGGATATTTGGAAATCAAGCAACTTTAGTTAAGAGCAGCTCTATTTGGAAGAAGATTGTCAATGATGCCAAGGAACGGAAATGCTTCTATAATGCTGAAGAGGATGAGAGTTTGGATCAGACTATTACTGATAGCTTGATCGAGCTTGATCAACTTGATGTTTTATCGAAAACTGACTCTCCATTGTTCAGGAATGCAAGATGGATGGTAAGCTAATTATGTTTTAGTATTCTTGAAGTTTTTTCAAAAAATTTACAGAAAATACAAGGTTAGCTTACTCTAGTGGTTTATGGAAAGAAGAAAATCTATTTTCAAAACAGATAATATTGCTTCTTAGTCCACAGTAATATCATGTTTTCATGCCAAGTATTAATTAATGGTTACCTGCATTTTGATACAGGCTTGTTTCAGTGATGATTTTCGGAGATCGGTGGCAAGAGTTAGGAATGTCAGAATCCGTAAGGAAGTGCTTTCCCTATTAGCGAAGCTTTCAAATGGTTGGCGTCAGTCTCGCAATAAGAGAAGCCTAATTGTTCACAATGGGATTTCTTCCCCACTGTCAGAGCAGTATAAAGTTAGTGGACAGCTAAATATCATCTGGACTGTGGACATTCTGCAGGAAAATTCATTCTACATTCAAGTTTTGAAGGTTTGGGATATTTTACCATCATCTGGTATACCAAAACTAGCTATGAGTCTCACACCTTATTTCGGAATTATACAGAGGAGCAGATGAATTGCTGCTTATACAAATCCATGGAGGGGTAAGTTAAATGCAATGCTTTGAAGATATTTTTCCTTCTTACATGTGGATATGTTGCTTATCAGTTTTCCATTTCTGCTCCAGGAATTTGGTTGTTCCAATGAGATGGAAAGTGGACTCCTAAGAGCTCATCAGGGCAGCCATCAAAATCACTTGCATCACTCTGTCTAAAGGATGAATCAAGCACAAATGCTAAAATTTCCAAGTACGTTACAGTACTAGCTGGTGTCAGTACCTTATGTCTTATTTTTGGCTTAAATGGTTATTGCTAAAAATGACATCTAACATTAGTATTATGCTAACTGTGATCAGAAAACAATGGAAGCTCAAAAAGAATAAGCAGAAGTGATGCTGTTGGATTAGTGCGGATTTGATGATTCATGATCACTAAAGGGTAAACATCCTTTCCTCATCAAGAACAGAATCGCACCTCCAGTCTAGCTTTTCCAAGCTTCACAGTTGTTTCGTCAAGAACTGAACTTCGGAATCTTAGATCACTCCATATCAGGATGTTGCAATGCAGGTAGCTAAGATCAAGGCGAGTGCGGTTTTTTTATTGCAACTCATGACAATGACCATATTTTTGCTGCTGTGTTTACTGGGCAGGTTTGATGGCCAATATCTCAAGTCAGAAAGGTGAAACAATGGCCAAGAGAAAGTATCATGTCAAGAAGCTTGAAAAGGTTCCTGGTAGAGAATTAATCAATCTAGTGTTTTCTTGGTCTATCCAAGATGTGCTCAACAAAGATCTGTCCAAAAGCCAGGTTTGGTGCTCAACAAAGATCCGTCCAAAAGCCAGGTTTGGTTGCAATTTTATTTCATATTTTGTTGCAGTTCTACACAACCTTTAGAATTGTGATTTTCATGTCAAAATCAATAATTTCTCACTAATGTTCTTCAAAGTTTACGAAAATCAACACTTCAAAAAAAATTGTAGAAAGATTTCTTGCAAGCCACAATATTATAAGCTTTCGTTAATACACCAAAATGCACAAATTTGGAGAGAAACTGCATCTGCTTTGGACTGTGGACATTCATCTCGAAAGTTCGTTTTATTTTTTACAGAAGAGTGAGTGCAAATTATGTGGCTAGCTAGAAAATAAACTGAACAGCACGATGCAAAGCAAATATCAGAAAGTAAACCGAAAACAAAGCACTGGAACTGGAAAGCAAAGCAGCAGCAAACAGTGAAAAGATGAATCAGCAACAGGAACTACGCGAAGAGCACACGGAGGAAGGACATGAATTTACTGAGGGTATTCTTCATCTTTATTTCAACAAAGTAGAATAGCAGCAGCAACACAGAACAAATGTAAGGCACCGAACAACCATCAGCAGAAATCCTCATGAAAGCTGCAAAAATCATACAAGCAGAGAAATTAACGAGGATACCAAGTTCAAAGAAATTTCAAATTCTTGCTGAATGTAAAGCCGATGGAGTGCCATTGAATCTATCCCTCCATAACACACAAGGGTTAGTCAATTTAAAAACATATAAAATAAGCATAAGGTGAAAAAGAATTTAAACCGAAAAGGGAATTAAAGAAATGATAAAATGTGAAACTAAATATGAGAATATAAAATCTTGATAATCAGTACCTAATCAGATGTTTCTTAATCACTGTCAATATGTTGAACATTAATTTGAGGGATACGAGCGATCTTGGGCCAATCTTCTCCTGTTCTCCTTTGGCACCTTCTGCTCAAACTTGGACAATTCCAGATCACAAGCTCTTGGAGTTTATTTAGATTGCCGAAGCACTCTGGTAATTCTCTAATGTTTGGACAGCTTATAATCTCAAATATTTGTAAGGAGTCTGCAGATCCTTGAAGCATCTGTTGTGGTAATGCTAATGTTGCTGGTAAATCAAAAAATTTTACTGTTTGAAGGCGAAGTGGTTTAATTTTCAATAGTCAAATCTGATAAAAATAGATAAATTAATAATATACATCTTATTTTTCTACTGCCCTAATGATTTAAGGAAAAACTGTACGATTAAGCCCAGAATTCACGACTCAGTACTATTCACCTAGAGGATAGCATGTAGAATAATTTGCAATTCTCATAGAGCAGCACTCTTTCAACTTTACCGTACAGAATTATCCATGCTATCTGTCCGTACATGTAACAAAAAACAAACTAATTAATGAATGATAGTTAGTTGGGAAGGCTAGTTTGTTTTGAAAATTTTTATAATTTATTAGTAGTAACTAGTGGTATGTACGGTGCTTATTCTATAAGTTTACTTTGAGAAGAAAGATAGACAAAAAAAAAAAAATTGAGCTAGAAATCTTTTTATCATTTTTTATAAATCCGTATGTAATTTAATGTGTCTATCTCTCTTTTCAAAATGAACTCATGAAGTAACTATTGTATATGTCACTAATTACTCTTTATGTATTATAAAATTTCAAGAGGATAATAGGTTTTATATTTATAATCCTAAATCTAGTATAACCTAAATTTGAAATAATAAAGAAATTTTAGGTTGAACTCGTGGGTTTGTCATTGTATTAAACTTTTAGTTTACAAAAACTCAAAATTTACTTATATAATAAATAAAAAAGAATTCGTTTTAAGTCTTTTAATGTTTTCTTCACTTTCCGATTATTACTAGTAAAATAGAAAAACATATACGATTAAATTTATTATTATTATTATTATTATTATTAGTTACGTACTTTCAACTTGTATTCTCATGTATTATTTTTTATATATATTTATTATCGTATTTTGAGTACTTGAGTGATTTGTGTGAGATTAGATGATTTATCTAATACAATTGTTTTTTGACTTAAAAAAAATAGTATTATCACTTTGTGTCTTATTAATATTACTTTTAGATTATCAAAAAAAAAAATGTGCCAAATTCTCAGCTTGATCTCTTCTTATAAGATAATTTTCATATAAAAAAACTTAATGAATTTAATTGCTACAAGTGAGAAAGTTTGATTAAGCATACTGTATTTTCGTTTATTTTTTTATTTTTTTAGAATCATGTTTTTTTTTTAACAAAAAAATTATTAGGAAATAAGCTATTTCAATAAAGGGTTAAATATACTATGTGTTTCTATACTATTTAATAATATTCATGTTAATTTCTTTATTTAGGTATAGTGCATAACAAATTCTCCTTATGTCATATTGATCGCATTATGTCAGTTGACGTCTGACTTGATAACACGTATCAAATAAAGGATACAAAAGTAAGTTTTCATTTAAAATCAGATTTTGAAAAATCTCAGTAAGTAAAAATAATTAATTAGTATTTATAAAATAATAAAAAAATCAAAATCAAAAGTCCTAACCAACATCAGCTAATTGAGGCTTATTGTGCTTGTGCATGTATATATAATTGAACATAACTGAACCCACCCCGACAATAACAACTCAAATAAAACTCCAATTCGACGAGCTCTAATTTTTCATCCAAACAGCTCAATCAATCATGTCTTCTTATTGTAATTAATCAGATCAACAAATTGTAATCCATTTGTTTCTGACTACACTTCATCAATAATGTGGTCACTGCTCTTCCGTACCATACATGGTTACTAACATAGCATTGAATCATGAAACACAAGTTCAAAGATATTGTGCTTATCTTTTCTCTGACCGGTGGTCTTGGTACAAGTGACCATTACCATGGTCTATAACTAAGATGGAATCCTAGTTTCAAAGTCTAAAATGACATATCAAGCAGCTTGTTGCTGCCTCTCGTCCATGAGACTTCTAAAAAATAATTATTTATATTTCAATTATGATTATTGGGGATGCGAATTATTATTAATTTGGAGTTGTCATCTAATATTAAAAAAATCAAAAAACCTAAAATTCACTACAATAAAATATAGGATTAGCAATCGTTTTTTGGTGACAATTTATAAAACCGTTCTAAAAACCAAGAATTCGTAATGGTATGTGTAAACTCTCATGAATTTTGTTATGATTTTAGGTTTTTAACAACTTCACGATGGTTTTCCAAACCATCGCAAACAACACGTAAATTTAGTGACGGGTTTGAAAACCCTATTGTGAAAATGGCCAATTTAGCAATGGTTCTACGCAGACCATTGCTAAAAAGTTACATATTTAGCAATGTCAAGCTAGACCGTCGTCGATTCTACCTTTTTTGGGTTATTTAGTTATGATTTTTGAAAAACTCGTTGCTAAATAACCCTTTTGGGTGAAATTAGCGATGGTTGTTATAGACCGTCGCTAGATTCCCCAATAAATCCAACGGATACTTTTTAGGAATTTAGTGATGATTTTTTTAAATCGTCGCAGATCCAACCTATTTTTTTGTTATTTAGCGATGGTTTTAATAGACCATCGCTAAATTCCCCAAAAAGGTTTTAATGAATACTTTTGACAAATACGGTGACGGTCGACAATTTGCTTAAAGCTGTCACAAAAAACAACCTACATTTTTTAGGGGAATTTAGCAACAGTTTTAATAGACCCTCGCTAAATTCCTCAAAATATTGGGGGTTTGTAGCGACGGCTCTAAAACATCATTATAATCCCTAAAAATGGGTCGTCAATTGGGGATTTTTGAAAAATTATCGCTAATGAACCATTTTTGGATGCATTTTTTCAAAAAATAAGGATTTTGAACCATCGCTAAACATAAAATCTCTAAATTCATGATAAACACTCTTTTTTCTCATTTATTCTTCTTCTTCTCTTCTCTCTTCTTCTTCTTCGTCAGCGCCACCACCTCCTCAAAATTGTCCATTGACGCCATTAATCCCTCCAAACTCCCATTCTCTCTTTTGATTCGTGGCTATCTGATTTAGACCCTTTCTAGATAAAAATTGAACTTTCCTATAAATATGCCTTTGGTCAATAGAGATAATAAGTAAGTGTGAACCTGCGTGGTGTGTTGGCAAAAGGAAATGGGAGATTGAAAGTTAATAACTTTGAGATCCCTAAAGTACTAAAAATATTATATATCAAAAAACAATGATATAAATTGCAATTTTGATCAAGCATCTTAAGTATTTATTTTGTTTATAATTTTAAAAAAATTACATAATCTTTTTTAAGCATAAGAATTGTCCCTGCAATTACTTGGAATTATTTTTGACAAAATAATTAATATTCACCAAATGACACCACTGAAAAAAAAATTAAAGTTTTTGGCTCCACCACTGGCCTGCGCTTTGAAACTTTATACGGTTGGTTTAGAACAATAATATTATGAGGGAAATTTCAAGACTAAGTATTAATTTTTTCTACGTATTCTTAAAAAAAAAAAAAAGGCACATTACATGACAATCAAATCTATTACACGCTAATTAATTATATTTTTTATTTGTAAGTTATATAATTTTTAAGATTACACTTGAGCATTTAAGATTCAGTATATTTAGTTAAAATTTCCCACTATTTAAGGTGTTATTTGATAATAAAAAATAGAGTGATGAGAATGAGAATGAAAGTTTGATTCTCACATTATTGATATTTGGTTAAAAGGAATGAAGTAGCAATGAGAATGAAAAGTGGGAATGGAAATGAAAATTTATCCACAACTTCATTCCCATATTATAAGATATGGGAATAAAAATAAGGAATGATAATGAATTTTTTTTTCAAAATAATAATATATTTTATTTATTTATTGTCTATTGACTATTTTTACCACTACAACTATCACTACCACCACCAAGTAGAACTACCACTCGCCATACCATCACAATTATCACCTTTATTATTTTTACAACCATTATAGTTTGATAAAATTATTTTTTTAATCATTATTTTTATTTGTATAAAAAATCAGATATTAAAAAATTTAAATTGTATTTCGATTTCTCATTAGTATTTCAAGCACGGTATGTGAATAAATTCCATTCGATTCTTTAATTTTCATTCCGATTCCTCCTTTCCCATTCCGGACTTTTCATACACGATAACTAAACGACACCTAAGGAGCTAATCTATGTATGGTGATTTTATAATTTGTCTTTTTTTTCTTTTTTTTTCTCATGAATTAAGTATTAGTAGTTAATTGGGAATATGAAATCTTTCAAAAGACAGTTGTAATGAGCAATTTAATCCAATAGTTACTAAACTAATCATATTACATAATCTCACTAGCTATTGATAGAATAAAAAAAAAAGGTTTGAGTTACTTCCTTAACTTTATATATAATTTTTAAAGAAAAATAAAATTTACATAAATTTCTTAATTTAGGTACAGATAAGCGCTTTTGATAGAATAAAAATCAAAAACTTTATGTCCTTGCACAAATATGGGCACCAAGCGAATCACCTGATCATGAAAAAAAAAAAAAAAAAAAATCTAATTTCAACTCATAAGGCACTAGATTGACGCTTTTTTGGTTACATTCATCAAAATTTTCATTAAATAACTTCTAAGTTGCATGTCCTTTGTTATGAAATATTAAAACCTCATTTAAAAATAAAAAAATTAATCTCCACAAATATTATGATAAAACGTCATTTATAGTTTAATAAATTATCATGAAAGAAATTAAACCTCAACAGTTTTGAGACACTTTGGTTTTCTTTTTCTTTTTTTTTTTGTTTTTTTTTTTTAAGAAAAACTTACAATTTACATGTGATAGTTAATGAGTAAATTATAAATCAGTCCCTCTCATTTATAAAAACGAATTAATTAGTCTTTTTAAAAGTAATTATTTAGTTTTATTTTAATTTTTTCAATAACATAGTAATTTCATTATCATTTTCTGTTAGATTAGTAATTTTGATTTTTTATTAAAGAGAGAGAAAATAAGTGGGTGAATAAGGGAAATAAAGCATAAAAAAAAATTTGAAAAAAACATTAATCTAATAGAAAATCAATGAAAGACTAAGTCATTGACCGAATTAAAACATAAAATGCTAAATAATTAGTTTTTAAAACGAGAATAATTAATTAATTCATTTCTTGAAATTAGAGGGACTAATTTATAATTTACTTGACACTGAGCATTCAAATTGGACAAAAAAATAACAAAAGAGGTATCAAAACAAAACCTTATAATTCAAGGGTTGGAATGAGAAAATAAATAATTATATGGCGTCAACCTAACTAAGCAGCCACTGCAAAAGATAAGACAAAAATAAAAAAAAAAAAAATAAATCTTTTAAATATAGCCCCGGGTCCTGAGTCCTGATTCTGAATTGCAAGAAACTCGTTGAAACCAGATAACACCAAAGCAGGAAACGGATAACGAACCAGTCGATGGGGATAACGACAGCAACGGCAACAACATTAGCAGCAACAATTCACAATCGTTCCTTAATCTCCTTGTCTTCAACAATTAAACCTCGACTTCATTCTCCTTCTGTTCTCTCTAAATTCCCCATTGTCTCTCGCACAAAGTCTCTCACCACTACTTGCTCTCTTCCCACTGAAACTACTACTTCCGGTGAGTCATGGAACTGTGTTTTGTTTCGTGTTTCATGAACTGGGTTTTGGTTGTTTTAGCCTTTTTGTTTTTTGGCCAAATTGTTCTCATTGAATTAGGCATTTGTGTACAGCAACAGAGGTTGCTGGTGTTGACGCTTGTCTTGAAGTGAAGGTGAAATCTCCTTTCCTTTATGTATACCCTTTTGAGTGAGTATTTTGTGGTTGTGTTAGAATTCAAATGATTGTGTTTTTAACTGTGAAATTTTCAGAAGAGAGCAGCTGATTTATCCCCCGAATTAAAGGGAACTTCTATATTCCTTGTAGGTAAGTAATTACTGTTGTTTTTAACATTAATCAATTCTTTTGGAGAGTTGATCCGATATTAAATTGTTATTATGGGATGCTTTGTTTTTTGTGTGGAGGAATGAGAAGTCCTATAAAAACCAATTTGGGTAAACTTTTGGCGGATGCACTGCGATATTATTATTTTGACAGGTATGGATTGTGTTTGTGTTTTTGTTAGAATGCTTGAAGGAATTGCACAGTGGTGGATGATAGTTCAAATTACTGATTTAATGATTACCGCGTGTTCAGTGATAGTTTGGTCGAGGAAGCTGCCGGTGGTGAATCTTCTGCCAAATCTCTTAGGGAGAGTGATGAGAAAGGATTTCGCAAGTCCGAGGTGAATGCCTTTCAGACCTCTATTTGTATTTTCGTATGTTTGTTCTTGCGACTGGCACGATATTAGTACTCGAACATTCAGAATGTTTGTGATATACAGTTGTACTATTAGGATTATAGTTGATGTGGTACATTATGTTGAAGTGGCATTTTGCTACAGACTGAAGTATTGAAGCAGTTATCATCTATGGGTCGGCTTGTGGTATGTGCCGGAGATGGTGCAGTTCAAAGTTCAATCAACCTGTATGAACACGAACTTTGATTGTTCTGGCTTCTGGCTAGTTTTCTTTGCAAAATTGCAATGGATAGTATTTGTAACTCATATGAGTTGAAAGCTTCTTTTATTTTTATGTAGGGGACTTCTGAGACATGGGATCTCACTGTGGATTGATGTACCCTTGGACATTGTTGCAAAGGGGATGGTTGAAGACCAGACTCAACTTGCTGCATCAGAATCTCATTCAGAGGTTTTTTCTTCCTTCTCAGTTTATTAATTATTTAACCTAAGTAATCTGTGCTTAAATGATTTTCCTTGTCAAGTCATATTTGTTTGGCCCTCCGCATTTCTAATAGATCTGCTCTCCAGGTGTTGGGGCAGCTTGTCACCGCTTATGAAGGGCTGAGAGCTGGTTATGGTACAGCTGATGCGAAAATTTCACTGCAAAGTATATCTCCAAAATTTATCTTGCTTGTCCCATAGCTTTCTGATTTTGTACCGTTCCTAACCACTACATGTTTTTAGCAGATATAGCTGTTAAATTAGGTTATGATGAACTGGATTCAGTAACCACAGAGGAGATGGCATTGGAGGTGAAGATACAACACATTTCATTGTGAAGATTTTCTTAGTTATAGTAAACCAGTCTGGTACACTACAAGTGAGGTTTCTTCTTCTGTATTTGATACTTTCAGGTACTCAAGGAGATAGAAAAACTGACAAGAGTAAAGAAGATGATGGAAGAGGCAGCAAGACCATTTTAGCAAACGATAGCCGTGTTTTCAATACGTGTAACCAATTTTCGTGAACTTCTGTTCTGTGCCTGCCTTGGATATGCTCCTTAATGCGCAGCCAGATCCTGTAACTGTTTGTAATCAAAGATTGGCTTATGAGGTTACACGGTCTGAATAGGAACTCACACTCTTGTTCATCTTCATACGTTGCAGTGGATTTTTTCTATTGTTCAAACTGAACTGGATTGAACCTAAACCTGACATATCCTTGCACTTACGTTTTGTATACGCGTTTATGCACATGGGTAATTTTTGCAGCTCACCCTTCCTGTCTTCCTTGAAACTTTAATGAATTGCTATGTGAAATAGGTTGAGCCCAAGCCTGTGCATGGAAGGTTGAGTAAGCATAGGGACTATTTTCTTATATTAATATCTATATGTAAGATAAGGATTAGAAATGACAATTTGCCCCGTCCCGACGAAGCCTTGTTCCAGTCAACACGGGGATTTCCTAAGTTGACTGGGGAATGGGGCGGGCGTCCTGCTCCATGTTAATTTTAAACGGGGATGGGGCGGAAATGATATTTGCTCACCTCGTTTCGTTTGTCCTGCTCCGTCCTTGAAATTACAATTATACTCTAAATAAAACTGACAAGAGTAAAGAAAATGATGGAAGAGGCAGCAAGACCATTTTAGCAAACGATAGCCGTGTTTTCAATACGCGTAACCATTTCGTGAACTTCTGTTCTGTGCCTGCCTTGGATATGCTCCTTAATGTGCAGCCAGATCCTGAAACTGTTTGTAATCAAAGATTGGCTTACGAGGTTACATTGTCTGAATAGGAACTCACACTCTTGTTCATCTTCATACGTTGCAGTGGATTTTTTCTATTGTTCAAACTGAAATGGATTGAACCTAAACCTGACATATCCTTGCACTTACGTTTTGTATATGCGTTTATGCACATGGGTAATTTTTGCATTTCACACTTCCTGTCTTCCTTGAAACTTTAATGAATTGCTATGTGAAATAGGTTGAGCCCAAGCCTGTGCATGGAAGAAGCATAGGGACTATTTTCTTATATTAATATCTATATGTAAGATAAGGATTAGAGATGACAATTTGCCTCGTCCCGACGAAGCCTTGCCCCAATCAACGCGAGGATTCTCCGAGTTGACTGGGGAATGGGACGGGGCCTCCCGCTCCGTATTAATTTTAAACGGGGATAGGATGGAGATGGTATTTGCCCACCTCGCCTCGTTTTGCCCCGTTCTATCCCCGCAATTACAATTATACCCGATATAAAATTTATGACTACTAACTCTTAGGGTTTATTTTTTATATAAACTATCATTTTTTTGCTATAGTTTGAAATTTAGTGATAAAATGAAATGGGATGGGGCGGAAAAAAAATTAAACGGGACATCTATGCTCCTTAGGGATTTCCTTTCCTGTTTGGAAGGAATGGTATGAGAAATATGACCTCACGCGGGGCACGTGGCGGGGACAGAGCATCCCCATTGCCATTCCTAATAAGGATGCTTCCTCAACATCGTTAATGTATTCTTTCGCATTTTTGTTAACAATAATAATAATAATTCATGTATTCTACAGGATGGCCATAGCATGCACCATATCTCTTAAGAAAAGAAAAGCAATACAAGGAAAAGAAAATAAGAAAAATATAATGATAGTAGGGTTTGGTGTGATTGAACATTTGGAGGGGTCAAGAGCCACTCAATTCAAATGTTGATGATAGGCATGGGGTGACTTCCATCAACTTGTTTGTTGGTTTTTTGTTTCCAAAAGTCTCCAAATCAGTTTTATTCAATCTCGAAGCATCTAAATTTTGGTGAATTTTTTATTATTTGCGTCATAGACGCAAATAAATTAAGATAGTTGAAAATGAGAAGATGGTATTCTCTTTATGCTAAAGATTGAAGTCTCTTCATGTGTGCTAACTTCCAAGAGCATGCTTAAAAATATATTATAATAGGTGTTTGGAATCAGAAAATCTCTAATTCCCTTTATTAAGATATCTTAATAACCAAGAAAAATTGTTTAGTTTTCAAAAGATGTTACATTTTCGATAATTTGACATTGCTATTGACATCACATTTTCCAGAAATAAAAGAACTTTTTAATAAGAAAAAATAAGTACAATGAGATTTGAATTTGCTATTATTTGATCAACAAAATTTTGATAATATATTAAAAAATTATTTCAACTTTTAAAATATGATTTATATTATTCTCAAATAATATGTTTAATGCTATTTTAAAATGAAGGAATCAAATTTTTTTAGATAGAGAATGACAAGATTATAATTTGTTGACGAAATTGCTTCGCTATTAATATTAAGTGGACTGACATATTCTTATTATTATTTTTTTAACAATAACAGGAATACCAAAGATCTTGTAGCTCAATAGTAGTGGTCTCGTTGTAACAAAAAGTCATAAATTCAAATCCTATTAGACTAGATCTCGCTAGGAGTATATATATAACAAGAATGTGTTTAGTCTTGATATCAATTTTTTTTTTTTTAATGTATTATGCATGCTATGCTTTTTTTTTTCTTTGAGAAAATTTTATAATTTGGTAGGAAAAATAAAAAATCTACTTGCTAGCTGTACTTAATGTAATATATGTGCTTATGGGGCATATGATTATTTACCAAAAAACAGAAAAAAATAAATTATAAAAAAAAATTTCATTTTCAACAACACACAAAAATCATTTTTAAGAATCTGCATATCATATGTATTTTAAAAATACTTTTTATTTCAAGCATCCATGTCTAAAGATGTTTTGGCAACAAATTAAATTTTGTATGTCCTGTTTGTTGTCGACATTATAATTTGGATTTTTTTTAAAAAAAGAAAAAACTATGCCTATATGATTTTGGATGGTTTTTTAAGACATAATTGAAAAAAATATAATCTCAAAATTTAATAGTCGATCCAATTGCTAGAAAACAAATCAAGCAAAAGAATAGAGTAGAAAAAACAAAAACAATCACATAATACAAAGATTTTATGTGGTTTGGCAATGGTGTCTCGCTCCATGATTGTGCTAAAATTTCTTATTACATTTTGTCAATTGACGACTATAAATATAAGTAATGTTACCTCTATTTATAGTGTGGACAAATATTGTTATAAGAAAAAGATCTAACGGACTTACATATTTAGTTTAATATTCTCTAAACCTTTCGAGAGCTCGCCCTCAAGCCTCCGCAAAGGCCATTGCTAATCGACCAACGAGGCCATTGTGCTAGATCTGTATAGAATCTTATACTATGGACTCTCATTTATATTAGTTTCTACAATTTAACACCAATAAAAATGGAAAAGAGGAAAAAAAGAAAATACAAAAAATGCTGTCTTGTTAGAGCCAAAAAAAAACCTTCCACATTTATAATCAAAATTTTTGACATTTTTAATTCGGTTGTAATATATTATCCATTTATTCTGATAAATTAATTCTGGATTTTTTTTTTTTTTTTTTTTTTGGTTTCTCCGTTGAATAGAATTGAATGAATCCATCATTTTTTTACTGATTAAAAAAATGACATTTTCTTCACAGATAAAAACATGTCGTAACGAATTTGAAATATAAATCTGGCATTAATACTTTCATTAATTATTTTCTCTAATTTTCTGGGACAATCCTTTGTATATATCCTATTAATTACGTTTGACTGAATATAATATATAAAACTTATGTTTTCAACGCTGGCAATTGGCAACTGATCACACATAATAATAATAATAATAATAATAATAATAATACACATAATATATAAAATTAATTTTGGATGATTTTTTTTACTATACAGAAATTTAATAAATTTTTCTTGAATATTGGTCCTGGCATTTGAATCCAAAAAATCAATGAAGATAGCAAAACTCCTTAGTCACCAAACCAATTTTTTAAAGTTAGATCAGTTTAGATATCAATTAAGATTAAGTCTCTTTTTGAGATTTTAAAAAATAAATGCTACATCACATAATGCCGTTTGTGATAAAATTTTATTATATTCTATTTTGTAACGTAATAAAATATTTTGCAAGCATCATAACTATAGTAGCTATTACATAATGATCTCGGTCATTATCTTGCAATGGTTACACTTGAAATATATATATATATATATATATATATATATATATATATATATATATATATATATTGAATGGACCATAGATGGATTGTCGGAGTATAATATCCTTAGTTTACTCTAGCAAATGACCATGGCTGCTAACGCCTACAAAACCCAAACTAGCATCTCCGACCGTGCGATAGCTGAATTGCTTATTGTCGGATTTTCTCAGTCAACTCAAAGGATAATGGGACTATCATCTCACTGCCCAACAGCATATGGAGATATTAAATGCCATTCAAATAGGCCAAAAATGTCTTCCTATCCTAGATGACTTAGGTGAACCCATATATATATATAAAGTTTTAACATATAATTGTGATTGTTACGTAACAGTAGTGATGATTTGTTTCATTGTAACAAGTAATCAAAATCGTGATTTAAAACCATATTGTTAGATGATAAAATATATATATATATATATATATATATATATATATATATATATATATATATATTTTAAATATGATTTGATGATTTGAACCCACAAAATCAATAAGAAAAAACAATTTTTTTTATTCATGAGGCGTGACTCTCAAGGTTAGGTATATACACACACACAAGGTTAGGTACACACACATATATGACAATAATAAAAATAAGAATTCATCAAACATTAAAAATTGTATGACCAATTAGAAATTTCCTCATTCTTAGTAATTGTGTGAATGTCATAAATATATATATATTGTCATTTGTTATAAAAGAGAAACTCAAGTCCAAAATCTCTTAACAAAGGAGGACAAGAGCTAATTGAGTTACAAGCTTATGGATTGTCATCTTTTTTTTTTTTTTTTAATGAATGATCCGTTGTTGTTTTTGAATTATTTTTGTGCACATGATAACTAAATGACTTTTTAAATTCAGTTAAAATTGTATTATTCAGATCAATAAGAAAACATTCAAAAGAAATTGCCAATTTTCGTTATATAACTGTGAAGATTTAAGTTCAAATTAAAAACATTTTGAATTGATAAATTTCAAGATTATGGATATTCACACATTACAAATAGACAACATTTTTTTAACATCCAAAACCTTTAGCTTGCTATAATTAATTTTTTTATTGGATTGTAAAGATATTTTTAGATTGTCTTATACGTTAATTGAGACTAAGTATTTTTTCAAATAATTTAAGAATACATCTCTATGCTTCAGTATCAATTTCTTTTTAACATCCAAAACCTTTAGCTTGCTATATTTAATTTTTTTTATTGGATTGTAAAGATATTTTTAGATTATCTTATACGTTAATTGAGACTAAGTATTTTTTTGAATAATTTAAAAATACATCTCTATGCGTCAATATCAATGTCTTCCCAACATTCAACTATTATTTATACATGAATTTAATCCATTTTTAAAAATTAATTAAAAAATGTCTCTTATTTTTTTCATCAAATTGGATAAACAGAGCTAATAAGAGAATATCGCCTTATTGTAATTAATAATTAATAACATTCAACTATTATTTATAGATGAGTTTAGTCAATTTTTGAAAATTAATTAAAAAATATCTCTTATTTTTTCATCAAATTAGAGAAACAGAGCTAATAAGAGAATATCACCTGATTGTAATTAATAATTAATAATACTCCATTTTTAAAGAAAAAAACCAATTAACTAGTAGTAAGGTAGAAAAAGGGGAAAATAAAAAAAAAGGTTTAACGTAGTAAAGAAGGGCAAGGAAAGACAAGGGTGGCCGTGGCGCAAGGGAAAGGGTGGGCTTAATTTTGAAATTGCAGAGAAGAAATTGGAAGGTACCCAAAAAGGCGGTGGCTTATGCTTAATGTAAATTGTAATAACGCCCCCCCTCTCTCTCTCTCTCTCTATGGACTATAAACATGCACTTAGGCATGGCTTTCCTATCGCTTTCTTCTTCTTATACGACTTCCTCACACCCACTTTCTCTCCTTCTTCGCTTTTCTCTCTATCAAAACCCATCAAGAAGAAAACAATCACAGAATAATGCGTACACTTTTCTCGTTTTAATTTTATTTATTCGGCACTTCAGTTACATGTAGTACATATTTATGATCTGGAAGAGAGATTTTGACTGATTGAATTATATGGAAGATCATCTTTGAAATGACTTGCCTATTAGAATCCTTGATCACTTGTTCTGTTGGTGGGTCTGCTAATCAGATTAATGTAGTTTTCGCTTTCATGTAATTAAAGCTCTTTTTTTTTTATGATTAAACTCTCATTGGTTTCTGGGTTTTTCTTAATTTCTTAAGCAACATGTTGCTTCAACTTGAAACAATCATTGGTTTTTTTTTTTTTTTTTTTTTTTTTTTGTGCTTATTTTGATGATTAAGCTTAAATTGTGTTCTGGGTTTGGTTATTTTTTGTGGGTTTTGTTAATAAAATATGCTGCTTTAATTGAAAATAGTAAATGTTGATTGTGATGGATGGTTTGAGTTTTGGGTTTGAAGTGAATGTGTATCTTATAAGCAACCCTTTTGAGGTTTTTGTTTCTTGATCATGTCAAGGAATCAGTTTATGTACTCTAAATATATTCGCTTTGCCTTGTTGGTTTTGCCGTTCAAATCATTTCCTGGTGTTTGATGTTTTGGCTTAACTAGATAGTTGATGAGACTTTGCTTTGATTCTTAGATACTTTTGCTTTGTTGTTTTTGGTTATGCTGCTTTAGATTTAGTAGTAGATGCATTTGTTGCCTGTCTTATTAGTAGTTTTTGTGTACTTGATGGTAGTTTTGTTCTTTCGGGTTCTTTTTTCTCATATGGTTGAGTTTCCTATACTTGCAAGATGGATCACTATTAGGTTTTGGTGATCACCGATCCATGTTTGATCAGTTAAGGATTCATTTTGTGGTTGTGTATGAGAAATATTGGAAATTTATGTAGTTCATTGTAAACTCCGGTTTAAAGCATCTTGTTCAAGCTTAGACAACTAACTCTTTTTTTTTTTTTTGTTGAATTCTTATCAGGCAAAGACTTTCACCCTGTTGGTAACTATGAATTCTAGGTGCTTCATTGCTTGTTGGTTGGGAGGTCAAAAAATCTGTGCTAACCGAGATTGTTGGATAGTGATGATGTGTTTGGCTTTCGCTATTCTGTCTCATGAAGGAGTTGTAGTGAAATGTGGATGCCTTTGGTGGATGCATAGTACTTTCTCCTTGGTAGATTAGGGAAAAGGTTCTGTGTGATTGGTTTACATTTTGATTGTCGCACTCTTATCTGCATTCATTCAACTACATTTATAGGATTAGGATTCTGGAATCTTTTTCCAGTAGTTAGTATGGAGGAGCAGTTTCTAATCTGTTAACAAAGTTGAGCAGGAAGCAATCAATGTTATGAAATTAAAGTATTGCCCTTGTTAAACAGAGAGAAGGGATTGATAATTTATTCAGTTGAGCTGAATAAGTATATATCAGTTTCTGCAAACTTTAGTTATGGGTTTGCCACAAGTTTCCTCTACTGATAGTGGTAATGAAGTTGCAGCAGCATCGTTGGGCTCTTTTTTGCAAAGCCCACCTCGATATGGTGGCATGAGCACCTGTGATTTGGATGGATTGGATGGAGGAAGTACTGTCCAAACAGTTGAGCATACTAGGACTTCCTCTTTAGGAGATTTCCAGGGTAAATCCTCCTTGGATCTTTCAAAATATTCAGACAATTCATTTGGATTTGGAGGGCCAGTGGATGTTGCTTCCAATTTTCATGGGTTAAAAACTGGTTCTGTGGATAAAGTTGGTCATCGTACTCCTAAAAGTGGGAGGAATATTCCAAACCCTGCTTCTAGGATTGTGGGTTTTGAATCACATGGAATGAGTTCTTTACAAACTGGATTTGAGGTTCTTTCTGCTGATCGTGTGCGTTGTTCTGCTATTGATGGTGTCACAATTAATGAGGCTGAGTCGAGTGGATCACTTGTCAGGAAGCGGTTACCGTCATCACCTTCAAATGATATGCTTTCTGCAAAACAATTTAATGGCGAGTCCTTGGATATCAGCTGCAATGCTTCTCGGATGAATTGCCCTACTCGTGCTGATAATTTTAAAGATTCTGCGTCACATGACTTCAAGAAACCAAATGTTGGCAGAAAACTTAATATTAATGTGTCATCTCGATCCTTATCTGGCTACTGGGAACAAAAGAATGTGCCATGTCACAATGGTGCAAGAGGATCAGTTCTTTTAACTGATGGTCCGTTACTGAAAAATGAAGATGCACTCCCTCATTCTAATTGTTTTTATTCTTCTGGAAACAATCATTATCAAGAGACTAGGATATCCTTCCAAAAGGGATTTTCATCTCCACTCTCTTTGTCTCCTCTAGGTCTGAAGTCTTCCTTGAGTATGAAAGCTTTAGAAGGATGCAGAAACGTCAGGAGCCAATTTGAGGATTACTATTCGAATTTAGAAAATGTAGGACATTCATTTGACAGAAATGACTCAGGCATTAACTTTTCTTCTGAAGAAGCAGAGTTCAGGATCTCAAGCAGATCATATGAAGATATTGGTTTCTGCAAAGAATTTTGTTCGTCTTCATTGGAAGGCACTACTGACTCAGGTTGGTTGTCTTTCTGTAGAGAAGCAGCTCCGGCCCAATGCATAAGGCACTTGAGAAGTTTGAGTGGTCTTCCTGTTAGGAGGTCCTTGGTTGGTTCATTCGAGGAGTCACTATTGTCTGGACGGTTCTTTTGTGGAAAATTTTCTCAGGTTAGTAGCTAAGTGATGTATATGTACATTCTGGTGTTCGTTTCTTATTTCATTTCTTAGAAAACATATGATAATCTATGTTTTTGGATGGCATTTTCTATCTATAGAGAATTGATGGCTTCCTAGCTGTATTAAGCATTACTGGAGGGAACTTTTCACCGCAATCACAGAAGCTTCCATTTTCAGTGACCAGTGTAGATGGGGATTGCTATCTACTGTATTATGCATCCATAGATCTTGGAAGGAATTCATCATCAAACAAGTGTAGGGGACAAAAGTTTAAAAGATGCCTAAGTAATGATGATTCTCAAATTGGCGGGAGTCGTTTGCGTGTACCTATGAAAGGTCGAATACAACTGGTACTTTATATCTATCTGCAAACCTTTTTGGTGGTCCTGAGTTCCTTTGATATACGATGGATTTTTAATTTCAAATTGCTTTTTCCACCTTTAACGTGGTTTTACATGTTAAGGTGGCCTTCTTCTTGCTTAGGCTATTGCCTTGTGGTGGAACCTTTTTCCATATTTGTCACATTTAATAGAAGAGAACATGATGAACCAATTTGACCAGAATGTCTTTCTTTCATCATATCCTTTAGGAGTTTGTTGTTCTAATGGTCCATTGCTTATGTTTTGTATTTGGCAGTAAGAAGAGTAGTATTTATTTATTTACTTTTTGTTGGCATTTTGGTGTACTGGTAAATCACAATTCTGTTTCATTCAAACTTTATGCAGCTGCAGATGTTTTGTGGTCAATGGGTGGGTTGTTGATGATCGAAATATCTGTTATTTACTATCAAATTGGCTTGCTTTCTTCAGGTTATCAGCAATCCAGAGAAAACTCCGCTTCACACATTCTTTTGCAACTATGATTTGAGTGACATGCCTGCTGGTACCAAAGTAAGATGAAGTAGCACTTAGTACTGTCTTCTCTAGTACATTCAGGCTTATTAAGTATGATTTGCTGTCGAACTTTATTCAAAGACATATATTCTTGTATCTATTATGAGAATAGATTCACCATGAGCAATTGTTTATTTGTCGGCATTCAGGTCCTTGAGGTTTCCAGATCAAGAATGATATATGTGAGGGACTAGAACGAGTTAAAATGAGTTCTGTTCCCATTTGAAAACTTTTGAAACAATTTTATTAATTGATTGCTACCTATGCTTTTGAAAGTGAGCTAATCAATTCTGATGGTGGAGCTTTTTCAGAAACCAGAATCAGAAGGGTTGAACCTATTTTTCTTTTTTATTGTGCTTATAATTGTTCAATTGAGTATAGGCCTTTTGTTCTGATGTAAGCAAAATCATGAAATGGGTAACCAGCAGCTCTATTTTTTTCCCTTGTATTGCCACATTCATACAAACTTAAAAGTTTTATGGTTTGACCTAGATTTTTAACCTATTCTACCTTCAATTCTTTCAGTGGAGTTAATAAATATGAATATTCAGCTTCATATCAGTGTGAAGTGGCTCTTGTCTGCTGTTGTCATACTTGGTGTATATATGGCACTAGACATACCAACAGATGTATGCATCATATGATGCAATCAATTAAGTATGCCTATTTTATGGTCCATGTGCTCGTTTATCATGTGACTAATTATTCAATCACTTCCCTGTTAATATCAATGCAGACGTTCCTGCGCCAGAAGGTCTCTTTGGCTTCTTCTGGACCAACTTCGACAGAACTGAAACAAGGGCAGATGGGTTTGGACACAAAAGTGAAAGAAAAGGTGTCTCCAATATCACAGAAAAGCTATCCTATATGCCCAGCAACTTCTGTTGGTCAGAAAAGTAAAATTGAAGGAAGTGAATCCTGTGAAATGGTAGATACGGTTGATGCAAGGAATTTCCCCAAGCAGTCTCAAAATGTACAAAAGGTGACTGTTGACTCTTTGATGCTTGAGACCAACTGCAGTAGTGCCAAATGCCAGAGGACTGTGGGGAAGGAGTGTGCTGGGGTGGAAACATGCAATGAAACTGACAGAAAACCAAATCATTGTTATTCAAAGATAAATGAAACTACTCGTGGTGGTGGTGCACTCCGTTATGCGCTTCATCTCCGCTTTCTATGCCCATCACCAAAAAAGTCATCTAAATCAGTGCAGAAATGCCCTTCTGATCTTATAGCTGTACCACAAAAGACGAGCTTAGGTGTAGAAGGGGAGCGTAGATTCTATTTATACAATGACTTGAGAGTTGTGTTCCCTCAACGCCATTCAGATGCTGAAGAGGGCAAGGTATGTTATTTTGAATTCATGCAATATGTGGCTTCCAAGTGTCATCTCTGCATTTAGCTGTGTGCACAAAATTGTGAATGAATTGTTCTGATGTGTGGAAACCGTACATATGTAGCCAGCCATATAGGTTTGATGCTCATTTCTGGCAAATATTGATAGTGATGTTGAAGCGGCTGATTAAATTCCAGTTCCTTGGGATCATGATCAGTTGCTGGGCATCTGCAGCAAATATTATTGGCATTGTTAAGATTGCTCAAGTTTTATTGCTTTTATTCTTCTCTAAGTAGCATTTGATTTAGTGTCCAAGACATTTGGTATTGCCTATGCTTGATTTTATATCCTAGTTTAGCACTTCTGAATAGATAATCACATGTGAAGAATTATTTCTAGATTTTCTTCCACGACTCCCAAGTGAAGGTGGCCTTGTTGAGTCAACCCTATATTTCAGAGTGGAAAAATTTTGAAACAAATAACTAACATTGGCAGTGCATAAACGGGGAAGTAAAAACTTAGGCCACACAGTTCGAAAAAAGTGGGAAACCTCCAACAACCTTTCTCTGTGAATCGGAGTGAGACTCACCAAGAAGCTATAAGGCTTGTGAGCAAGCTGTGTACATTCTCAAAGTGGGAGTGTTGATCTGGACAATCAGAAAAAATAAGTTACTATTTTCTGTTTGCTGTCTTACCTAGTCTAATAGACTAACCAAGTTTTTTTTTTTTTTGGCAGTTAAATGTAGATTACCATTTCCCTGCAGATCCAAGATATTTCGACATCGGCAACTGAAACATGTAATTCATCTCAATGGAGTTGGATCCTTTGCCGATAATGTACATACTTGTTTCTTTTTAGTCATCTCATCTCGAAATGGCTCACACTAACCCCATACAACCTGTAAATACCTCCATTCAATAATTAATGGGTTAAAAGTTTTACTTTCTTAAGCTCTTGAAATGAGTCCCCCATTTTTGATCGGTAAAAACTGCTCTCTTAGAGCAGCTCTGCCACGGGGAATGATTCCTATAGATATAGCAAAAGACACCAACACAAATCATGTTGTGTCTTTGTTTGAAAATGAAATTTGTACCTTGGTTCCGAGATATGATCCATTAAGGGTCACGCCTGAGCCTGGCTTCTCATGGCCCGACAGGTCTTAATAAGTGATTCCCCTTTGCATTGGAGGGCAGAACTAGGTTGCATCAGTAGATATTTAAGACACTGGTGGGCAATGGTCTGAAAGTTTTATAAGTTTAATTATCCCATGATTGGATGCGAAAGCTAAGGAAATAACCTAGGCTCTCTCAATTATGCGTCTGAAAAGATGTGGAGTTGTTGCTTCAGGTTTGGTAGACCTTAGCTTAGCTTGTTTGATTACAATCTGTACTAAAAAAAAATTATTATCATATTGCATGAAAAGTGAGCTAAAGAAGCTTGGGTATGGTTTGAAGTTGCAAGTTCAAAGGAACTTGTTGTTTCATCCTCAAAGGTGACTGATTGAAGACAGATTGGGATACCTAGATCTTGTGATGATACCAAACGAACGAATACTTTTGTTTCTTGAAAAATATATTTATGAAGGAACTTCCTTTCGCAACAAATTATAGCACACCAGATCCCTACTAAAATGGCTTTTTGACATGGTGTATGCTGTGACATATGTCAAATATATTAAAATGTAGGAGTGGTTTGATCCATTTAATATTATTTATTTTTCTCAAAAAAGTTTTTAACAAGCGTTGTCTTTTTTTTTTTTTTTTTGGCTTTATAAAGATCAAATCACAATAAAAAAAAATAAAAATAAAACAACTTGTTAGGTGGTATCCTTGCGATTCTTAAAAGACAAAATTCACTTTCCTTGACAAAATTTATGGTTGTAAAATAAACTTTTCACTTCAAATAACCAAAATAAATAAATAAATAATCCTTAAAAGATTATTTAATGTTTAATAATTTAAGAATTTTAATTAAAAAAAAAGTTAAGCGTAATAGCTTAATAATTTCCGTATATATATTTCTTTTCTTGTAAGAAAATGCCATCGTAAGTAGGATATGGATGACTCATATTTAATCGGACAAAAAAATAAAAATAATGTTTTTTTTAAAAAAAATTAGATAAATTAGCTATGGATGTCCAAATTACTCTCGGAATTTGATTTGAAAGTACAAACCCACAAATTTAATCTTTTAATAATATTTTAATGATCCAAAACAAGTTGTCAGAAATATTAAAATAAACAAAATATTCTGTGAGTATATTAACCAAATCATGTGAACATAATGCAATTCAAATCTTGCCTTTATTCTATCCACATTTAAAAAATGTTAAGCTTTTTTCCTTTTCTATTTTCTTTTTAGTTACTGCTCTTTGTCTACTGGGCTCGGCTCTCATTTGTTTCACTCTTGCCTTGACATAGAACATCTCTTTTGTGTGCTTATTTTCCATTTTTGCACCTTCTTTATGGTCGAGGGTTCATGGATTTCTGCTGCAGCTTTTATGTTTGTGTTCAAGGTCTTATTTGGTTTTCAGAGTACGGACCATGTGGCTTTTTTTTTTTTTTTTTTCATGCCTTGTCTGTCGTGCCATGTCTTTCATTTGAGAGCTTTGGTTCTTCTCCATTTATTTGCTGGTTTTGTAAGCAGTCATTTCTTCCACCTTTCAATACCTGTTTGCTTTGTGAAGTTGATAGACTCAGACAGGTTTGCATTCTGTTTTGTCTTGCCATGGATTCTTCTATTGATTCGTGAGAGCCATTGGTTTAGATCTGTTTTGTCCATGAATTGAAACAGGGCTTTGTGGGGCCCATCTCTTGGTTCTGCTTCAGGCCACCGATTCAGCCGTTCTCTTTTACATTTAATCAAGGTTTTTTGTAGTCATAGTTTTAAATAACAACCGTTACGTTAGATAACGATAATTATATAACTATTTCAGAGCATGTCATTATCGGTATTTTAATATTATAATAAGTCGTGATCCGTGATGACAACTACAACTGTTTTTTTTATAAATTAATCATTCCGGATAAACTTTACATGAACTGTAGTGCGGAAAATGCTTCTGCCAATCAAATACTCTTATCAGATACCTCTGATGTGTGTATCAATGTGAAGTGAATGAACTATAAAAATCATAGCTTTGCTTGGCAAAGCCCCCAGGAGTGAAATCAGAATTTCTTTTTTCTTTCTCCCTCAAGAGAGCGGAACATTTGACAATGCTGATGAGACTGTAGTTTACACCATTCTGTGAGGTTAATTACCTTTATGCCAAGGAAAGATTTTCAAGTTTCTTCGAGAATATGGAAGAAAATCAATCTTCAACGAGCAGAAATGAATAATTAAAGTTCAAATGTTGGAACTTCAGCATCAAAGCCATGAGAGGCCTGGTAAGCTAACCGGGTCAATATATTTCTGTAAGGATCAGTTTCTCTTTTCTCCTTCAGAAAAGCAATGCAGTTCTCCACCTCAGATTTGACTTGTAAGTATAATTCATGAGCTTTCTCCCGATCTCTTAATTCCTGCTTCATCCCTTCAGCACAGAATTGACAATTCAAGTGAGTCTAATGGCATTAAGAATTTATATACAAAAATATTGCAAAATTTCTATTACTGTTACTCAAATGCAGTCACTGATTGAACATTACTGGTTTAAGTCCTTAAAACAGTTTTAACAGCCTTCTTTTGAATTTTAGATCAGAATCTTGAACTTCTTGAGAAGTGCCGACAAGAAGTAGCAACAATAGCTGTGGAAGTTTCAGACATAATCTTGGCAATAGAGTAGTATGTAATTAGCCTAGCTAGAAAAGAAACGACACTGTAGAAATGTCTTAGAGTTAGAATAGTATCTTAGAAGCAGAGATGAGAATAGTTTTAAATCGCGGAGTGTTGAAAAAAGATCACGGATCATGGCTTACTATAATACTAAAATAACTGTAATGAGATATTCCAAAACCGTTATTTAAAACTATGGAGATGACTATACAAGCATATAAGCAGATTTAGAATACAAATTGAGATAAATAGAATAAAATGCATTAGCTTAATTGATTCCACTTCCACCACCAAAGTGACCTCCAAAGTTCAAGGGGTGACCGATTGAGTTTGACCGCCACATTTTAAGGATGTTGAAGATTGATATAATAAACTGGTTCCCAGATCAGTTCCAAGAAATGCCGTATCGTGAAATTCTTGCTTAAAACCTTAGGTGTGTTATGCTGACACATGTTTTTTTCTGCCACATCCATGATGATTATGTCTACGCAGAAACTAAAAGATAATGAGTTGTCCAATGACCATACCTTCTGTTTCAATTGGTTTCCCAAAATAGTAATAGAACCTGCCTGGAAATTTTGGTGCAATTCCTAGACGGTGCGGTTCTTGTTGTCCCACCTCACCTTTCGCTTCAGTCCTACCATCAAAACAATAAGACAAATCTAAATATTGGAGCAAAGAAGATAAACTCAAGGTGGGTGAGATTTAATGGAAGGCAATCAATGAAAAAAACAATTCACATACCTCAAACTCACAGCCTCTTCTGATAATTGTTTTATGTAATCCCTAAGGAAAGGAATCTTCATTTGATCATCATAATCAAAAACCACCTGAAACACCACGAACACATGCAATAAATTATTATGAGACTAATCCTGCTTCATTTTAAATGTCGCGGAACGCAAGACTTAGTGTTAACATAGATGCGCTATAGAAGAGATTCCCAGAAAAATTCCGTGCATAGAATTTTTGCAAGCACACACAAACTGGTCTTGAGACCACTAGAATTTTAAACTGATCTTGATAACTACTTCTTTCTTCTTAATGCCTCCTTTGGTTTTTCCAAATCATGAGAATTCAAACATGCTCTGCTGACAAATGCACACGCAAATAAGTTTTGTATTTATTGCAGGTTTTGATGTTTGAAGTGCTTCTATATGAAGAAAAAAAAAGGATGTAAATCAATCAGACAGAAATGAAGTCCTTCAGACTTACTTCCCCAAAATCATCCTCTCCAACGGCACCAAACGGCACAATTTTGGCTCCAAACCTAGCTGCCATTCTGACGAACTCTGACTGTTCTGGCCAGAATAACTTGTATTGTTCACCCTGAATAACATGGAGTGTCAACAATTTGCAGAGCTACTTCAATTTGTGTATATATGTAAAGTGCGTTTTCTCTTAATGACCAAATGGACCATTGCCACTTCATTACCTTCCATATTCTTTGAAAGAAATTAGTTCTTTTTTACATTTATTCTAGAAGGCAAGTAGAAAAGTAGAAGTATGCTGTTATATTCTGGTATAGTCTTGCAATTGTTAGAGACAAGATTCAAATTTAGAAGAACAAGAAGATTAAAGTTCTTTCGAAAAGTAAAACTGCCTATCTCGATAAAATATATCCATTAGAAGCATTACCTTTCGATGACAGGCCTCCCGCATGCCTCCAGGGTATAATAACGCATGAGCCTTTGAAGACATAAGTTTGAAAAAATTGCTTCCTGAAACAGGAACTGCTCCCATAGATCTGATTGCATCAAACTGTGACAATGGAGGCAACAATCCTTCTTTCTTCAATTTCACAAACATCATTGGATGTGCTATCCCTCTTATAAGAATATTTCTTTCCAACAAAAAGTTGGATATCAATGGGGCCACTTCAGTTCCCATTAGCATGTGATAACCAACAAACAATACCGGTCCTTCTGAAGGAACTCCAGCAAGGCCCCTCATAATCTTCCCATCTTCAAAAGATGAGAGCATCACAGGGCTTGTGGCAAGCATAAACAATCTAAAACATAGTAATAATTATGAGAAGTATTAGTCAAAGTAAACCTGATTTCAGGACTCAATTAATAATCAATACTTCTACAATGACGAGGGCTAAAGAAAACTTCTGATTGGCTATAACCATCGTCTGTTAAACATATACAAACCAACCAAAAAGTGCAGCGCAAAGTAAAGCTTGCAGAGAAGTTGAATGTTATGCTGAAAATAGACTGAAAAAGTTAAAAAGAAATTACTTTCTTGTGCTATTGATAGAAAATATAGTTTTATATGTAAGACAGTAAAGTAAGGCTACCTGTATGATTCATATAATTTTTTGAATTCAGGAGGGGTTGGTGGTATGTAATCTGATATGTAGTCAAGGTATTTTCCACGACGATAGAAACTAGCTCCCTTGATGACATTTACCAAATCAACATCATGTTCCTGCATGCCCCAAATGGTTGTAACTATTAAACGTGTAATTAGAAGCAAACTTGAACGATGACATATTGAAACACAAACTCTTTTGTGTATGCGCACAAGGAGAGATTATCCTACCAAGAAGAGGAAATGGCCACTGTCGTTAAACTTGCGATTCTCACATTTTGGCAGCGTAAGATAAAGCCTGTGACCTTCTTCTTCACTTGGAAGCAACTGATCCTTTCCACTGAGAAAAGGCAAATAGCAAATCAGACTCTAAGCAGCAAATAGGTGCTACTGTGCAGGAAACATAACGAAAATAAACTTATGGAAATTAGAACTTCAATTTCTAGAATCAATTAACAAATTTGGAATTTCCATCAGTTCAAATGTTTCTAATGATACGAAAATGGCAATGCCTAGATACTGTTTATATTGTCATAGTTTATGGCATAGACTTCACAAAGAAGAATTTCTATTAGTCCAACCAAAAACTTTATTATTTGTGGATGAGCTAAATAAATATATATTCAGTGGATTTAAATCTGGTTTTTTTTTTTTTTTACTTGAAAAGAAAAAAACATTAATTCTCGTTCTTTAAACAAGTTCGAAAAACATGATACGTTTCTACAGGTGACATTTGATAAACTATGTCTAAGAGACAAACCTAGAAAGTACGAGCGTTTGACATTTTACAGCATGGAGGCGTGAGTTGGTATATGCTGAAGCTGTTTTAAGCATCTGTAGCTTCCAAAGAAGTGTTTCTCTAGGCAAGATATTAGCCAGAGCCTGCAACCAAAACCATCAATTTCTTTTCCCACGACTAACCCCACATGACTTGGGGTAAGCACCAACAGAAGAAAAGTGAAGATTCGAGATGACAATATCATCTGACATGAACTTTAACATCTAGATGTCAGCTAGGCTATGTATTTTAATTCATTTTTCTTTATGATTAATTAGGAACATGACATGTCAATACCATGTTCATGAACATTATAGGAGATCGACACTTAGAGTTAACCAGATGTTGAGTAAATCAGGTTAACATGTTCTAAAGTGAAATCTTACATTGAGGTAAGATGACATTGCAACCAAATCTTGTGATAATCCTCCAATTGTTTGTTCTAGAGCAAATCCCTTCACTGCATTGTCCATTGCCATCCTCAGAGAATCACCTAAACGGATGCAACATAATTGCTGGTGTAAGTAGGATCAATATTCAGATAACAACAAGCGAACTGGAAAAACAGAGCAAAAATAAGGTTATCATCCACCAAAAAATGCAAAACAAGACTGTAAATCAAATTTGAGCTTGTTAATCTAGAAGTTTGGTACTGTATCTTTTTGAAACTCTCCAAGTACACCCCAAGCCCCAGTTCAGCTCACTTCTAGTTAACGAACTTTAATTTATGGATTTACATAAACTGAGCACCTACTCTCAACTCTCAATCAATAGAGGACCGTGTAATTGTTTCTCAAAAAAATAAAAATAAATAATAAATGTAATTGTTTCTCAATTTTCATCATCAAATTAGAAGAGGATAATCCAAGAAAACCAGAGCTGACTATTGGTGACTGCAAGGTTTTCTTAACTTGAAAGACTCCTCTATAAATCAAAAGATTGAGCAGATAAAATCTTATAGAACCAATAAAATATTTACCTTGCAACCATCACCAAACATCAGTTTGTATGCAAATCAAAATATGGCTCATAATGTTTTCTTTTTGGCATGCAGATCAAAATATAGCTCGAAATATTTTCTTCACAAATATTTTGGTATGGTGTCAATATTACCTCGTTTTCTAAAGGTAAACAGGTGGCTTTACCTCTTAGAAAATATCTATTTAAAGCAACACAAAATATCAGAAAATATAAATATAGTGTACAAGGTGAACCTGTCATTAAGCTCAATATGTAAGGAACGGTAAGCTGGTGTTGGAACGGTAAGACTTCCAATAAAGGTATGAGAGGCTGCAGCCGTGACTTCTCAAACGATGTTGCTGCAATGAAACATCAAACAAAATTATATGACCTGAGCAAGATGAACGACATCTTCTGAAAGCACATGTTATTGTTGAACCAAATCTAAGCTTCGCTCTCTCTCTTTTTTTTTTTTTAAGAGATAGCTCTGCTTTACATTCATAATCCCAAGTTAAAAATCCATTAATGTTATTCATCACCACAAGAAAGAAAAAACATCTATTTATGTTGTCACATAGGTCCTTGCTTATGTTGATTTTATATCACGTATTAAATAATGGCCATTATGTAATGGTTTCAAAGCATCTCATATTGTTATTTTAGTATTATAGTAAGCCGCAATCCATGATGATGATCATGATTGTTTTTCAACCGTCCGCTATTTAAAACTATCACCTAACTCCCACATATATGAGGAAAATACTGAGTGCCTCAAACTTCGTTCAATGATATAGATAAGGGAATCAATTTTCACCTGGATTGGCCAAAACGAGTACAAGATCAACATCAGGGTTACGAGCTGCAACAGCAAGGGCAAGACATGCTCCAAGAGATTCTCCAACAAGATATATCGGTCGATTAGGAAACTGGTAACTCTCCGATCGTACAGTCCTTTCAGTAAGCTTCACCAGGCCTGAATTATACGAATCCTTTTAAACAAAAAAATGCTTATACAAATACAAGAGCACATTTCTATTATAAATATCATATCAAGCAGGTTACAGGGTAAAAGAAATTACCTAGAAAGGATGTTCTGTCCTTAACTGGAATATGCAAGCACCATATGTCGAAAATCCTAGTTTCAAGAAGTGAAATAAAATTAAAAAAAAAAAAAAAAATCAGGTTGGTTTTGGATGATCCACAAAAAATTGATAAAAAAATCTCATGTAATAGTATCAAGGCATCTAAGGGAATACTTACTTTCCCAGAGAATTGTGCTGCGTGCTGAGTCCTAGTCCGGTACCATCAATCCCTGCAAAATTCAAAAATCAGTTATTTAACCGTCAAAGTTTGAGTTGAATGATTTGAGTGGGAAATGAAAAACTCATATAAACAGGCTGAAATAAATGAATACTTGAAAATGGAAGTGCCATCAACATTGCATAAATTTGGTACTTCAAATTTAAACAATTTTAAATTTAGGTATAAAAAGTGATATTTTAAAAATTGATAAAAGATTATACAATTCAAGAGATAGCACAAAATAGGGAAAATAAAAAATATAAAAACGATTGTATATTTTAGTTTAAGGATAAATTTCAATTTTTTTTTTCTTTTAAGGCTTACATGGTCTCTCAATTTCATTTAAAACCTTTAATTTGTTTTAATTAGACCTCATATCTTTCATTTTTGTTCTTCTTTGTGTAAATTTTAATTTCATCTCTAAAGTTTATGCAATATCCTAATATAATCCAAAAGATAAGAAGGAACAAACTCAAATTGACAAAAAAAAAAATCATCAAAGAAGGACAGTTTTTCGATAAAACAAATATAATAATTTTTATTTTTTCAACACTATTTAGCAGTTCTTTGATACTAAAAAAATAAGATTAAGTTGGAAAAAATAAGGATAAAAAGATATTTTGAATAAAAAGTATCAACCATTCATGCACTCTCACTAGCATTTCATATCCATACTTTTTATCTAATTTTTCATTAAAATCTTAAAGAAGAATTCTAAATAATAATAATAAAAAAATAATAATAATAAAATCTCATATAAAAGAAACAATAACTTGAGTATAGGACAATTTTAACGGTACCTAGAGCATGATTATTTATACACATAAAAATTCCTATTTGACAAAAAACATTAAAGAAATAGAAGGGACATGATACTTTAGAGGAATTAAAATGGTATAAATTTTGAAAATAATAATAATAAAAGTGAGAATTATAAAAAAAACAAATGATGTCATCCATCGCTTTTTTTATATATATAATTAAAAGTATCAAATTAATTTGCACATTGATCAACACTAAATTCTTTCTTAAGATAATTAACCAAAAAAGGACTGACCCGGCAAAAATAGAAGAAGAGGAGAATTATCCGAGCGGGACCCACACTCCAGCGGAGAGAACCACCGAGGCGGACCACCATCACCGCCGTCTGATTTAGTAATCAAATTCTTCAACTCTTCAAAATAATCCTCTAAGTTCTGTCTACTACTTCTCAACTCCAATTCAGTTTTCTCTAGCTCCAATGCATACGGATTCTTTTGCTTCTCTTTCATCCTCTCTTCTTCTTCTTCCATCTCCTTCTTCAATCTTCCATTCCCTACATAATTCCTCACCGTCGTTTCATTTCTCTCCGTTGTCGTTTCAGTTGATATCGCTTGCTCTGTAGAAACAGCAAAACGACGAGATGTATTTGATACAGAATTCAGTTTCAATTTTCCGTTTGGCGAAGACGACGGGGTCGGCGGTGCACAACAACGGACAGCCGAGAAAAAACGACCTCCTATGGTGACTGTTGACATGGTATACTATCTTCACTTTTTCTTTGTTTCTCTTCTTTAAAAGGAATTTACTACGTTAGAAATTAAAATCATCATCACTATAAAACTTCCGTTTCCAAAGTCACTTGACAATGATTCCAATTGTATTTTACGGCGAAATCAAGCACTCACGGATCTTGCTTGTTATTTTAATGATTAAAAAAAACGGAATGTTATATTAATCACTTACCTGCCATTTTTCTAACTGAACAAGCTTGCAAAGTACAAAAGGAGAGGACACAAAATCCCATTTTTATGCTACAGACAAACATATAAATTTATCCACCTTTTTATTTTTTTTAAAAAAAAACATCACTGTATGAAAAGGATATGAAAATAAAATAATCACTTTATATATGAACAGCGTAAAATATATATATATATATATCTTTTTGTAATCAGGTTTTAGATAAATTTTTAGACAAATGATATTTTGAAAAATCACTTTTTCTTTTTTTAAAAAGTTTTGAAAATACATTTTTTAAAAAAGCAAAAATCTTTGATATTTTGAAAACCAATATAAAATGATATCCAGGCCTATTTATCCATGCATCCAAATACCTGTCATAATTTTTTTTTCCACACATATATTAAATAGAAAATGACGAGTTAATTAATTGATCACTATTAGGAGATTTTATATCATTTGTATTTTCAGGTTTTTGTTTAATTAGTAGAAAAAGAAAAATTAAGAAAAAGAGATTCCAAATCCAACAAAAGCTAATGCCAAGTAAATTATAACCTCGGCTTTCCAATTTAACAAAATTAATTAATTAATCCTTATAGTTTTATAAATTATGTATTTAATCCCTTTATGTTTGAATATGTTTGTAGTTTAATCCTTTGGTCAATTCAATTTATTTTTTTCTTTTTTGAAAAAAAAAAAGAATTAGGCAAGTTGGAGATATTTGATTTGGAAAATAAGATATTTTTGGAACAAAAGCCTACTAAATTGACGATGATTGACCTCAATTAAGGACTAGTTAACTATTTTTATACTACAAGGATTTATTAATTAGTTTTGATAAATTACACACACTAAATTATAATTTACTCACTAGCTAATGAACCCTAAGAAAATGAAATCCACGATCTAGAAATCAACAAACACATCATAAAGTTTTTATATATACAAGCTGCATGATTGATGCATTAATTCATCAATAATAATAATAATAATAATAAAATGGAGTTACAAAATTCTGAGCATTTCTCAAATGCCTCTGGAAACTTAGAACTTATTTCTTTCTCCATGGGAGAAGGGAATTACGTTGCCTTCACCAAGCCTATAATTTAGACCAAAAATCTTCTTGTGTTGATGCCCATGAAAGTTCTTTGATCTCCTTTATGATAAATAAACTTTGTTTGATCAGAACAATCAAATTTCGAATGTTGGAACTTCAGAAGTAAAACCGTTCATGGCTTGGTAAGCCAAACGAGCAACTATGTTTCTGTAAGGATCACTCTCTCTTTTTTCCTTCAAAAATGCAAGGTATTTCTCCACCTCATGTTTGATTTCTAAGTACAATTCTTGGGCTTTGTCCTTGTCCCTTAGTTCCAGCTTCCTGCCTTCAAAACATAATCAATTATTCAAGTCAATCTACTTGCATTAATTTTAACAAGTTGAAACATGTTCGCTATGCCTACGTCCACAATTGTCTCTTCTATTCAAAGATAATGTTTTTTTTTTTTTTTTTTTTTTTTTTTTGGGTGTCAATGACCATATATACCTTCTGTTTCAATCGGTTTCCCAAAGTAGTAATAGAACCTGCCTGGAAATTTTGGTAGCACCCATGGATAGTGCATATCTTCGTCTCCCACCGCATCATTTTTTTGAGCCCTGAAGTTATACGAAAAGGGAAAAAACATCAACATCTAAAACCATCTAAGAACATAAAGAAAAAAAAAAAAACAAATTCAGTACCTCACTTTGATACCCTCTTCTTCTGTAAACCTTCTGATGTCTTCTCTTAGCCAAGGAATCTTCATTTGATCGTCATAATCAAAAACCACCTGAGACGATGAATATGCAGTCAATTCTTCATTGAAAGGTAGAAATAAAGTAATGGAAATGAATGGGATTAAGATTGATATTTAGCTCCCAGCAGGACTTACTTCACCAAAATCATCTTCTCCAACAACTCCAAATGGCACAATTTTGGCTCCAAATCTAGCTGCTGTCCTCACAAACTCAGACTGTTCTGGCCAGAATAACTTATACTGTTCACCCTGAAAAGTACGAAACATTTGAAGAAATTATTTCGAATTGTAGGAATGTTTATCGAAATGAAACCTTGAAAGCTACGCTACCTTCCGATGAGCAGCCTCACGTGCGCCTCCAGGGTACAGTAGCACATGAGCCTTTGAAGATAGAAGTTTGAACAAATTGGTTCCTGAAACTGGAACTGCACCCATTACCCTCATGGACTCAAAATCTGATAATGGAGGCATACTCCCTTCTTTCTTCTTCCTCATGAAAAGAAGTGGATGCGCTAGCCCTCTCAGAAGAATATTTCTTTCCAACAACATATGGGATACCATAGGGACCAGTTCATGTCCCATTAACATGTGATAGCCAACGTACAGGACTGGTCCATCTGAAGGAATTCCTGCAAGGCCTTTCACAATATTCCCATCTTCCAGAGTTGAAAGCATGACAGCACTTGCAGCTAGCAGAGACAACCTAAAAACACAATAATTGTTAGAAAACATTATTTGTCATGAACATGATTCTGCTGCAATTTCTATGACCATAACTCGTATAATTTTTTAGGACTATTGGCAGGCTGGGGTAAATTTTGTCTACCATAACACATACAAATCAAGGTAGCAAAGTACATAGGACAAAGACGTCCATCAAATCAATATGGTTCTTGAGAGAAAGTTGAAATAATTAAGTATACTACATTTCCCTCTAAGATATATTATGCCATTGGTGGACTAGCTAAGTGATCAGAAGTTTTTTCATGACCTGATCATAATAGAAAATGATCACTTGTTATTGCAAGAGAATAAGATAATCAACCTGCTTAATTCGTATAACTTCTTCACTTCCGAAGGGGTCGGCGGTATATAATCTGAAACATAGTCATGGCATATTCCACGGCGATAGAAAGCAGCAGAACCTTTGATGATTGTTGCCAAATCATTGCCATCTTCCTGCCACAAATATAAATAGCCACTAAATCAAACATAATATATTTTAGATGCAACAAGCACAAGCACAAACTGAGAGAGATCATGTTACCAGAAGAAGGAAATGTCCACTGTCATTAAATCTACGATTTTCACATTTTGGAATTGCACGAAAAAGCCTCTGACCTTCCTCTTCACTTGGTAGCAACTGATCCTTTCCACTTAAAAAGACAAGCAACGAGGCAATCATTTTGAAAGGAATTAGACTTGTTGCAGCAAACCTCACCATAATCATGCAGGAAATAATACAGTGTTGACACTAAACATATTGCAGAAGTTAAGACAATAATTCTTAATGCATGAATTGATAATTCCCTATAGTTATTTCAAATTCAAGTGCAACGCGAATGGCGAGGCAAAATTGCAGCATTTGTCGTCACATTATATGCTTTAGCTTGGTAAAGGGAATTATCTATTGTGGGTTTTTGTTGCTCTTAAGCAAACTAAGAAAAGTCCCAACTATTTGGATAAGACTATATTTCCAAGTATTACCACCATGCAATGGACTCCGAAAGAGACAGACCTGGAAAGTACAAGCGTTTGAGCTTTTACAGCATGGAGTCGTGAGTTGACAAATTCTGAAGCTGGTTTGAGCATTTGTAGCTTCCAGAGAAGTGTTTCTCTAGGTAAGAGGGCAGCTAAATCCTGTGACATAAACCGTCAATTTTCATTAACAAGACTCACTCACACATATCATATACTAATAATAAAAGACATAAAGAACCAATTGGACCTCCAAAAATAAAATTTTGGTGATCTTAATTCATTAAATAATTATAATTTTGACGTCAATTAGGAAAAGTATTGTAAATATTTTTTTAGTATTCAATATTCATTACTAAAGAGCACATTATATATATTATTTTAGACTATAATTAGTAATATGCTTTATTAACATATAACATTATTAAATTATTAAGTGCAATTTATTTTTCTCAAAATTAAAGTAGATATCTAAAAACATTTTAAAGCATCATTCTATTGTGTTGGAACAAGCCAAGGCATACACCATTCAGTAGAATCTTCAATAATATAAAAATATCTAAAATTATATATAGAGATCACAAATACAATATTGGTTGAGGAAAAAAAAGAATAATATAGTTAAAATTAGATTGAAAAAATAGCATAACTAAATATAGCGTGGTAAAAGTAAATTAATTAGATATTAACTTTTTTATTGATAATTACGATGTTATCTATGTTGAAAGTTGATTTAATCGTGTACCAAAGCGAATGAGAATTTGATTGTATTTTAGCATTTGTATTATTATTATTATTATTATTTTACAGCGAGGTTGTATAGTTGACAAAACTAGAAGAATCTATAACCAAGAAAATAACTATGAAAAGAACCAAAAAAACATTCTCTTTGGGGTTGTCAATGGCTACAAGAAGGGGGAAAATAAAACACGAACATTGATTCACAATGTTGAAAGTTTTCTCTTTAACTAATTTTGGGTGCTAACCATCAAATAATTGGCTCATTTTCTCGTATGAAAATTTACAATATGAGATAGTTAAATACATAAAAGCTTGCAAATTAAAGAAACCAGTAAAAAAAAATAAAGCTAAATTGCTTTAGAACAATATTAACAAATTAACAATGATATAATTTTCAGTTAAGTTAAATTTTTTTCCTTAGATATAGTTATTTTTGTTACTTAATTTATTTTTCATTGATATTAATTATTTTAGAAAATAAAATTAACGATTAGACAAGAATGTAAGAGGGTGGAAAAACTAGTGCTACAAAAATCCCTAAGAAGAAGTATATATATCTGGATAGAAATTTTAAAAAATAGATATTATTAATGATTATGATTATTTTTTAATTTACCATAAAATCTATGGATTGTAATTTTAAAGTTTTTATTAAATTATTGACTAGATTTATTTTTTAAAAAAAACCATTAATCACATTGAAGAAAATTTAATTGAAAACCTTTTATTAAATCAAAATTTTGAACCATATAATTTCAAATTATCAAATTAGACTATATATTTTTGTAGGTTTAATGGTATTTTTTGCTCTAAACTACTAGGGTTGTGGCACATTGAGGCTTTACTATCAATTAGATCAATTTTTCCCTTGATCTATTATGTTTTGGGCATTATTTTCTATTTTCCATAATTTACTGAATTTTGTTGTTCAATAAAAAAAAATTATTTTCTGACTTCAAAAAACTTTTAAAAATTATTTGTAAAACTGGAATGAATTTTTATTAGTATCAATGAAAAATTTCCATTGAAAGTGCCAAAATATAATTTTTTTAAAAATAATTCTTGATTAATATTAACGGTCAAATCAAATAGAGGGACAATATTTGCTTAAAATATGATAATTCAAAAAGAAAATTGACCAAATTGATAGTACATGCCTCAATTTTCCACAATCCTAATAGTTCAAGGGCAAAAAAAAAAAAATCAATAAACTGATTTTTGATAGATATTGAGGTCTAATATAAATGGGATTTTTTTAAATATCCGATAAATAGATGTTGATTTAAATTTAGAAGTTATTGATAAGAATAATAAAAATAATTTTAGTGCAGTTTTAGATATATTGTTCCTTCAGAGCTTTAGTACTAACGAAACTATAAGAATTGCAAATAATGCTTGTAAGCAATAATGTTTATTATGGTGAAAGTTAAGATTATTTCCTAAAAAAGAATTAACATTAAAGAGATTAATTTCATTATTTTATGCGTTTTTATGGAAACAGAAAAACATATATTGTGTACCTAGCTCGATGCTTCGTATATAATATAGTGATAACGAGATTGTAAAACTTTTATTCAATAATTTTTTGAAATATTTTAGACAAATTGTTGAGAAAATAAGAAAAAACTAAAATATTAAAAATAAGAATTGATTGATTGAAGAAGAAATTAAAGAGAATGAAAAATAAATGATAGAGAAATCAATGATATTTAATAGCATTGCAATATATTATTGCCTAAATGACTATTGCTTTAAAACTTTAAAAATGGTTTATTCATACTTAATATTGTTAAATAATGTGTTAGAGCATCTCTAATGCTCTCTTTATATTAAGATTTTTCTTTATAATAAAGAGGTTTGGTCTAAATTTTATCTCCAATACTCTTTTTATCACAATCTTTATTTTTAAAAGTGAGATACAGAGTATCTTTAGCTCTCTAATACTAAAGAATCCAAATGACTCTTTATTTTATATTTCATTAATGAAAATTATTATTTTTTATGTCACTCAGCCTCTTCACCAATTGGATGGAGGGAAATTAATAGAAAAAAAAGAGAAAAAATTTCAAGATTAAATATTTTATGAATTTTATCAAAATAAAGAGTTAAAGTAGAGAATAGCATTGGAAATGACATTAATCTTCAATCTATATAATTAATAATGCTCTCTATTTATATTAAAAATATTAACTAAAAGTAAAGAGAATCATTGAAAATGCTCTTATACATTGCTATTTTGCTTATTTGAATAAAAAAAACAACGCTAATCACGTGCTGAACACGTGACATAACTATTAGTCTCTAATAAACTAATAAAAAGAATCAACTAAACATAATAGTATATCATCATCATTCATCGTATGAACACCAAATGACATCTAGCACTGGTTATTTTTTTCCTTTTCCTTTAGGAGTTATGAGCATAATTCATGCACGTTACCGTAGGTAAATCTATATAATTAATTTAATATCTTAAATAATTTTAAAAAATCTAAATGTAAAATTAAAATTAATTAAAAGTAATTGTGAGAAATTTGTTTAATTTAATATGTGCTATTGAATATTTAATAAAATTTATATTTCATAATTGAGTTTAAATATAACCTATGAATATTTTTTATTTTGATCAATAAAAAATATGTAATTAATTATTTATTTATTTAAAAAATAAAATTAGAACAGAATGTTAAATCAATTCATATTAGAAGAGTATTTAAATTTAGTTAATGAGTCTATATAAAAAAATAATAATAATAACCATTAACTATTGAAAAAAAAAAAAGGCACCAGCTGGCCATAAAAAAAATATAGGAATTTTATTGCAACAAAAATTAAGTTTAGGAACCGTTTTGCACAAAATTAAAATAAAAGCATAAGTAAAGGGGAAAAAAACAAGGTCCTTTTGGATGGCCTAAGACAACCGGGCCAACGATTAAAAAAAAAAAAAAGAAAAAGAAAGAAGAAGAAGAAGAAGAAGAAGAAGGAAGAAAGAGACCTTGTTGCAATACAAATTAAGATTGGAGATCATTTTCTACAAAAGTAGAACACAAATTGATATAAAATCAATTTATTTTCGGCATTATATGCATAGCTAGTTATTTCATCCTAATTAGACAAAATGTACAATTTTTATTTTTATTTTTTTTATAACACTACCTGGTTTCACCTCGAAATAACATAAAACGATGTTGTTTTGTCTACTACAGTAGAAGCTTAGTTATAATAAATTTGTGTTCTTTTTTAATACATGTATAATATAATAAACATTTTAATGCCTGCCAACAATATAGATGGTTAAGAGAGTTCTTAACTTGCAGCATAAAAGTTTTTTGCTTATCTTACATTGAGGTGAGATGACATAGCAATAACATCTTTCGCTAATCCTCCAATTATTTGTTGCAGAGGAATTCCCTTTACTGCATTGTCCATTATCGTTCTCAAAGAATCACCTAAATGTATGCAAAACGCAGTGACTGGTGTCAATTGGGAAAAGTATTGCATAGGTTCTTAATGTGATAAGTTTTATTTGTGCTCACAATCTCCATTGATCAAGGCAGTTAAGAAGCAAATTGAGAAAAACTAGAGCAAAAAAACGATAGAAGTTTAATTAACAAGCATTTATCCTATTTTTCTAAAAGCTACGTAAATGTGATCAGCTATTAGCAAAACAAATAGGTATCTCCGCTACCAGCAAATGAAAGCAGAATGATGAAAGAATAGGCAATAATGAAAGGAATGAAGGAGAACCTGTCATTAATCTTCCACTCGTTTCACCTGGATTTTTTTTCTTTCCAAATATATTTTTGTTTCATATATGTCAGTATTATCCTATTTTCTAAAAGCTACGTAAATGTGATCAGCTATTAGCAAAATCAAACAGGTATCTCCGCAACTAGCAAATGAAAGCAGAATATGCAATAATGAAAGGAATTAAGGTGAACCTGTCATCAAGCGCAGCATATAAGAAAGGCTAAGCTGGTTTTCGATGGGCATGATTTCCAAGAAAGAGATAAGAGGCTGCAGTGGTGACTTCTCGAAAGATGTTGCTGTGGTAAAAAAACCATCAAATTAATTAACAAGCATCATTTTGAATCATAAGCTGTTTAGTAATAAACCGCCGGTGCAATTTTTCACCTGGATTAGACAAAACGAGTGAAAGATTAACGTCAGGGTTACGAGCCGCAACAGCAAGTGCAAGGCATGCTCCAAGAGATTCTCCAAGAAGATATATAGGTCTGTTCGGTGAATGGCAATTTTCTGATCTTACTGTTCGCTCAACCAGCTTCACAAGCCCTGGACAATGAATTTTCTTTCAATGCATGCACGGAAACAGCTGTTAAAAAAGACCATCTTACTCAAAAGCTTAAGCTGTTAAGTGAGGTCTTAAGATATAAATTATATTATTCTTTAACACATCCCCTCAAGTAAAAACTCTTTGAGCTTGAAACTTGCACAGATTAAAGACAATCTCACTCAAACGTTTAAGTTATTAAGTGAAGCTCCAAGATATCATTTATATTATTCTCTAACAACAACTTTCATAATTAATTACGTCCTGCAGTATAGAACAAGTGACAGGGGAAATATAGAAGAGAACCTAAAAAGGGTGTTCTGTCCTTAACTGGAATATGCAAGCACCATATGTCGAAAATCCTAGAGTTTCAAAAGAGGAAAAACCCATTTATTAGGCAGGAAGACAACCATTAGCATCAAACAAAGTATTCCATAATCCACCAAAATCTAATCATTTCGTTACTGATCAAGCATTTTAAAAGAAACAAAGATGCTTACTTTCCAAGAGCGTGATGATGCTTGCAGAGTCCTAGCCCCACACCATCAATCCCTGCATAATTCATTGTATTTCCATGAATATTCATGTTTAAAAGAAACCAAAAGGCCCCAATGAACCGTCACTCAAGTGGCATTAATGTCTCCCGTTCTGTCAAAAGATATCTGGTCGATTATAGCAAATTAAACAAGTTTAACAGGTTTGTGAAATTAATGTAGAGAGGGGGATTGGCTTAGCCCATGAATTAGTAGAGACTGACCGGGCAAAAAGAGAAATAGAGGGGAGTTTTCCAAGCGAGAACCACACTCCAAGGGAGAAAACCACCGTGGCGGACCGCTGTCAGATTTGATAAAACTCTTGCAATCCTCTAAGTAATCGATCAAGCTCTTTCTACTACTTGTAAACTCCATTTCTTTTTTCTCTAACTCTAATGCGTATGGATTTCTTGACTCCACCTTTTCTTCTTCCCGCTTCTTTTTAAACCTTCCATTCTCAGCAAAATTGGTAGTCGTCGTTTCAGTCGTTACATGTTGTTGACCAGTATAAACGGCAAAACGACGAGTCGCTCTTGGTACTGGATTCAGTTTCAGTTTACTGTTTGATGATGATGAGGGGATTACACAACGAAGTACCGCCGTGAAAAAGCAACCTCCGGTGACCGCCGTCATACTATTCTCTTCCTCCGTTTGCGTCTGTTGGCGGTCTTCGTAAATTTAAAGGAGGTTTAGTCGAGGTAGATCACAGATTATTAAGAAATATATCAGTGACAATAACGAGGGGTGCAGTGAGCCAGAAATTTTATAATACGCGTGTAACTAGTGTGCATACGCATTAATTACTTTATCAATTCACTTTTCAAAAGAGATAAATATATTAAAACAAATTATATTTAAAATTTCGGACCTATCAAAAGTGATAAAAAGATTTTCACATTTATTCAATATTTTTTTAATTTTTTCTCTCTTGTTTCTATCTCCTTTTTTTTATATATCTCTCTTCTTAAAGTATATTAATGAAGTAACTATTATACATGCTGTATTATAAAATTTCTTTTAAAAACAATTAAAAAATTTCTACGTTGACTCAAATATTTTTTTTCTATCTTTTATTTCTCTCTCATGTTTGTATCTAGCTGTTTCTGTAAATTAACATACACTAATTATTCAAGTCCCTGAATATTATATAATTTCTCGCAATAAATTGTTAAGTGAAGATTTTGAAAGAACACGTGGTTATGGTAAGAAAAGAAAATTATGTGAAAACACATATTCAGTTTAAAACTCAGATTAAAGAGAAATTTTCAATTTAAAAGAAGAAAATTGATAAGAAAATATATTAAGTAATTGAAAGAAGGAGAAAATGGTAATACAAATTTCCGTTTTTTTCCTTTCTGGAAATACTATTGAACTATTATTAATATGAAATGTTAAAGACGTGACAAAAGGTATTTTTCATTTTGATTCGATTTGGTAAGAAAGCAAACAGTTGTGTTTGTCTGATTTTATTGTAGCCGTATGAGTCTTGAATCTTTGGATAGATCGTCTTCTATTTGTGTCCCTTTGGAAGCTTATTGATGTAAGCAGGCTGATCCTTCCTCTATTCTGTCTTTTAGAATTTTCCAATTGGAAAGTAGTGATACTGATAGATTAAAACCTTGTCTAGTTGCTAGATCCATGACTAGTGCTTGATTTTAGTAGTTTCCTTGTTTAGTATTCCATCACTAATTATTTCAGAATAAATATCAGTCTAGTTTCTCCTGAATTAAATGCTTGCTATGATTAATTTTTTTCTTTCATACCTTAATTTACCATGTACGTAAAATAATTTATTATTATTATTATTTCATATGGAGGTTTTAGAGTTTTAGACTACTTTTTTACTGTATAATAATTAAATAAACGAAGTACTTGTTTGGTAATCAAAAATAGAGTGATGGGAATGAGAATGCAGAAATCGAATGAAAATGAAGGAATCGGAATGTAATTTAAATTTTTTAATATCTGATTTTTTATACAAATAAAAATAATGATTAAAAAAATAATTTTATCAAACTACAATAGTTGTAAAAATAATAAAAATGATGATGGTGGTTACGATAATTGTGATTCTAGTTGTGTTGGTAGTGATGAGAGGTAGTTGTAGTGATGGTGGTAGTGATAAATGGTGATGATGGTGGTGGTGGTAATAAAACTAGTTAATAGACAATAAATAAATAAAATATATTATTATTTAAAAAAAAAATTCATTCTCATTCTTTATTTTTATTCCTACATCTTATGTGGAAATGAAATTGTGTTTAAATTTTCATTCTCATTCCTCCTCTTGGTTATTATTCTCATTTCATTCTTTTTAACCAAACAATTACTAATGTGAGAATAAAACTTTCATTCTCATTCCCAACACTCTATTAATGATTACCGGACAACATCTAGAGTTATTAAGACTCAAATCTATTTTACTGAAAAAAAGTTATTTCATACATAACTATTAAATTATACCTTAAAAAAAATATTCTTGATTGATGAAGTACCAATTCTATCAAAGTAGAGTTAAAGACTAGTTTAAATTGACAATTCCTGATGGAAATGGCGCTGTGTAATTGTGAGTTACATGGAGGCTGTTTTCCGTTCTGCATTTTCGTAGATGCTAACGTAGGCCAATACATTAAGTTTCTCGAACAACCTTTTAATCTCAATAAGAAATGAACCAAAAATTATAAAAAACATCCTAATACGTATCCAGGGTTTGAATAGGTAATCAAATACATCAAAATTCAAGATACAACCCACAAATTCATAAAATGTTCATGCTGCGGAATCTATGAATAATGAATTATTGTAGAAACAAACTTCAATGTGAATAATACAGAGAAACCTGAGTATTCCTGATCACGGTCTCTTGTTAAATGACCGATGAGGAGTATGCGAAGTGCATGAAAGTCTAAGATTGCTAACTTGCTGACCAGATGCTCCAATCATGTAATCTACCATGTATTCGAAACCGAAATTTGTCTTTTTCCTGTAACTTACACCATTCAAGTTAACTTTATGCCAGAGTTTTTTGAGCTTCTTCAAGATTTAGTATAGATGAAAGTCAACTTTCATTGAGCAGAAGAATCAAATTTCAAAGGTTGGAACTTCAGAAGTAAAGCCATGTGTGGCCTGGTAAGATAGTCGGGTCACTATGTTCCTATAAGGATCACTCTCTCTCTTCTCCTTCAAAAACTCAAGGCATTTCTCCACCTCGGATTTGATTTGCAAGTATAATTCATGAGCTTTCTCCCTGTCTCTTAATTCCTGCTTCCTCCCTTCAGAACATATACGATCAATTATTCAATAAAACCGACTTGCATCAACCAATTTTACGCAAAACTAACAAACTTTCAATGATACTTACCTTAGTTAATGACATTCTATACATAAGATAATAGTGACAGGCATGCATGATATATCAATGCTAGTTTGGTTGCTTCAAATTCGTCACATTGATAGATTGAAATTAAGCTGTGCATTCTAGGACAAAGCTACAAATTGGTTTATCAATGAAACCATCATATTCCTCTTATGCAGTAAAATTATTCTTCCAAAACGTTATTTTGATGACACAAACAACTTTGACTTGTCCATTTTGGCTACGTTCATGGTTGTTACAGTTTAAAGATAATGGGTGAACAATGAACATACCTTCTGTTTCTATCGGTTTTCCAAAATAGTAATAGAACCTGCCTGGAAATTTCGGTCGAATTCCGGCTTGATGCAAATCTTGATTTCCCACCTCGCCATGTTCTTCAGTCCTGTCATCACAACAATATGACAAATCTAGAGAGGAAGGCTGAAAAGGAAAAGAAAGAAAATTTGAAATAAGGATAAACATATGGTACCGAAATGATTTAACAATATCAGTCAATATACCTCACTCTCACACCCAATTCATCTGCTACTTCTTTTATGTAATCCCTAAGGAAAGGAATCCTCATTTGATCATCATAATCAAAAACCACCTGAGTTGATGAATATAAAACCGATTATTTATTAGAGAATAGAGCTCATTTCAGAACTAGTTTTAAGAGATTTTGAATTTACACAAGTGAGCCATGCATGTGTCTATACCCAACATTTATAAAATACCAGTACACTTGATATCACAACTTTTATGCTACTTTGCTATGACACTAGTAAGTTCGTAAAGCTATTGCTTTCATTTTAGTTTTTGCTCGTTTTACCTCATGGAACATCTCTTGCATACTTAAATGAAAATGCCATTTTGGATAAGAATTAAATCATTCATCATTCAGCACAATATATTCATATAACAAGATAATTAAAAAAATAATAATACAGCAGAACATTGCTCGCTGTGGAAACGAACAGATGGAAACAAATAAACTAGAAAAGAAAGTCTCGTAGGGCTTACTTCACCAAAATCATCTTCTCCAACAACACCAAATGGCACAATTTTGGCCCCGAACCTAGCTGCCATCCTAACAAACTCAGACTGTTCTGGCCAGAACAACTTGTATTGCTCACCCTGAAGAGTATGAAATGATTAGAAATTCAAACTATTTTGAGACTTGAGTTTCTTGAATCTGAAATACATCATCATTTTAATAGCCTAGTGATACACACAAGCAACTCCAAACAAACTGGGTTTCCATTCTATTTAGTAAATCAACACTAAATCACACTTTTTGTGGAGTGGAGTACAATTTATAGTTGAAATCAGCAACTTAAAATCATAGAAGATATATTAACTCAAAAACAATAGAATTTGAATTTAAGAAGGGGAAAGATATGGAGAAAGAATCGATGGTGCCATATCTAAATACAAATTAATCTCGAGGCTCTTCTCATCATGTGTGCGCTAATAGAAAAGCAGAAGAGACATTTGCTGCTTCACTGTCTTACTGTTTTCTGAAATAATTTCCTTCATCAAGGCAAGCAGAGTACTAGAATGATGCTATGCTATGTTACTATAGGATTGCAATCATTAGATCAAAATTCTAATTCAAGTTCAACATGAATGTGGAACTTCTTTCAAAATTTATTTTTGATTGTCATGACAAAGTTCAACCATTTAAAGTTACCTTGCGATGAGAGGCCTCACGGCCACCTCCTGGGTACAATAACACATGAGCCTTTGAAGCTAGAAGTTTGTATAAATTGGTTCCCGAAACAGGAACTGCTCCCATTGCTCTAATTGTGTCAAACTGTGACAATGGAGGTAGCAATCGCTCTTTCTTGGTTCTTATGAACAGAATTGGATGTGCTAAACCTCTCAGAAATATATTTCTTTCCACCAAAAAATTGGATACCATTGGTGCCAATTCGAATCCCAGTAACATGTGATAACCAACGAACAAAACAGGTCCTTCTGAAGGGATTCCTGCAAGGCCCTTCACAACCTTCCCATCTTCTAAGGTTGAGAGCATCACAGAATTTATGGCAAGCAGCAACAACCTAAAACATGACATTTGAGCGAAAGGATTACTCATGATAAAAACTTATTCACTCCACCTCAATTACAGAAACTTGTAAAATAATGATCACTGAAGTAACTCTTATCTACTATAAGATATTCAACATATCATAGACACAATCCTGTACAGTTCTGATAGGAAGTTGAATTAAGCATATTTTTTCTACTATCCACCAATATTATGCCACTATTAGACTAGCAAGTTACTGCAGTTTCCTAGTAATTGAAATTACCACTGATCTCTATAAAATGGAAAAATGATACTACCTGTTTGGTTCGTATATTTGTTTAAATTCTAAAGGGGTTGGGGGTACATAATCCGAAACATAGTCATGGTATGCTCCACGACGATAAAAAGCAGAAACTTTGATGAGAGTTGCCAAATCAAAGACATCTTCCTGCCAAAATGAGCAAAGCTACTTCTTATATCCATAAAAAACTTGGGAGGCAACAACTGGAAACATAGTATATTTTAGATGCAAAAACAGTGAGAGAGACTTTTTTGGTTACCAGGAGAAGGAAATGACCACTTCCATTAAAATTGCGATTCTGACACTTTGGGAGAACATGATTTAGTCTTTGACCTTCCTCTTCACTTGGTAGTAACCGATCCCTTCCGCTAAAAATGACAAACAAGGAACACAAGCTCATCATTTTGAAAATTACCAGACTTGAAGAAACAAAAAAGAAAAAGCATTAATACCATCCAGGAAACATGATGTTCACATTCTTTAAAATTTGTGAAGTTCATACTGTAATTCTACATGCAAATGGTTGTTGATTTCCATCAATTCAAATTCAAATGGCATGCAAATGATAAGGAATTGTTGTTTATTGAATAAAAACAACTGTAGAAGTTCATTATTCAGACGTTCATGAACAAAGTTGTTTATTTTGGACCAGAGACCAGTGAGGGAGAACACCATTTAATGTAATCTGAAATTTTTTATATCTAGGGATTCTGCTATTCAAGAAAGATACAGTCAATAAACCTACAAGTATTTTTTCCGAATATAAAAAATAGGAAACAGAGGAATTCTAGTGTTTTTGTTGCTCTTAAGCTATTTCAAAATGTTAGAAAAATTCAACATACTTCCAAGAGATTAAATTTCCAAGAAACTATTGTAACACAATGGATTGCCAAAGAGAAAGACCTAGAAAGTACAAGTGTTTGAGCTTTTACAGCATGGAGGTGTGAATTTGCATATGTTGAAGCCACTTTCAACATATTTAGCTTCCAGAGAAGTGTTTCTCTAGGTAAGAGAGCAGCTAAAACCTGTTGCAGAAAAATAACTGTTTTTAGTTTCACAAGAATGCCAACACAGTCCATAGCATACCAAAGAACAACATTTCATTTTCCAACAGCTTGGATGATTTTATGTAAATATGTCTGTGATTATAAGGGATACAAAGGAAAGAGTTATTCACATGTTGAGTAAAAAGTGTATTATCTGACATTGAGGTTAGATGGAATCACAACAGCATCTTGTGACAATCCTCCAACTATTTCTTGTAAAGGAACTCCCTTTATCACATTATCGAATGCCATCTTCAAAGGATCACCTAAATGTATACCATACAATTACTGATGTGAACTGGGTAATATATAGAACAGAAACTTGTTCCATTATGCTAACAATTTTCAGTTATTAAGGAGCAAACTTAAAGCAGAAGAAAATATGATGTTTAGTAGAATCAGTCAATTGTATTCAATCAGAATGAAATGGCATATTTATCTAAAGATGCAGTTACAACAAGAAAACTAGTAGCGTGAATATTAAAAAACAAGCTCTTTATTTTGAAAAGAAAATCATTGACTCCAGCAAAATCACTCCCAAGTGACATATAATGAAGCCAATAAGACAGAACTCAGAATTGGTACAAAGCCTATAGATACATCTCTCTCACCAACTACAAAAAGGCACAAATTTGATCCAAGAGTCGAGATCTTATAATAATCTACCACTTTTGCAGTGTAAGATATTATATCACAATATAGTAGAAAGCTATAATAACATGAAATTGTTCAATTATTTACATTTTATTCCAGTTCTCTTAGAACAGGTAAAGGAAAATAAGGAGATGGCTTGCAGAAATACAATCAGCTTGTCTCCAGGCGAGCGTCTTTGAAATATGGTTCCAACACTCATTTATCCTTTGTCTAAGCTAAGCAGTTTTGAATATTATTTTTTAGAATTTTTAAAAAGCTACAAGGGTCCAACCTCTCCTGAAATTTAATTCATCTGTAAATCAGTCTCTAAATTTCTAATTTCCATTTTGACCTTTCTGAATTTTTAAAAAGCTAAAAGGGTCGAACCTCTCTTGAAATTTAATTCATCTGTAAATCAGTCTCTAAATTTCTAATTTTTATTTTCACCTTTCTGAATTTTATTTCTCTTTTAGATTTAGTACATCTTATAAGTTTTAGCTATCATTCGTTTCTCTTTAAAAAATAAGAATTTTTCAAAATCCAAAAAATTATTTATTTAACATTAAAAATACAGAAAATCGGGATTAAAAGAAAATAGCTCGAAATGTTCCCAAATTTTTTGAAAAGCTCCAGATAAATCTTACTTAATGATTTCCATTATTGAGATATTTATGTGATTTTTTTATTTTTTTTCAGCGCGGGGAGGGGGGTAAATGATAAAAAATATAAAGTTCAAGATGCTCAAACCATAAATTAAAAGTTCAAGGACTGATTTCTAAATAGAATAAAATTTAGGAATGGTTTGACCTATTTAACCTTTTTAAAATATGGTTCCAGCACCATTAGCACATTTTGAAATCAATCAAATTGTTGTTGATAAAATCAAATATGCATCTCAAGCAACTAGCAAATCCATAAAATTAAATGGACCTGTCATTAAGCTCAGAATATAAGGAAGGCCAAACTGATGTTGGATGGGCATGATCTCCAATAAAGGTGTAAGAAGTTGCAATTGTGACTTCTCAAAAGATGTTGCTGCAGTAAAAACATCAAACAAGTATCATAACAGAGTAAATAAAGAATTTACGAATGAAAAGCATCCTCAAAGAGCAAATTAATCTAGTCAATGTTGAAAATAATCTAAGCATTTTCCATCTATCTATTAGACAGTCATGCTATCTACTAAATGTGCCAGTGCAAATTCCATTTATTCAAGTCTTTTATACATCCTACAGATTTGCTTTACCTCATGCAATTTTATTAGTTATTTCCCACTACATCCAGACACTCATAAATATAGGAAAAAACACAAAATTTCTTATTTCCACCAATGATGCATAAGAGTGCAGAAAACCTTCACCTGGATTAACCAAAACAAGTACGAGATCAATATCAGGGTTACGGGCGGCAACAGCAAGTGCAAGGCATGCTCCAAGAGATTCTCCAACAAGATATATAGGTCTATTAGGTGAATGGTAATTCTCCGATCTTACAGTTCTTTCCACCAACTTCACTAGGCCTGAACCATGAAAACTTCCCATAAAAAATACACACACAAACCCAGGAATACAAAGTTTCATCTCTTTTACGCATATTATGCATCAAAGTAGTGGCAGGGCAAGGCAAAAGAGGACCTAGAAAGGATGTTCTGTCCTTGACTGGAATATGCAAGCACCATATGTCGAAAATCCTGGTTTCATAAAAAAAATATATATATCATATGTTAGGCACCAATATCAACATTAACATTATGCACTGTTCATCATTAAACAATAATAAAAGGATCGTCAATAATCATGTTATGTTTTTCCATTTGGATAATCCAAAGAAATCTGATGAATAATTTCCACTACTATGAGTTTGCATTCATTGCGAAGGTGTTGAAAATTACTAATACATAAATGCTAAGTACACAATCAAGACTCACTTTCCAAGAGTTGAATGATGCATGCTAAGCCCTAGCCCAACACCGTCAATCCCTGCGAAATATCCATATCCATATAAAAAATAAATTCATAAATCCCTATAAAATTCATAAATCAAAGGAATTATCATTATCGATTCAAAAAGAAAAGGAGTCGTCAAAGGAGTGACCAGGCAAATAGAGGAGGAGAGGAGACTTATCCAAGCGAGTCCCGCAATCCAAAGGAGAAAACCACCGAGGCGGACCACAACCGCGGTTTGATTTGATGAAATTTTTGGATTCCTCGAAATAATCATTCAAACTCTTTCTACTACTTCTATACTCCAATTCAGTTTTCTCCAACTCCAATGCGTATGGATTAACCTTTTTCTTCTCCTTTTCTCCTCCTCCTCCTTCTTTCACCTCCTCCTTCTTCTTCTCCAACCTTCCATTCTCTACAAACTCAGCTGTCCATTGCTCTGTTGAAACAGCAAGACGACGAGTCGTATCGGCTACATTTGGATTCGGTTTGAATTTACCGGACGACGATGTCGTTGCACGACAACGAACCGTCGTTGGAAAACCGGCCGCGAAAAAACCAGCTCCATTTAGCGCCATGGTACTGTAAAATTCACTCTCTTTCTATCTGTGTTGCTTTGGCGGCCTTTAGAAATTTATTTGTAACGAAAAAATTGACAAGAACAAGTACGCTGATTGCTGCTTTTATTTAAATTTTTTGCTTGAAAAAAAAATTCTCTACAATTTTGTCATCGAATATAGCAGTTGTAGTTTTTCAGAATTCCTCAGTTCTTGATTTCATCGTAAAATTTTGAAAACCAGGGGTTAAATACAGCGGTAATGGTCGGTCAATGGGAATCATTTATGCTGTAGAAATTTTATTTTAAAAAAAATATATATATATATATATATATATTAAACCTCAAAATGTAACATGAGAACAAATCAAAACTTAAGAATAGCTGCGAGTTATAGGGGCCAAAATGCTTAGAATTCATCGTGCTGGAAATTTATGGTAAGAGAATCTTTTGTTAAAGGCACAGGACGTAACACGTGTCCTGTTCTAAGACAATAGTAGAGCAAGAAATTTTATAATATTTAAGGATTATCTACTGTATATGTACGTAAATCCATTTTTTAGGAGAAATATACACATAAAAAAAGAAAGAAATAAGAGAGAGAAAATCTAAAAAAAAAAATTGAGCTAAAGTGAAAATTTTTTTATCACTTTTAAAAAAATTTGAGCCAATATGTAAAATTTCTTCTCATTTTTTATGAGTCCAGATATGATTCAAGTAATAATTACTAAATATGTACTTTGATCCACTTTTTAGAAGAGAGATACACACAAAGAGGAAAGGGAAAATCTTGAAAAGAATTTGAGCCAAAGTAAAAAAAAATTAAGCCAATATGGAAAATTGTTTATCATTTTTTATGGGTCCAAATATGATTCAAGGAATAACTACTATATATGTACATGGATTCACTTTTTACGAGAGAGACACACACAAAGAGGAGAGAGAAATAGAAGAGGGAAAATCTTGAAAAAAATTGAGCCACAGCTGGAAATTTTTTTATCACTTTTGAAAAAAATGATAAAAAAATTGAGTAAATATGAAAAATTTCTTATCATTTTTTATGAGTCAATATATGATTCAAGGAATAACTACTATATATATACATGGATCCACTTTTTAGGAAAGAGATACACGCAAAGAGGAGAGAGAAATAGGAGAGGGAAAATCTTGAAAAAAATTGAGCTAAAGTGAAAATTTTTATCACTTTTGAAAAAAAAATTAAACCAATATGTAAAATTTCTTATCATTTTTTGAGTCCAAATATGATTCAAGGAATAACTACTATATGTGTACATTGATTCAATTTTTAGGAGAGAGACACACACAAAGAGGAGAGAGAAATAGAAGAGGGAAAATCTTGAAAAAAATTGAGCCACAGTTGGAAATTTTTTTTATCACTTTTGAAAAAAATGATAAAAAAATTGAGCAAATATGAAAAAAATTTTATAATTTTTTATGGGTCAAGATATGATTCAAGGAATAACTACTATATATTGACATGTATCCACTTTTTAGGAAAGAAATACACACAAGGAGGAGAGAGAAATAGGAGAGGGAAAATCTTGAAAAAAAATTGAGCTAAAATGAAAATTTTTTTTATCACTTTTGAAAAAAAAAATTAAGCCAATATGTAAAATTTCTTATCATTTTTTATGAGTCCGGATATGATTCAAGTAATAACTACTAAATATGTACTTAGATCCACTTTTTAGGAGAGAGATACACACAAAGATGAGAGGGAAATAAGAGGTGGAAAATCTTGAAAAAAAATTGAGCCAATATGAAAAATTCTTATCATTTTTTATGGGTCTTGATATGATTCGAGGAATAACTATTATATATGTACATAGATACACTTTTTATGAGAGAGATACACGAAAGAGGAGAGAGAAAATTTTGAAAAAAAATAAAGCCAAAATGGAATTTTTTTTATTACTTTTGAAAAAAAATTGAGCCGGTATGAAAAATTTCTTATCATTTTTTATGGATCTAGATATGATTTCATGTTGATTCAATTTTTTTTTTCAAAATTTTCTCTCTCCTATTTCTCTCTCCGTTCGTACTTATCTTCCTCTTGAAAAATGGATCTATGGAATAACTATCGTCTTGTATATATACAATAATTAATCTTTTAATATTATAAAATTTCTCGAGCATGGGTTGGAACCAAAGTTTAACTACTGTACTTGTACATATACAATAATTAATTTTTTAATATTATAAAATTTCTCGGAGCATGGGTTGGAACCAAAGTTTGGTGTAGAGCATTCATTAGCCAGGCACCATGCATGATCATGCTTATCCAAATTAAGAGCAAAACATTCAAAACAAGATATCAAACAATTTTCTATCAATTCGGCAAAAATTCATGTAAGTTAAGAAAATTTAGTTGGGAAACAATGTATTTCTAAAGATCGTTCCAATAAAAAGAATGATGCGGTTGAGAAGAGAGAAAAGTTATGTCCGCAATGAATGGAGCCATTTGAAAATTTGGAAAGAACATGTCCAGCTTGATGTGAATTAGGCTTATTATAAATTTATGGCCAAATGTGTCAAGCGCCCTTAGATTTTAGTCTATTTAAAAATTAGAAAACACTATATCAACTTTTAATTTTAATTTCTCTTAAAATTAATTTATTCTTTATCATTCTATAAAAAATAATGATCACATAAATACTCTCATAAAATAATTTAGTAAAATTTACGTGGAGCTTTCCAAAATATTTAGAATCATTCTATGTTGTTATTTTTTTTTCCAAATTTTTGCATTTTTTATGGTTTATATACATATATGACATTGAAAATTTCTGAAATTTTTTTAGAAAAACGAGTTGAAAAATTCTTCAAATTTTTCTAGAAAATGACTTGAACTTTTCTTGACATGTATGTGACACTTCAACTCAAAAAATTAAAAATTAAATTTTTTTTATAGAAAAAAATGATAACTGAAAATTATTAAATGAATTAAATTTTTTTTAAAAAAATAAAAAAGGTCAAATGTGAAATTAAAAGTTTAAATTTTGATATTCAAATAAATTAAAATTTAAGAAAGGTTTGGCTCATTTAACTTTTATTTATTTATTTATAATTAAATTTTAAAAAAAATTTGCATTTTGGTTATTTATTTATAAGTTTTTGTGGTCTTAAATTTTTTAAAAACTATTTTGATCCTTAATTTTTAAATTTTATACAATTAGATCCTTGTATAATAAAAAATCAAAATAAATTATTAGATATTAATAGGATAAAGAATGAGTTTCCATACCCTAAAATCATATTAGTGGTTAAGTAGTTTTTTTATCTTTATTCACTTTAATATTCATTGGATATTTTTAATGAATATTTATTGGATTGGATAAAGCGAGTACCTATTTTATAATCGACCTATTGCCATTCCTAATAATACACAAGGAAAAAAATGAATAATCTTTACGGAGAGTTAATTACAAAAAGATCAGTGGCAACTAGAATCTTGCTAAGATTCTTAATAGCAATGTATAGGGAAAAAAATATCATCTAGAAACCTCGATTTAGCTATTAATCTATATAATCATTCTCAATTGCATCCCAAATCTATAAATTTAATTAATAAAGTTCCAAATATTCTTGCATTTGTATACTTTTGTCAATTTTACGCAATAAAATGACATCATCTTCAAGAAAAAAATGACGAGGAAATGTTTATGAACATTAAAAATAAGACCTGATTTAAATGGGACCAAATGGATAACATTCTTAGATTGGAAAAAACGGGCATACAGCTTAAGGAGTAAGGACTAAATTGAGGTTTTTTCGGATAAACTAGTTCCCAGTGGGGTGGGCCCATTATGACCCTTCTCTTTCCTGGGGCCTAGTAATTAGTAGTGGGCCTATAAGTTTAAATACTTGCTGGGTCAGGATTGAGCTTTTAGATCCAGGGATGAGAAATTTCATTTTTATATCAAAAGTTCATTTTCTTACATCATGAAAAACGTGCTAAAATTAGATTCGGGCGTACCTTTGAGAGTGCTTTTTAACTACATTAAATGAAAAATTAATCTCG